ATTTTTGACGAATATGCGCGTACTCGTTGACATTTGTCGTAACCGTAACGGATAGAACTTTCCGATAGACCTAATATATTATATATTAAGTGTACGCCTGGTTATCAACTCCTCAAGACAGCCCGTAAAATATTTTGTTCCACTAAAAATCCATCACATCTGTTTCCAAACATTCATAACACAGTGGTTAAGAATAAATCTCCGACTTATGCGATTCGTGTCAAATACAGAAACAACTTTTTCAAGAACCTCCGATCTCTAAATCCGTAGTCCATCCAGAGGCATTCCATCAAGTTCTCCCTCGCGGTTTTCATTTGTTAAAATACTTGGAAATGTATCGAAGACGCGAACCGAATTCTTTAGTTGACAGTTAAACAATTCGTAAAGAATGGGAACGACGTGGGCGCGTTGCTCGAGAGACGTTTCGATTTAATTGATCGTTTGGTAGCTGAATGGCAACATTCGGCCCTCTTTCCGTTTATTAATAGCATTGGGTAGGTTTTCGCGTCTGGTGATCCGTGAGTGGCCAAGTGACATACGAAAATGGACTCTCGAAATTAAATAACAGCGACGAACCATCGAATTAATCGGTTGGAGAGGAGTCGGTTAGGTTTTACGCGTTGTAGGATATTTAAAGCGTTAAATAAGGGACGTGTGCAGGAGTCAGCGTGTAGGATGCGTGACATTGCGAATGCTACTTACGACATTGCGTTATGTTAAGACGAGAAAGCAGTTCTTATGGAAGCGTTAGTTGCGCTATTGTTAATCCACAGCTGTCAGAGCATCTTGCAAAAGCGTTCCAGCGTCCCCTGTATAAGTGATCCCCCTGGAAGCATTTAAACCACTGCGATTACTTTCCGAACGTTTCATCTACAAATCAACTCTCCATTGCATGAATTTTATATTTCATTTTCTGATTATTCGTGTACTCGTAATGGATAAATCTGTCGGTAGATTTTCCCTGCGCAAATCCTTGGAAAATTTCTTCGATACGGGATCGATTTTTGGCGCTGGAGAAAATTACGATGCAGTCGTGGAAGATCTTACTTCTTTGTAATATTACGAAAGGATAATTGCAGAGCGGAAATACCAAAGGAGCCGAGGGCTAAAATTAGACAGATTGAGATGTTTCTATAATCGAGTGCTACCGAAACCATTGTTTCCTTGTTAGAGACGTTCTTTTTCTTTTTGTAATTGCAATTCGTTTGCGTTTATGAGTTACGTTTCAAAATTATGTTTTTTTCTTTATTTTTCTCGCGTGTTCGATGTATCGATGCAACTGAAAAGCTTTTATTTGGCACTCGATCTCTTCGCTACTCTCACTCTGCAAACAAAGTGATTCCTATTAGTAAAAGCGGCAGCAATTTTGAATTTTTCGTGACGCACTAAGGATACAATTCGTGAACGTCGGAGGTTGAAAATAGCATGCACAACCCGAACGACACGATGATAGCAACGGGTTTATTTTTGCCGCAAAGTGGACTAAAATATTTCATCTTTTCAGTCCTTCCGTTACGACAGACATGATAATATCGTACCGGTGATTACTAGATTTCCAATTACGAACCACGTAACGTATGCATTTCATACATCAACATAATAAAATCCATCACATCGCACAATTCTCTCATTCACGTTTATCTAATCTTTTCATATTTACATATTCTATAAATAGCTGAAACCCACGATCTAGTAATTACTCGATATTCCAGTGCCAAATACACGATTACTACAGCTCACCTCGTGCCAGGATTGCGATGTAGAACTGTTAATTTTGCTAAGCTACGTGAAAACATTAATGCTACTTACAAGCGTCGCGAAAGCAGACTATTTTCAAAAACCTTCAAGCCAAAGCTGATTCTCTGGACAGTTTCCATCGAGTGGCTTCAAAGCGTTACGTGCTCGTTAATCGACCAAGCATCTACGTTAGTAGCGTCGTTGTCTTCGATGGCAGATCAGAGTTAGCGATCAAGCAAGGACTCCTCTTCCAATCCTCCTTAAACACGGTCTAGTCCCTCCAAGACTAATAATTGGCTCACGAAATCCTTCGTAAACGAGTAGAATCTCTTCGTAGCGTTTCGAGGGGTCCACGAATCCTCGACGAGGACGGTCGACGCGCACCTTCGTCCACATTCTACCCTTTCCTTCTTTCGCACTCGCGTTATCATGAATCGAGACGCGGTCACCGCGATTTCGCTCGTCGAAGACGTCGATTGAACGTAAAAAACGAACAGAAACCATCGGTTCGCGATGGTGAAAATATGTTTTTTTTTTTTTTTTTTTCGGGAAGAACATCGCTCCGAGGTTCACTTACCTAACCCGAGCGAGCAGAGTGGCGCGAGTCGAGTGTACGAGGGTGCTTCGAAAAGCTTCTTCGTAGACGCGAAGCGAGATGCGAACTCGCGGCGAGCGAACACGGAGGTGGGGAGCCCAAAAATGGACCGCCGCGGAAAGTTGTACGGGGGTGGGGCCCAGAACGTTTATTTTCTGCTCGCGTCTCCTCGAAAAATTTCTCTCACCTTCCAACGGGAGGACAACGCTGAATCCAGCGATCCGCTGATCTCAGGGATCGATTTGGTAGCGTCGGCCAATGTAGAATCGATACGACCGTCTTGCATTGGTTTAACGAGCTCGGCGAATCTTTCGAGTAGAGACGTAGCTTTGGAATTTCGTGCTTTAAGTCGCTATCGTAAAGATATTTTCGGCTTGCGTCTTGGATGCTTTGCGTGTAGGGGCTTGAGTCTCCGAAGCTTTAAGGCGAGACCTTAAAGGTTGGGCTTTCAATGGTTTGCGTGTGGAGCTTGAGTCTTTGAAGCTTTGAAGTTGAAACGTAGATGGTGTGTGTTTAACGCTTTGCGTACAGAGATGGGGTCATCGAAGCTTTGCGTGTGGAGCTTGAGTAGTCGAACCTTTAAAGCTCAACCTAATGCAACCACTCGTGCAAGGATCAGTACGATAGTAGTCGATAATGGTTTCCCTACGATCGAATATCAGCCCTTTTTTCCACAGCTATTTTCGAGTATTTCGTAGCACGATATACATCGAGTAGGAGCTTTTAACTAACTACAATCGGCCGGACAGGAACAATAAATAGTTGATCGGGGCTCCGCGTAACCAGCCTTGGAAAGGATAAATATGCGTTACCGGCGATCACAAGGAACTCGATGTTCATCGTCACAACGTGTACACTTACGTACTCTACGGGTGATTTTGCGCGATGCATCGCGATCTAGAGGATCCTCTTAGTACCCTCGATCAGTTTTACCTTGGATAATAGGTAGCTAGATATAACAGATGAATCAGATACATCCTGCAAGAAAAATAAATTCGGTGCCAACCTTCAGCGTCGCTTCGTTTCCAAACCAGCAGAATAAGTACACCTGCATGAGCATAGAGCCCAAGTAGAAGAAGCTCCAGAGGAAATTAATATCCAACGAGGACTCCGTTGACATTGTATAAATAGTTAAGCACAGCACGATCGAGCTTATGCAAAATTGCAGGAAAATTATATATTGAAAAATCGCGTTCACCACTTCTGCGAATCTGTAACGTAACCAATATGTAACGCTGTCGAAAAATTGTTATAGATTGAGGGAGATAAATCTTAAGGATCAAGTGATCGAAAGTATTATTAAGCTAATTTATACATCTTTCGACGAAGATATTTCAATTATTTTGATGCAACATTTACAAACGTTTTACACATTGTTCTTTCTTTTTTTCTATTAATCGACGTATATGTTCGAGAATTGAAAACTATCTTTCCAATCGTGTATGAAATACTAATTTATTTCTCTAATTTAATATAAAGAATCTCGCGAGCATGTCAGGTAAGGTTAAAAAGAATAAAATAAACTGTTTGAAGGTGTAGATTTGAAGAAGTGATCATTTCTAAAGCGGTCGCGTCCACTGGTCAGAGCGATTTAAAAATAATCCTTATGATCTGGCGAAGAGCGACGCCAACGGAAAATGGCATCTCCTACATTGTTGACTAGAATTCGACAATCTAGTGAAGAAACTCGTGCGCTTAACTATTTATAATATCGTCCATCAAATCTCAACAGCCTCGAACTATGTTAGATGATCGAACTTCCGCTGAATGATCCTCTCCTCCTCGTCCCTCGGCAAACAGTTTCCCTGCACCAGAGTGTTCATCATCTTTATGATCTTCCTACGTTGAACAAACACATTGGCAACCTTGACGCAAACCCCTCCCACCGAAATGAATACAGAAAATCTTAAGGTCGCGGTCTTGAGATCTTTGGCGAGCATGGCGTCTACGAAGAAGCAGATCCGGAAGAAGTACAAGGAAAGTATCATTAACGCCGTGTAAATGTTGTACAACCAATATCGATAGGAATCCGCCGGCCACTCTGTCGGTCTCTAGTAGTCAGTGATAGTAAGCAGGTCAAAAGACAGAGGAAGCTTGAACATCGTTTCTTTCATCGCTAAAGTTTCCCTGCACCCTAGGATGGATTACGCTGCGGCTTTCGAATGGAAAGTACACTAACTTCCGTTAAAACTCTTTTATAACAATTAAAATACGATTACGATACGTTTCGATACTTTATTACGTCGGTGTCTTCGATATCTACTTAGAAGAAGTATGACGTGTAACATCGAACGATTTTAGAACTTCCCGAGCAGCACACGAATTAAATACCATTCTCGATTACCCTGTTTACTTATTTCGACTGACTATCTTTGTTGAGATACCCTTGTTTGCTTTCAATAAATATATTACAACGTTCCTCGCGAACCCTTCTTCGCTCCCCTCGATCGTAGATACGATAATTATACTGCGTTGACTTCCGCGTTGGGCGAAGTTGTACTTCAAAATTCGCGCGAATGGTTAACTACTTCTCCGTAATCCATCAAGTGACGATATAGTAGAAATCTTTCCGTAGAAACGGGTAATGTTGCATTAATGAATATCGATGTGGAACCCCACCGAAGCACAAACTTCGGAAACCAAGGTTACTCCAGTTCGCTGTCGGCCGTCGTCGAAGACAGAAGTGCGTAGCGTGTTGTGGTCTTTGCTAATAAAAATAGTGAACATGTATTCCTAGTTCGGGGACAGCGAGCGAGTGGTTTCGTTGAAAGAAATTTAAAAGTGCTGAAACAAAAGATTGGTTGAGTTACGGGAATATATATTCATTTTGCACTTACGATGATGACACGGTCGAGATTTATGAAGTCGTAGCAGCTACTGCAGGTACCGTTGACGTGTCTCTTTTTGAAGTTGCAATTCAACAATGTCTAATTAATCTGAGGACGAGAAAGCAATTTGTATTCGTAGTGATGACGACTAGCGCACTTTTCACTGCATTGCGCTTATGTGTTTTCATATTTTCCAGATGGAGTTTGTGTATTTTAAACTGGCAGCTTGTACTAGCAAACTTGAATTAGCAAGCAATTGATTATCGTTACTGGCAGCAACGTGCAAATTCGTTAAGGAAGTTTCTTGAAAAATGGACGCAACATTAAACAAGATCACTGAAGAATAGTCGAAGCAACTGCATCGTAATCTGAAATACCTTTAATGGCGTGCAGATCGTCTAAAATATTGCACATCGTATTATTACTGTCAAATCGTGCTGTTTTATTTCTCTCATGCGATCATGACAACATAGTAGAATAGATATATGTGAATCATCACGTTCGAGAAAACAAATGAAATACTTAAATGTTTTCATGAAAATTCTATAAGTACATTACTGTTTGTATTGTTGGATTGTGGAGTCTGCGAGATGACGATCTTCGATGATGCAATTTGTTCACTCATTACGAACTGTCTTTCAAGAGGTTGTACGACGAATACGACATTTTTATGATCTGCAATCGTTACAAATTTATTCTAGCTTTGTGGCTCTTCTATTTCGCAGAAAGACGAATTAGTCTGGGTACGTGAGAAATTGATCTACAGACGTGACCGTTGAACGGTCGAATGGGATCTGTAACATTATTTTATAAAAAATTAACGATAAACGAAGCTTGTGTATTACTAACTGCCATAAAGGATTCTGTAGACAAAGAGACGACGTGACCACTTGACATTACGACAGGTTTCTTGGTTCTTGCCATGATAGTCAGTAAATCCCTCATTACACTAGTTGGGAGAGTCGTCCAGTCCATTTCGTAAATGGCGTCACCCACACTCGTACTCTACAAACGTAATCCATGTAATAAAGACACGACAATTACAAACGTTAGTGTTATTCAAAGTGATCGGAATTTATTGTTTTGTTTCTTTTTTGTTTATTTTCGTGAAACAAAATTCTTTTTTTAATAAGTTATAGCACTCGCAGCTTTAAGCAAGCCCTCTTTGGGTGTACGGAGAAGCGACGTATCGCTCCTTGGTTCTCAAAGGGCTAATATAGTATAACATATAGAGAATTGACCAAACAATATAAATTTTGTATCCTCTCGTTTCCGTTTATTGCTCATACTCTCATTTTATTTTCTTAGGAAACGAAATTCATCGCTAACCTTCAACGTCACCTCGTTTCCAAACCAGCAATATAGATACACCTGCATGAGCATAGAGCCCAGGTAAGAGATGCTCCAAATGAGTTCAGTATTGAGCGTGGATTTCGTTGACAGGACGTAAATAATTAAGCACAGCACGATCGAGCTTATGTAGAACTGGAGGAAAATCATGTACTGAAATATCTTGTTGACAACTCTTGCGAGTTTGTAATCAATGCATAATGATATCAGCAATTATGCTCGGACAAGACTGAATCTTAACGATTAGGTGAGATTATTAAATGCTCGAAGTTATTACTAGACTATTCTATTACTAGACGCCTTCGCTAAAAGTTTAGCGTAAACAAATATTTAGATTTAATCTTCAACAAAAACTATATAATATCCATGTACGCTCACTCATAAATCTCCAGGTGATACCGGACCAAGTCCCCAAGAATTCTCATTCTTCTGTTCCTCAAGTCTTGCATGGACGTGCAGATCCTCTCCGCCTCTAGAAGAGCAGAGGGCAAATTTCGCGCTCGATGACAGAAAATTTCAAACTGTGAGCAAACTTGAATCATCAGTCCAGAGATCAGCGTCTCGTTGGCCACGCTGGTGTTCGCGCAGACCATCAGAGTCAACGTATGATGAATCAAACTGAATACGTATGCTTTTTGTGATGCCAGATTAAACGGTGACCAATCGAAGTTGGGCAGTTTTCTCGTCCTTAGTAATTCTTTGAATTGCGTCAGGGATGCGAACACTGCGGCTAACTCGTTCAGGATCTCGCACCATACCGTCAGGTTTCTGCGAAGGACCAAGGTCACGTTTCGGTACAAAGATCAAGAACATCATCTAGAACGTGTTTGCTGCCCTCAAATAAGTTTCAATGATATTTAAAAAACCATTGGTGTCTCAATAATACATCTATTATCTGATATACACTTCCGTAAAACGAGTTTAAACTACCTGGCATAGTCATCGAACTTCCGCTGAATGATCCTCTCTATTTCGTCTCTCGGCAAACAGTTCCCCTGCACCAGAGTGTTCACTGTGTTTATAATCTTTCCACGCTGAAAAAACAGATTGGCAACCTTGGCGCAGACACCTGCCACCGAGATGAACACAGAGAATTGTATGGTCGCGGATTCGATATCCTCTATGATCATGCAGTCTATGAAGTAGCAGAACGTGTAAAAGTACAAGGAAAGTATCATTAACGCCGAGTAAACGTTGTACAACCAGTATCGAAAGGAATGGACTGGCCACTCCTCCGGTCTCCAGTAGCCAGCTATGGTGAACAGAGCAAAAGACACGGAAAGTTTATGCATCCTCCCTTCCACCAATTAATTCTCCCCGCACCCTAGGATGGATCACGTCGCAACTTTCGAATGGGAAATACTTCTCTTAAAATCTCTTGTGCTTATTAGAAAACTGTTGATATTTTTCAACACTTTATCGTACTTTCTGACATCTGTCGAGACTCAACGAACAATTCTTGGAACGAGAAAGAACTACTGTATCATCTTTTATTGCTGCTTAAAAACAGTACGACGGATTATATCGAACGATTTTACAATTTTCGTGCATTGCACCATGAAAATGTTCTTCTCGACTATACTGTCCACTTCGTGCGATCGACTACCTTCGTTTAAAGAAAAATTTCTTTTCTCTCACTCAGTAAATGTATTGCAATGCTATTCGCGAACTCCTCTTGGCTCTCCTCGGTCGTGCATACGGTAATTATAGTGTAGTGAGTTCTGCCTTGGGGACATTCGTACTTGACAATTTGATTGAATGGTTAAGTATTGCGCGGTATACCGTTCAACGAAGATGGTTTGAATTTATGATAGAAACAGGAATTATCGCATCAATAATCGAACCCCATTGAAGCCTAAACTGCGGAACCCGATGGTATTTCAGTTTGCTGATGGCTGTCGCAGAAGACGAGTGCGTATCGTAGACGAGTCGATGTGGAATCCACATTGTGGATCTAGTCGAACGTTTTGCGCTTGAGGTTTGGGGTACATTTACACAGGAAAGCAAATGAGTATTCGTATAATAATTGAATTTCTGAAATAACGAACGAGCGCTTGTTTTCTAACGAAAGGAGGTTTTAAGATGCAAAGTTTGTTGAGTTAAGAAAATATACAGAGTGTCACGTGTGTACAGTGATGTTGATGAAGATACTGATTTCATTTGACTACGTTTTCAGTGGGCAGCAGAATTTTTTAGAGCGATTGCAAGGAGAGAAATGGGATGCCCTGAGTTTTTTCTAAACGGATCTAATAGCAGAGAACGAAGTCGAAGATGAGTGACTCGAAGATGGGACACACTGCAGTGGAACAGAGAAAATTCGACGGGACTGAGTTTCGTATTGTTCGTTACCTGCTTACGTATGATCCACTCTTATCTTCCAATATGAAGACACTGAACCCAAGACTGAGGTATCGTCGAACAATATTTAATCGAATTATTCGTTGCATACGAGAAAAAACGGCAGAGCTTGTTGAATTGAATGAGATTTATTACGTAGAAAAATTGTTCATCATTATTAATTTATTATTCTCTCGTCGTTGATAGTAATCGATCTCTAGGTGTAAGTCGTGCTCATTGTAGCTTAGATGTACAGGGTAGGAATACTTATGGGATCGACTGTAAGTGTTCGAATTAATCTATGAAATTATCATTGGACCTCTGAAATAGCTACAATGGAGTATCTCATCAAATGTATACGCCTTACACCCAGAAGGCTATGAAAACCTCAAATATCAAGCCTCTTTTTCTTCATAGTAGCTATTTCCTAGTTGTTTGTAGTACGTTGTACAGAGAGTAAGAGCTTTTAATCAGCTGCAATCAGACAGAAACGGAAATTAATTCGCATAATTAGCTTTAAAGAATGTAAATACGTTACACGCTACTAACAATCACGAAGAAGTCGAGGTTCACCGTCACAATATGTGCGCTCTCATACACTATAGGCGATGTTGTGCGTGCCATTGCGACTATGAGAATCTTTTTAGTGCGTTCGTTCATTTCTGTCCAGTCGGTTTGAAAAATCACTTGTGCCATATAGATACTCTAGAAAATGATAACATCAGCGAATTTTAGACTGGAATATTTCTGTGGAGGGTTGAAAAAGGAGAAGCTCTATGAGGGAGAGGAGGAAAGGGAGAAAAGGGAAGGAAGATCCTTTCATCCTGAGGCCAGGTAGTGAACCCCATCGGTGAGGCTACCTTGCAAACCTCGTACACGTTTCCCTTTTAAGTAGCGTTTATTTATAGACTTCGTGTACGTTATGAGTTTACGTGTAGTTTAAATGAACATTAAAAAGAAAACTATGCAGGCAACGCATCAGGTGCTGGCTTTAATCCTTTAAGCAATATAGGAAACATGTCGGATGATGCTTTGTTTCTGGTATTATTTACGAAATTCACCGACTAATCACAGCGTCCGAGTAGCGCGCGCTCAGCCGCGAGAGCATAGGCTCGAGTCAGGATTGGTCGAATGATTTTCGTTAATAATTCAAAACCGAAACACCGTCCGACATTTTTGCAAAGGAAATTGTTCCAAATCGTCTCCGCTACCCCCCCCCCCCCCTTTCCGGTTCTTACATTAACTCTGGAACACCTTGTATAACTTTGTGAATAGGTAAGACGTAACAACAACATTAAAACCTTATTGACAATGCAAACTTACGTGGATACAGTAGCTTCTATGTAACAGTGGAACAGATATTCAGCATTTATTTATGTTTCTAAAAGTTTGCAAAGGGAGCGCTCAAGATACGAACCTTCAATTTGACTTCGTTCCCGTACCAACAGTACAGAAAGCTCTGTATCAAAATCGTGCTCAGATACAATATCGTCGCCAAGAAATCGGCGCTCATTATATCTTGTTTCAATAACTGTACTAGGCTTAAGCACAGCACCAGGAAGCTTCCGAAAAATTGCGAGAAAATCGTTACGTTCATCGCGTTGTTCGTCATCGTGGCTAATCTGGAATGAAAAAGATATCTAGTACAATCAACGAGTAAATATCAAAGGTAGATAGATATTCAGCTACGTAAACAATAAAAGGTGAAACGAAACGTGTCCGTTTGAACGTCGATTACTCGTAAATGTTGTTGTGATGACGAAGACAATTTCTAAGTGCCATCTTTTCGTTCGTTTTTATGCGGTTCAAGCGAGATTCGAGGATTTCGAATTGGCAACAAGTTTGCATCAGCAATCCGAAGAAGAGTACATCGGCGGCGACATGAGGCAATGACAAATAGAATAGACCTATCGCCTGATGACTATATGTTAATGGATAAAGAACTGTAGACGAATAATTGTAAGGTATCCAGGCTCTGTACATTAGTCGGTTGTTTCCAATGTCGACCATAATGGAGTTTAATAAAGTTGTCATAACTGACGTTTCTATCATTATCAAATACTGTATAGTATTATTCCTGTGGAGTGTCATCGATGATTAATCGAAGAATCGCCGATGAACGATGAAGAATGATTTAGAATAAGTTAACTTGGTTATTTTTCAGTCGGGATAATTTCATATACAGAGTATCATTAAACACGTGAAACTTTGAGAAAAGATAGAGAGTCCATACTGACCGTATCTGCTTATCGCATTTCATCTGAGTTTTCATTTCCTCAGTATCCGACGTGGCGCAGGGTTCCTCGTGAAAAATCTTTATTATCTCTATGAATTTTTTCCGGTAAACCAGTATGTTTCCCATTTTGCCACAGGCGACCATCGCGGTAACAAGTATATAAGTCGTCTCGATGAAATCGTCCACGTTGTCCGCTATCAACGCGGCAATCAACTGAGTAAGTGTGAAGTTGACGGAAACGCACAACACGAATATAGTGTAGATGCTGTATACCACTGTTTTAAATCGCGACGACCACGTAATCGGTCGCCAGACACCACAGATCGCGAGAATCTTGAATATTATCGACATCTCCATGATTTTAATCAACGAATACTTCATTCATCCATTCCTCTGGTAATCAACGCGAATCTAATAATCACTGGCAAGATAACGTAAATTTCTGTTTACAATTTCCGTTCACAATTTCCGTTCTAGCAAAGTGACGAACTTGTCCAGTTTACTCTTAAGAGAAAGACTGAATCGACTGGAGTCGTTTCTCCATTATTTTTAAAAGATGTAGAACGGCACATGTAATGTAAGAAATATTTAATGTCAAGTTGATCACCCTTTAGTTATTCGAAGAAATATGCGAACTATCAGAGGCGAGCCTGAAGAATGGTGTGCATTAGCGATGCACCCCTTCTCTACATGTTATTTAATTTAACGTTGCCTTTCCTTGACGACTATTAAATTTGCATAAGGGATGATACCTTTATTGCAACGTATCGTCAACCTTATTATTAGTTAGCTATCCCTGAGATAGATAAAAATGAAATAAAGCGAATCGATAATTTGTTTTCTGACTGTAGAGCGCAGTTTTACGCTCTCGTTGAGTTGGTCAGCCAGTTGGAAAAAGTTAGGAATCGAGCGACTGTGTATATCGCTAAGCTCTATTATAATTCATGTATACCTAATTGTGTTTCGATAAACAAATTGTACGCCATAGTTTTAGCATTAAATCATGTACTTTTATTTCTGTTCTGTGTTCGTGACGACTGGACGAAATGAAAATGTTGTGTTAATGGTTTATATTACGGATGTGAATATTTATATTTTTTTCATCAACTCTAAACTTTCGATACTAATTAGTTTGTTTGATTGTAGGGCCCGGAATAAGAATAGCTTCAGTGGAGAAGAAGTTGTTCAAGTGGTACTTCCAGAAAGATATTTTCACGATCTGCAAATATTTCGTGATGAAATTGTCCGTTTGACGTCTTGACTCTGAAGAAAGGCAAACCGATGTACGAAGCAGGAAATTGTATTGAAGTCAAGTTTTAACGAGTTAATTATATTTCTCTTCTGTACAGTATATTATTAGTTGCACTAAATGTGTTCTACATCCAGCACAGATTTCGAGTGGTCTTAATCTACGAATGAAGACAATTCACTTTCGATGTACTATCATTGAGTTTGTTGAGGCAAGTTATACGCCGAGTAGGAAGTCTTTAACAGCTGTAATAAGCAGACATTTGAGTTTAGGTGAGTTTTCAACTACTTTAAATACTTAAATACTTAGGAATACTGAAGTATGAATGAAGTCGATGTCTTAATTAATTCTTGCGAAAATAGCTTATAACACTTTATATGTGTAGGATACATTATACATATATTGCTTGAAAAATTCATTTGCTTCATACTGACCGCTTTGAATGAATCGAGATTCACGGACAAAACGTAAAAACTGGTAAATTGAATGGGAATCATTGCTCGTCTCATGATCATTAGCAGAATGTTCTTAGTGTTGTTACACAAAAACGTCCAGTCGCATTTTGTACATGAAAGTGTATGAGGAAGCGTTCAGTCTTCACGAGAGTCACTCTTTGCCTGACGAAGTCTTCGATGAATATTTTAAGGGATCTGGGACTGTCCACGCAATGTACGATGCCTTCGGTACTTTTATCCATGTGGATTTTGTATTGGTTAGTGTTCGTGCTGCAGGTTGAGAGGTTGTAGCCACCATTATCGTGAAAGTTGCGGATATGACAAACATTTAATAGTTGAATTGTGCAAAAAGTAACAAAGACGAGATAAAATAATTGTGAGTTCTACAGTACGACGAGCTTCGACGATGACGTAAGTTTCAAATATCCATCGTTTAATTTGTTTCAAGAATTCAAGTCGCGTTCATTTTCATCGGTTTATAGGGTTGTTACTAGCAATTATGCTTAAATGCAAATGTAGATCGAGGGGCATAAAAACTTCATCGAAGTTATACTATTTTCTGCAAAAGATATTATTATTCGTTTCCAATGTAATACGCTACATATTGAAGTACGTGTTCCGAGGCTCCCCAATTAAGTGATTTACTTATTTCTCATTTATGTATACTCCAAGATTATATGCCACAAGAAGATTGAATCCATATTTATTCACTGACTTTGTTGAAGCAAAGTGTACGCCGAGTAGGAGCTCTTGAGTATCTGTAATATTCAATAAAATCGAAAATTCACATGCAGCGTGAAAAAATATTAAAGTTGAATTTATTTTATCTTAATTTTTATTTGAGTTACTTCGAAACATTTTGTTCATGAAAAAGGTCCAACAGTGTTGAGAAGACTGTATCGTATCAAGAAAATTCATTTACTCTGTTCATACTTACTGCTTTGAATGTTTCGAGATTTACAGAAACCAGATAAACACTAACAAGTTCGACAGGCACCGTTCCACGTCTCATGATCATTAACAGAATCTTCTTAGTACTGTCGTTAAAAGACGTCCAGTTACTCTCAAATACCATGTTAGGAACGTCGAGACTCTGCGCACAAAAATTTCACGATTAATTACATTTTTCAATTAAAAGATATACTCTATTATCTTAGGAATGAACCTTGAGTTTCACTTCATTCCCGTACCAACAGTAGTAATAGAGCTGCACAAGCGTGCACGAAGCGTACATCATTATTTCCGCGGTTTTCGAGCCCAAATTTGTCTGCGTCAATCGATAAAGATCGAAGCACACAGTCATCGTACTCGCCAGAAACTGAATACACACGATTACCTTGAATTCTTCGTTTACCATTTTAGCGAATCTGCAATAATATCAGACGGGGACTATTTTATTTTGAGCACCATCCACCGAACACATACGTTTCAGGGCAAACAGTCTCTAATCATTAAACTTATTTCTCCGAACCAGTGTACTCGTGAAAAGTGCGTCAAATTGGTGCCACGTGCCGCTAATTGTCACGTAAACAATTGTCTGACGAGTATACAGGGTGTATCTTAACGCGTACGATTCATTTAGGCCCGTCGAGGATCGACAATGCGAAAGTGGTGCAAATTGTAATCAGGCGAAGCTTACCGGTACGTGAAAATACGAATAGAAAGATTCACAAAAGTATATGCAAATGTATATGCAAATTCAAATTCATATTTCCACAGATAGAAATAAAGAAATGAAATTTAAACGAAAGTATCTCGTATCTTTTAAATAGTGTAATGTATTTTATCGTTGATATTTTATATATTTCTCAATTTGTAATTCTGCAGTCTATTAATTACATTTCGAATTCCTGAACTTTAGTCACCTTCAAATGTGCAAACGTTCAAGTTAAAATGAAAATTCGTAATTATACCATTACAATAAAAATGAATAACATGGTGGACAGAGAATCTAAAAAGGTTCAAACGATAACAATTTTCTCAAATACTTTATGACATCGATTGGCCACTGTGGTACGATACCCCCTGTATATTTGCAATAACTAATCGTGTCAAATCTGCTCCTAAGGTTTCTAACGCTAAGAAACTGGGAGACCAACTTGTATATATGACTATGATGACGAGCACACTGTTTCACTGAATCGATCTCGTCACTTTGAGTAGTTTGCAGACGGTGACCGAGTATCTCGAATTGACAGTAAATGTGAATCAATAGACCACTGAACAGACTGTCACACGCAACGTTTGATAGAATGCAGATCGTAGAACTTAGGGCTTGATGACCGTAGGCTAAGCTAAACAATAGCGGCGTGGAATAGTTGAAGGGTAACCAGGCGCGAAACGTTAAGTTCTTGTTCTCGAATTCTACGAGAAGCGACGTTACAAACATCCATATTATACAGGATTCGATTATTATTGTATAGGCCATTGTGTTCCATCTGCAAAAGTACTATTGGTGAACATTCAACCGTATTTCCATCATTACTTATTTCACCACTGCGATGCCACTTCGTCTCTGTCAAATTACTACTTCTTGATAAACGGCCACTTACTCTGATATTTTGTGGAATTTCGTTTGAATTTCAATTTCGTCGACGCCCACTGGTAGAAATGGCTCCTCTTCGAGTGTATCGGCTAAGAATTTAATATTCCCTCGAGTGAATAACATAATACACATTTTAAGGCAGGTGACGAGCATCGGCAACGTGATGTAGAAGTTGTCGCCAAAATCATCCTGATTATCGACATTGAAAACCAGGTCCAAAATGAGAGTTATTACGAGAGTCTGCATGACCAAAAACACGAGAACCGTATAAATATTGTACAAGAATTTCTTGCTCGGCGACGTCCAAGATGATGGCCGCGAGCAACCGCATATTGTCATAAGTATGAATATCCTTCGCAGTATACGCATCGTCCGTATCCGTCAAAATTTCCTGTACTTTCGTATTGGGCGGCTGGAAAATTTTCCTTACCAAAATAGACACAAACGACTGTGTTGTGTATCGATTTTCTGTTGCGTTTCGTTCGAGGATCCGTTTTCATTCGTATAATACCAAGACGATCACGTTATTCTTTCGTTGGGGATGATACAATGACACAGTGTCACATACAATGACTCGGGCACGCTAGCCTCGTAATAATAAAATAAAAATGACTGGGATATGAGAATGATTGGGATACTATGTTGTCTTTGACACAGTAACTCTTCCCTTTGCCAAGTTTTCCATAATACTGAAGATTATAGAACGTCGACATTTCTTACCCTCCACGAAGATGATTATATCGGAGACTTTCCCTTCTAACTCGCGAGCTATATAATTATGTAAATTATTGATCGATCGATTCTCTTAATAACTGCAATGCGTACTTCGATATTTGTAATTTCACTTCCCCGTTGAGTTGTTTTCCATCGCGTGTTTACGCAAAGGGGGATATTTCAAGAAGAAAATAAATAGAAAACGACGATAAAACGACGACAAGTGCATAGAATTTTAAATCACAAACGGAAAGACAATGTAATACTGCAATTGTTTTCAATATTAATGGGGAAAAATAGAACTCAAAAGACAGCAACTCTCTTCGGTGTTTCGTTTATGCTTTAGTACTAGCTCGCAATCGTTGTCAGAAAATTTATTTCGTGAATGAGGTGACAGACAATGACAAACACTGTGACGGAGGCAACGATTGGTTATAAATTGCGTTGCCGTTCATACCGAGTAATGCAAACACATTGTTCAGGCGTTACTCGAGACTCATGTTCGTTCCAGTTCTTTATTCACCGAGATTTTCGCTAACGGCGGAGCACGTTGAACGCTGAGTAAGACGATTTTACTATCTGCAACGAATGTATATTTGGTTCGTTTGATTATTGTTTGCGAATCAACGCGTTCACTGGCGAATTCGAGATTTTATTTTGTACTTACGGTCTTGAAAGACTCGAGGTTTATGGACACGAGGTTTGCAGTGGAAAATTCGATGGGCGTCGTTGCGCGTTTCATAATCATTAAGAAGATCATCTTAGAGTCATTGTCCAAGGATGTCCAGTCAGTCTCGCCGACAACTTCAGCCATTTGGAGACTCTACAGACGTAAACGATTGTGTATAATTGTTCTTCTTTAATCGAAGATTAAATTCTATAACTTGAGACGAAACCTTTTCTCGCACTTCGTTCCCGTACCAGCAGAAAAATAGTATGTGCAGGTATGTATTAAATGAGAAAAGCATAATTTCATATACTTTCGATGGATCCTCGTTATTCGTGATACGGTAAAGATTCAAGCAACACAGTATTGTGCTCAACAGGTATTGAAGAAGCGTTATAATTTTGAATTCTTCATTTATCATCGTAGCGAATCTGTAACCATATCAAGAGAAATTATTTTGTCCAGCACAATTATACTGTATATGTATACTATTCGTGTTATCAGTATCACGAATCACAAAATAGATTTCTTTTATATTCTTGTTGCTTAACGTTTTTGCGATACTTTTTCTGAACTATGTATAAAATATTTCAAAATTGAAAGTTCATAATTAAGTTGGTTTTATAAATTGCTCTCAAACTCCCAGCCATACAAAAACGTGTTTCAATAAAAAAATTAATAGTATTTTAGAAAATTAGATACTCACTTGTATATATGATCATGGAGACGAGCGCACTGTTTAGCCGAATGGTTACCATACTTTATAACATTACTCATGCGATATGCAAGTATGTCGAAAGCGCTGTAATTGTGGATCAACAAACCGCCGAACAGATTGTCACAGGTAATATTCATAAGCAAACAAAATGTCATAACTAGAAATTGATATATGTAAACAACAGTAAATTTAGGTAACGAAGTCGTAGGATAAAAGTTGTAGGGTATGAAGATTCGAATGACTAATTTTCTTTGCATGAATTCTCTGGCGAGCGAATTTATAAGTATCAATACATAACAGCCTTCGATCAATGTAACGTAGATCATCAAGTTCCTTCTGCAAAGGAATGTAAATGTTAATCGTTGGACCGTATTCGTATAGAGGTGTTCTGGTTTGTATGATTGAATAATAGTCGAATTTCAGAAATTTCTTTTGTAAAATGGAAACTCGAACAAAAACGCTCAATTGAAGTACGATTGGCAACAAAAATCGTTAGATCCTCGGAGGTTATCGCGATACCGTCCAAAAAACGATAGCCTGCCATAAAGTTAAACAATAATCGCTACCATTATTTTAAACAACAACCAAGCGAATGCAAACTCACTTTGCCCACTTTTCGTATTTCGATTGAATCTTGACCTCATCGTCGTTGGCCGGCCCTAGAGGTTCCGACTGCATGGTTTTGATAAGAACGTCATAGTTGTCACGACTGCTTAACATATAGCACAATTTACAACATGAAGCGAAGACTCCCATCGTCAGGTAGAAATTCTCGCAAAAATCGTCTTGGTTTTCGACGACATATACAATGTCCATTACCTGTGATATCAGGTGGCTGTGTACCAGAAAAAACAAAAACATTGTATAAACATTGTACAAAGACTTTTGCGTCGAAGACGTCCAAGTAGACGATGGCGCGGCACCGATCGCGCGTTGAAGCGCGTATATGCACTGCAGAAAATTCATTACCAATTTTATAGACAATTTCGATTAGACCGATGTATTTATTAACAAGAAGTAACACAGCAAATCGTGATTCGTATACAACCTTTACGTTTACCTCGTATCCAAGTTCTAGTTCTGTTATTTTAATACGAACTGCGACATAGTCTTTGATTAGCTTACTCTCTGAACGTTGACGAGTTTAAGTGACAAGACATTTGGGATACTACTTCGATGGTAAAACGGCAAGATAAAATTGCGAACGAATAGATATATCGCAATATCTTCGCAATCCTGATCCGACGTTGAACGATGGCTCAGTTATGACTCAGATACGATGTGAGGGTGTAAAATAATCGTATTCTTCGTTCGCGCGTAAAGGAACGCGTTTCCTCGAGTTTCCGTCTTTTCGTCTTCACCTACTGTATAATTATCATAATAACCGCGGATACGTCAACGCGACTTATTTATATTTTACAAACGTAAAGACGCCATGTCTCCTATACGTAATATTGTTTCGCGTTCTGCTCGTTTTCCCTCTTTGAAGCACTCCGCGGAGTCGTATTCCGTGGTAGAAATAATTAAGAGTTGTCGGTGACAAATATATAATAGGCGTCATGTGACACGCGAGGTAGGAATTTATAATGAGGAAAGCGGAATAAATAATTAAGATGCGCGAGGTGTCATCACCCTAGCATTTCTTCTACTGTATCTGTTGTTTTGTTTCGATGTCAGATGTCGATGAGCGACATCGTAATTATCGTCGAATGTTTAATTGCTTGGAGGGGCGGCTGGCAATGTAAGACGTTGTAAGTAAGGACGAATTAGTCTTCAGTGCAACGCCATTAGCAGAGTTGAATAGAGTTCATCGGTGTTCTCGAGTGACATTTGGCTATGTTTTCTTAAATAAAATTGCCAACGTAAAATAACAGAGAAAGTTCAGTGATTCCTTGAAAAAACAATCGGAGAAGGTGAGGAAACATTAAACGTTTTTCATAGATACGTGAGAAAGAAGAATATGAAGAACGTCAAATACTGTCATCGTCCATTCGTTGCTTCTTTATTTGATGTATGTGTTTTACATCAGTCGTCGAATGATGCCTAGTCTCACAAGTGACACCGCAAACGGTATTAGGAAACCTTTATCTACATCCTTTCTTAAAAAAATAATGCTAATCTCCTCTAGATTTCTCAATCTCTTCGGAGGACGTTAAACACCGAGTAAGATGCTTTCACTATCTGTAACAAGTGTATACGCGACACGTTTGATTATTGTTCGTGTTTTGCTATAGGGATAGGCAACTCGCGACACTTTGTGAATTTTAATTAGAATCATCCTATCAGTTAAGAAAATATAAATATTTTATACTAACGGCCTTGAAAGATTCGATATTCACGGGGATGACGTGCACGCAGGATAGTTCGATGGGCACCGTAGCGCGTTGCATTATCATTAAAAGAATCTTCTTGGACTTGATGTCCAAAAATTGCCAGTTACTTTCCATTATTACATCAGGAATTTCGAGACTCTGTCGAGAAAAGGGTTCCATCAAATTCTGTTAATTTGAGGGGGTATTCTAGTCTAGAATTTTAATTTGTAGGTATTTTCTTGGATTTTCATTTTTTAAATCAATATTCTTTTTTTTACTGTTCTAGACTAGAGCACACCCTCTTAATGGTAAATTAAATTTCGTTGTTATAAGAACCTACCTTCAACTTGACTTCGTTCCCATACCAACAGTAGTACAGTATCTGCATAAAAGTGCAGACTGAGAAAAGTATTACTTCGATAAATTTTGAATCCAGGTCGGTTTGCGTAAGTCGATAAAGGTTCATACAACACAAGAGTATGCTTGTAGAAAATTGAACAAATACCAGCGCTCGAAATTCTTCGTTTACCTTTGTGGAGAATCTGCAATGATATTGGAACAAATTATTTTCCACTTCTTCACTTCTTTTTTATTCATTGTGTCCTTAATTGTGTTACATGGAAAATAGTCGAAAGAATTTTAGATAATTGTGAGTTTTTCGATATGTATGTAAGACGTGCATGATGATATACAGGGTGTCCCAAAAATGTTGTAACACATTGAAAGGGGTGGTTTGGGAGGTAATTTGAAACAACTTTTTCCTTAGCGAAAATGTTGTCCGAGGCTTCGTTGAGGAGATATTAAGAGAAAAGCTTGACCAATCAGAGCGCGCGGATACCGTTGGAGTGGGCGCGGTAACGATGGCTACGTGCTTAGCGGCCGCGTCCAATGCACGTCGAGTCGCTTGTCGCGTACAAGCGCGGCCGCGTAGCACATAGCCTTCGCTACCGCGGCCGCTCCAACGGTATCCGCACGCTCTGATTGGTCAATGTTTTCCGTTAATATCTCCTCAACGAAGCCTCGGACAACATTTTCGCTAAGGAAAAAGTTGTTTCAAATCACCCCCTGAACCAACTCTTTCAAGGTGTTACACCTTTTTTGGGACACCCTGTATAATCATTTATTGGAATTACCCCCCGAGTGAAGGAAAATCACAGATCTCGTTCTCATTCTTCTATCGTCCTGTAGGTATTAAGTACAGAATTACAGAAACTCAAATGATTATTGCTAGTAAATTATTGTAGATTATATAAATGCAGACTTACTGTGGCGATTGCTCGATTTTCAAGTGCTAGCCATGAAGACTGCCATAAGTTTGAGATTTAAGGAACTTTATACCAAGAATAACAAAACAATTGTGTACAAGTGGTATAAAAACTGTTTTATTGGATACGTCCAAAAAGACGTACACAAAGTCCAATATAATCATCACATTTATCATATTATGTATAATTTATCATAGTTTGGCGTGTTCGCTAGCATTAAGGTGCACAACAATTTGGGATTAACGTACGATGTTCCCATTTGTTTAATTCATAAACAATAGTTTTATTAATGTTTTAATACTAGGGGAGGAATTCTTACAACCTCGTTGGCATCACGACTCACAAAAATTTTACTTTTACGAATTTCTTCTTCTTGTCTTAATTATTATAACTTGCAGGATTTCAGGAGATAGGCTTTTTTATATACCGAGTGAATCCTCGCATTCTCGATGATACTCCTAATTCTGATTGAGCAAGTTATACGCCGAGTAAGAAGTTTTCAGGAGCTGTAATAAACAAACGGTTAAAAAGGATAAAATGAGAACATTAGGTCAACTTTCTCATTATGTTGCCAGTCGTGTACTAGATGTTGGCAGTGCGGTGGATTAGAGGAAGGAATGCCAAATTCTCAAACTGTGTTTCATAGTACACTATCTACTTAATCACTGATTTATGATCATTACATTCTGTTAATTATGTTTTTGAGTGTTTTGTACGAAGCCATTTAAAGTTGTTCGATTTCATGGATTTCACGTGAAAAAATATTTTTATTGTTTCAGGTAAAAATTACAAGGATCACCGATTTCTTTTATAAGCGACGATATATTTTTCCTTGGTCTCGAGGAAAAGACCAGTAAAACGAATATAATGATCTCCAGTTCAAGCTCATCATTACCAAAGCGCTTAGAAAAGATCGAGGTAAGTAACAGTTCAGGAATTTGCATCCTCAAGACAATACGTATATTTTGTACTGACTCCCATGAAAGACGCGAGGTTCATCTCCACAGCGTAGATGCTAGTGAATTCGATAGGCATCGTTGCACGTTTCATCATCATTAGAAGAATCTTCTTAGCGTCGCTATCCAAACACTCCAAATTGCATTCCATTACCATGTCGGAAATCGCGAGACTCTACGGAGGGAAATTTCGCATAATATCGCGATGTTTTGATTGAATTTATTATCTCAACACGGAACCTTCAGTCGGACTTCGTTCCCATACCAACAGTAATACAATATCTGCATAAGCGCGGAGCTCGTGTAGGTAACCATTACTGCGTACTTCGTGTCCACTTCCTTTTGGGTCAGTTGATAAATTTCGAGGCACATTGTCGCAATGGTCGCCAGAAACTGAACAAGCATTATCATCTTGTACACCCCGTTCACTTTTGTGGCGAATCTACGGTGGTTAGAAAAGGAATTATATTTATTGAGCTCAGGAAATGAGTTCAATGAAATATCAACGGTATTTTGTGGATGCAACTCGAAATACTGTAACACCTTGGAGCCATACATCGATAAATCAGTACTTGGTATTAGAAACGTAAAATATCATCCGGTCGCGATCGTGTTAAGAAATTCTGACTGTGATCGAAACGTGCTTGCGATTGAGCTTGGAGATTCCCAATGAAGTCCTGCATTTCGTATTCAATTATTTAAATATTCATTAAGTAAATTCTTCCATGTGTGTGAAATTGGTAGAGGACCAGGAAACTTTGTTACTAAGCAAGTCATGTCGAAGAAAAGTAAAAGACTCCTTACTCATGACGCCATTGTCTTGTTCATATTAAACGCACAATTATCTTAACTTTCTGTAAAAAATGTTCATTCTTCTTACAAATCACAAACAGACGCCTCTTGCCTCTTGACTATTTACTATATTATTTAGAACTATTCATACGCATATTTAGAATAAAATAAATAGACTGCTACAAATATTTCCAACTGTTTCGAATTTGTAGAGTGCCAGTAATGCAAACATTATTATTACGTTCGGCAATTGAGAATTTGAGAAAATAACTTGTCCGTGACTTCGAAGAAAATGACTTCTTAAAGAACTGCGTCCAAGTTTCTAATTCTCTCCCCGAGCGCGTTTAACTTGAAGAAAAAAATGTGAAACCCACTTGTATATATGATTATGAAGACGAGCGCATTGTTTAGCCGAATCCTTTCCATATTTCTTTATATTTCTCAGACGATATCCAAGTATCTCGAAAACGCAGTATATATGGATCAGCAAGCCGCTGAATAGATTGTCGCAGGCGATGTCTAAAATCGTGCAGATCGTCATACTTAGCGCTTGATGAATGTACGTAATGGAAAATAGAAATAAAGATGAGTAGTCGTAGGGTATCCAGGCTCGGTAAGGTAATCTTTTCGCTTTGAAATCTTTGGTAATCGTCGATGCGTACATGAATACTAGGCAGCTCTCCATTGCTATTGTGTAGGCGATTATGTTCCTTCTGAAAATCATAATATTACGATTACTTGTATTGGTAGAGTCCAAGGTTTCAGAACACAAATTCATCGTTGACTCACTTTGCCCAATTCTCGAATTTCATTTGAATCTCGACTTCGTCGCTGTTGACCGGCTTCAGAGGCTCCTCTTGGAGGCTGTCGATCAAAATTACGTAACTCTTGTGACTCGTTAGAAGATTATACATTTTGCAACAGGCAACGAAGATCCCCAGCGTCAAATAAAAATTGTCACTGAACTCGTCCTGGTTTTCGACGTTGAACACTATGTCCAGAATTTGAGTTACCAGGAGAGCGTGTATCATGAGTAACAAAACAATCGTGTAAACATTGTACAGAAACTTTTTCGTCGTCGACGTCCAGGATGCCGGTCGTGAACAACCGCCCACGGCTAGGTACGTGAATATCCACCGCAGTAATTGCATTACCGATTACAGGGCGTTGAACAACGAACGCAATTTCAATACTAACTTTACATTTATTCAATTCCAAGCGCTATTTCTATTTCTTTTTTATACGTATTTCTTTATTTTGCACCTCAAGTTTTGATTGGTTTATTCCCAAAGTATCGACAAGATTAAACGAATCATCGAAGAAACTTAGTAGAAAACAAAGAACAACACGACTTTGTTCTTAGTATGATTTACAAATGTATGAATACACCAAGAGAAGCGATGCTTTATATTCGCGATCTTGATTGCTTAATGGATGGAGGTTTGGGTATTACTGAATGGCTCACTCCCCATATCCTGTACCCATAGAAGAACGAGTTTCTTCGAATTGTTTTCCCTTCGCCTTTACCAGTATTATTCTAATAACCGAGGATATGTAAACGCGACTTCTTAATATTTCATAAGAGTAAAGACACGGCTTCCCCTATTCGTAACAATACTCTAGCATCATGTACGACAGTTTCCGTTGCAACACTGGATTGTAATTTGTCTTGAAAATAAATATAAAATGTCGACATCAAATTCCATAAAGATAATGAATAGTCTAAATGGAAATTAGAGAATAAATATTTGAATGGTATAAGCTGATATCGTTTCTGCGTTCATCTGTCTACTTCAAATCCATACGACTTTGACGACACGCGTCAAATTTGATTTCTTCGAACAGATGTAAAGATGAAACGTTGATAGAAAGTCTATTGTTTAGCACGACATCTAGAACAGTATTAATTGCCGGTGTACAATCGAATTCTGTAAACGTTTCCTGCGATGGGAGAAGAGGTTAATATTTGGAAGGCTCTGGATAATATCCATACACGAATCACCATCGACGAGGTGCGTTTCGAAATTGCTTAATAATATTTTAAAGGGTCAATTGTTAAGAAATCTGTACCAACTTATACGACGAGTATGTAGACTTAGAAACAAAATATGGATTTTGTTTAGTTTGATATTTTTAATTATGGAAGCAATAATTGCTTGTTAAGGATAAAATAAACATTAAAGAATCGACATGTGCATAGAATCCTGAATTACAAAGAAGCAATTTAATACCGTAATTCTTTTCAAAGAGAACAAAAAATATTTGGAAGACAGTGTAGACTCTTCTCGGTACTTTGTTTATAGTTCAGTACTTGCTCGCTGTTGATATCAAACATTTTATTTCGTGAATGAGGTGATAGACAATGACAAACACTGTGACGGAGGCAACAATTGTTTATAATATGTGTTGCCGTTCATACCGAGTATTGCAAGCATGTTCTTCAAGTGTTGTTCGGGACTGGTTTCCTTTCATTTTTTCCATTTATCGAGAGGTACGTTCATGCAGATGGGTTAATCAATTTACGTTAACGACGCAGCACGTTGAACGCCGAGTAAGACGTTTTTATTATCTGCACCAAGTTTATGTTTAATTAGTTTGAGGACTGTTTCAAGCTGTAAGAAGTTACCTGAACCATCGTGTATGTATTTTATACTTACGGTTTTGAAAGACTCGAGGTTTATGGACACGAGATTTGCAGTAGAAAATTCGATAGGCATTGCTGAGCGTTTCATAATCATTAAGAAAATCATCTTAGAGTCGTTGTCCAAGTATGCCCAGTCAGTGTCGATAACCATTTCCGCCATTGTGAGACTCTATTGATGTAAAAGATTGTGTATAATTGTTCTTCTTTAATCGAAGATTAAATTCTATAACTTGTAAAGAAACCTTCTCTCGGACTTCGTTCCCGTACCAACAGAAAAATAGTATGTGCAGGTATGTATTGAATGAGAAAAGCATAATTTCATATAGTTTAGATGGGTCTTCGTTTTTCGTGAAACGATAGAGATTGAAGCAACACAGTAACGTGCTCACCAGAAATTGAAGAAGCGTTACCATTTTGAATTCTTCATTTATCGTCGTAGCGAATCTGTAACCATATCAAGAGAAATTATTTTGTCCAGCACAATTATATTGTATATGTATACTATTCGTGTTATCAGTATCACGAATCACAAAATAGATTTCTTTTATATGCTTGTTGCTTAACGTTTTTACGATACTTTTTCTGAACTATGTATAAAATATTTCAAAATTGAAAGTTCATAATTAAGTTGGTTTTATAAATTGCTCTCAAACTCCCAGCTATACAGAAAAGTATTCCAATCAAAAGTTGAATGGTATCAATAGAAAATAGAAACGTACTACTTTCATCGGGCATTGTCAATTTTTTGGGAAAATTAGATACTCACTTGTATATATGATTATGGAGGCGAGCGCACTGTCTAGCCGAACGGTTACCATACTTTATGATACCTTTCATCCGATGCGCGAGTATCTCGAGAATGCTGTACGTGTGAATCAACAAGCCGATGAACAGATTGTCACAGGTAACATTAACAAGCGAACAGACCGCCATAACTATAAATTGAATAATGAAAACAATAGTGAATCTCGGTAGAGAATTAAAATCGAAGGGTAACCAGATTCGCATGATTAATTTTCTGTTTTTGAATTCTGCGTAGATCGAATGTATAGTCATCATTACTAGACAGGATTCCATTAATGTCAAGTAGATCATCAAGTTCCTTCTGCAAAGAAATGGAAAAGCTAATCGTTGGACCATATTCGCATGATTAGTATCGCTATAGATACTCTCCATCACAGACGGAATAATAAAACACCAAAGCAAAAATTGTAAAGTGATGGAATAGTAAAGAGGCGTTCTGGTTTGTGTGGTCAAAAATAGTCGAGTTTCAGAAATTTTTTTTGTAAAACCCTACCCTACCATAAATTGAAACAATTATTATCGCTACGATTACTGTAAACAACAACCATGCGAATACAAACTCACTTTGCCCACTTTTCGTATTTCGATTGAATCTTGACTTCATCGGAGTTGGTCGGCACCAGAGGTTCCGACCGCATGGTGTTGATAATAATCCCATAGTTGTCGCGACTTCTCAACAAACAGTACAATTTACAACAAGAAGTGAAGATCCCCAGTGTCATGTAGAAGTTCTCGCAGAAATCGACTTGATTATCGACGACATACACAATGTCCATTACCTGTGATATCAGGTTGCTGTGTATCAGGAAAAACAAAAATAGTGAATAAACATTGTACAAAGACTTTTGCGTCGAAGACGTCCAAGAAGACGGTGGCATGGCACCGACCACGCAGAGAAGCGCATATATCCACTGCACAAAATTCATTACCAATTTTGTAGACAATTTCGATTAAACTGATGTATTTATTAACAAGAAGTAATACAGCAAATCGTGATTCGTATACAACCTTTACGTTTGCCTCGTATCCAAGTTCTAGTTCTGTTATTTTAATACGAACTGCGACATAGTCTTTGGTTAGCTTACTCTCTGAACGTTGACGAGTTTAAGTGACAAGACATTTGGGACACTACTTCGATGGTAAAACGGCAAGATAAAATTGCGAACGAATAGATATATCGCAATATCTTTGCAATCCTGATCCGACGTTGAACGATGCCTCAGATATGACTGAAGGGTGTAAAATAATTGAATTCTTCGTTCGCCCTTAAAGGAACGCGTTTCCTCGAGTTTCCGTCTTTTCGTCTTCACCTACCGTATAATTATCATAATAACCGCGGATACGTCAACGCGACTTATTTATATTTTACAAACGTAAAGACGTCATGTCTCCTATACGTAATATTGTTTCGCGTTCTGCTCGTTTTCCCTCCCATGAAGCACCCCGGAGAGTCGTACTCCGTGGAAGAAATAAATGAAAGTTATCGGTAACAAATATAGCGACACATGATACGCGAGGGTGGAATTTATAACGAGGAAAGCGGATTAAATAATGAAGATGCGCGAGGTGTCGTCACTCTAGCATTTCTTCTTTTCTATCTGTCGTTTAGTTTCGTCGAACATGAAGGGACAGCTACAAACATAAAACGTTAGAACTAAAGACTAATCGGTTTTCAGTGCAACACCATCAGCAGAGTTGAATAGAATTTATCGGTGTTCGCAAGTACAACTATATTTTCTTAAATAAAGTTTGCGAGACAAAATAACAGAAAGTGTTCCGTGATTTCTTGAAAAAAATTCGCTAAAGGTGATGAGTCATTGAACGTTTGTTATTGATAAAAAGAAAAAGAAGAATATGGCGAATACCAGAGTCTATTCGTTCCTGTGTTTATTTGAATTTCCTGTTTTATGCCTGAGATGACAAAGGAAACCCGTATTGCCTAAGCAAATTTGTCACAAGAATTACAACATCAGTAGTTTTCGATAGAATTTGCTAATTCATTTCTATAATATTCGTTTCTACATTCACTAGTATGTACAATTTTGAAGTGTATGTTTCCACTTTCTTCTCCTTTCATCCCCCTTTCTTCGATTACTTCGCCCTAAAGATAACGTATATTTTTTAGTGATCCTTAAATTTGTGTTTATAATACGTAGCGTTGTTTCCATCGCGTGTTTTTAAAAAGAATATGCCACAGAGAAAATAGACAGAAAAAAGTCAAATGCATTATAGGGACGCAAAATTCAAATTCTTTTACCATTTTTTTACCACATTTGCCATTCGTACCGAGTATCGCGTGTTCCTCGTGTTGTTCGTGATTTATCTTTCTCTTTCATTCGCTGAGTAGTAGGTCCGTTCGAAAAAGCTGATAAATTTTTCTTTAAAAACAACGCACAACTCTTCTAGTTCTCTCGACGTTGGCGGAGTACGTTAAATACCGAGTAAGATGTTTTTACTATCTGTAACAAGTGGACTTGTCCGATACATCCGGTATAATGCTATCATTCGTTTTCAAATCAGACAAAAATAATTGAGAAATTATAATGATACGGTGATCGTTTAAAAAATGACGAACATAATTTTTCTGAGTCTCTCAGACAGTCGATGATACCAGTGAGTTAAGAAGACGTATATAAATATTTTCTACTGACTGTTTTGAAAGATTCGAGATTCATGGAGATGACGTGCACGCTGGAAAACTCGATAGGCACCGTCGCACGTTTCATCATCATAAGTAGTATCTTCTTAGCGTCGTTGTCCAAAGCTGGCCAGTTACATTCGAGTATTACATCGGGAATTTCGAGGCTCTGTCAATGAATGTGTCGTATAAAATTCTGAACATTCAAATTGCAATTCACTCCAAGCTCATATCGAATTCTTCGTTGACCCTTAGAAGCCCGATTTTCCAAATTAAAGTTACGAAAATATCGACGTGTCAAATTTGAAATTTAGGGCATTTAAAATCTAGGCTTAAAAGAACGTACCTTCAGTTTCACCTCGTTGCCATACCAACAATAATACAGTATCTGCATAAGCGTGCACACCGCGTACACCATCATTTCCATAAATTTCGACTCCGTTCCGTTTTGGTCGAGCCGATAAAGGTCGAAGCAACACATCGCCATGCTCACCAGAAATTGAAAAAACACTATCGTCTTAAATTCCTCGTTCACCATCGTGGCAAATCTGCAAAACGCTCGACAAAATTTTCTTTTCTCTTCTCGCGCATTCTGTATTTGAAGAAAAATAAAATGATCGAACCCACTTGTATATATGGTTATGAAGACGAGCACATTGTTTAGCTGATTCATTTCCATGTTTCACGATATTCTTCAGACGATATTCGAGTATCTCGAAGACGCAGTAAGTGTGGATCATGAAACTGCTGAATAGATTGTCGCAGGTAATGTTCAGGAACGTGCAGATCGTCATACTTAGCATTTGATGGGCGTAAGTGATAGAGAACGCAGGCAGCGAGGTGTAGTTGTACGGTATCCAGGCTCGATATGTTAACTGTCTCGTTTTGAAATCTGAAGAAACAGACGTCGCGACCATGCATCCTAAACAACATTCTATTACCACTATGTAGACAATCGCGTTCCTCCTGTAAATAATATTATTTGGATGACTAGCAATCTTTTTTTCGTGCATTATGTATATCACAGTGAAACTTTTTATTTTTTGTATGTTTTTCATATTAGTGTACTGTCGCTGGAAGGGATCTTGTCAGGTCGTAAACCGAAACAGTGGTTATTGCTTTATTGTGCCAGGTAACTGATCCGTAGGACGACAGGGGTGTCGCGGCTCTACAGTATACATGCCCACGTTACACCCCGGGGCCCCAAGACTTGATGTTTGCTACGCGGGTTTTTTCAAATTGGAAAAACCGAAAACTCTTGACGATGATTGGTTAACTAAGTTCTTACCTACCATAGTATTTTCAATAAGTAGACAGCTCTCGTATGTGTGAACGAATATACATAAGAAGAAAAAAATTATTGAAATATGAACATCCTAATTCTGATACCATACGGCCCTAAACGAAAAGTCTAGCTCTGTCCTTGTCTAAAAAGGTGTCAGATTACTAATTGCGGTCGACTTAAATTGTAAAGATCGATGTCCGACCGACTTTACGTCCTCACAAGATCCCTTCCAGCGACAGTACGCCATAAATGCATAAAATCGGCAGTTTATTCATCAGTTTCTATCAAGCTAGCTTCCAACACGTTACAGCCTGTATAAACCTTAGACTCACTGTGCCCACTTCTCGAATCTCGTTTGAATCTCGACCTCGTCGTTGTTCACGGGCGTCAGAGGCTCCTCTTGGAGCGTTTCTATCAGAATTGCGTAATTTTTGTGGCTGGTTAACAAATTGCACATTTTACAACAGGAAACAAACACCCCCACCGTCAAGTAGAAATTGTCGCTGAAGTCGTCCTGGTTCTCGCAGTTGAACACTATGTCCAGAATTTGGGTTAATACGAGGCTGTGCACTAGAAACACCAGAAAAATCGTGTAGATATTGTACAAGAACTTTTTGAACGGAGAGGTCCAAGAAGCTGGTGGCAGACAACCGCATAACGTGAGAAGCATAAATGTCCATCGAAATATGTACATTGCTGACTAGGTACAGCTAACTTATCACGACGTATTCGTTCATCAGACGTTGCACAATTATTCCACTTTATACAGGAACTTCGAGTACTTTCATTCGAAGCGCTAGACCTACTTCTGTATTCCTAAACTACGACTCGGGCTTTAGTTAGCTTACTTCCTGAACATCGACGAGATTGCGCGATAAAACATAAGGATTCCAGAAGGAAACACTATAGCTGTAGAAAACTATGCAATCTCATTGGTATAACGACGTGCAAAATAGAAAACAATTTGTAACAGAAACGATGTCTCCGCTTCGCGATCCTGATTGTTCGTTGGATAGAGGTCTAGCTTTCACTGAAGACTATAGACTGTAGTACTTCTTTCCTACCCTCGTATGAAGAATTTTCTTCGACTTCCCTTCAAGTTCACGGACTGCGTTATTACCATGATAGCAGGGAATACGTCGACGCGACTTACATATTTATATTCTTCAAGAGTAAAGACAAGTTTCTTTTCTCGTTACTGGTGATGCTATCTTTTATTCCGAGTACTGTTTTCCGCCAATGCACAGAGTTACATTGCGCGTGGAGAATAAATAAGAGAAAGCCTACAAAAAATTGCGTGAAGTACAAAATCCTAGACAGGCATTTTTCAAACAAACGGAAAGTAAATATTTAAAGGGCACACGTTGTGGTTGCGATTTTTGCGTTCATGAATTTTAAATGCGTACGTGTTATACAACTGACGTTGGATTTTACCAGTATTTCTTTCGATTCAGTCCGATGTAAAATGTTGGAAGGGGCGCGAGTGATTTCTTAGCACGACATTGTTGACATAGTTTAATAGGATTTATCGATATTAACAAATAATATTTGGCTCTACACACTTCGGCAAAGTTGTTGGATGCGTTTAACGACATGTTCTTCTACCTTTTTTCCAAGCTCTGCGATTTTCTCGTTTTGCGTGATTGAGAGACAGTTTTCTTGTTCACGTATTGAGACAGTCGTCGATTTCTTCATGCTATTCTAGATTCTGTTGAAGCAAGTTGTACGCCGTGTAAAAAGTCTTGAGTAACTGTAATATGCAGACATGTACAAATTAGTAACATCTGGGCCACTTTCGTCTCATATTTAAAGCAGATCACTTGAATCATTTGTTTTTATTTAAAGATAGAATGTTCGATCTCATGGATTTCATATGGTAACATATTTTTATTCTTTAAGGCGAAAATGGGAGGATCATCAATTTCCTAACGCTAAATTTCTTTGTCGGCCTCGAGAAAGAGTGCATATGACGAATATAATGATCTCGAGTTCAAAGTTATCCAGTGAGCCATCAATGTAAGTACAGCTTCAATGTAAGGCAGATTATTAAAACGATACATACACATACTCGTAAATTGGATACGCACCGTTGCAAGTTTCATCATCATTAAGAGAATCTTTCCAGCGTCGTAATCCACAGATTCCAATACTACGTCTAATTAATTGAAACATAATTTCACAACCACGTAATTCAATTGAAACGTTTTTAATAGAGGAAGGAAAAAGAAATATTCGAAAATTTGGTATTCCATTTATTCCGAATTTTCGTTTGCAAACGTCAGTAATTTTATTTTACGAAGGTTATAGACAATGAGGAGTAATATGACACAGTGGCGAGTTTTATATCAAATTCACTCATTCTCAAACACACATAATGTTACTTGCTTTTCTTTTCTCTTTCTCGTAATCATTCACCGCGTGATACGTTACTTTCAAAAAGTGTAGAATTATATTTAAAAGCACTGCACACTCCTTCTAGTCCCCTTGACCACTTCGGAGCACGTTGAACGCCGAGTAAGAGCTCTTTACTATCTGTAACAAGCGTGTATGCAACGTATTTGATTCTTATTCATTAATCAACTTTTCTCCAATTTGTTTTTGATTCAAGCCATATCATACCATACTTTACTTACGGATTTAAAGGTGTTGACATTCATAGACACCAAATACACGCTGGAAAATTCTATGGGCACAGTCGCCCGTTTCATAATCATTAGAAGAATCTTTTTAGCGTCGTTGTCCAAAGATATCCAGTTGCTTTCGATTATCATCTCAGGAATTTCGAGACTCTATCATAGAAATCATTGCATAAAATTGCATTTTGATTTAATAGTGTAGTATCCGCGCCTCCCATACCCAACAATAAGGAGTCAAATAAGAACACGAAACGTAGAGTACGGGATTGGTCGCGTAGGTAAAGCGGTCGACTGTGGATCCGAGGATCGTGAGTTCGAATCCCCGTGGCATACTTTTCGTTTGGACTCCTACAATAGCAAATTGAATTCCTTGTTAAAAGGACGTACCTTTAATCTGACTTCGTTCCCATACCAACAGTAGTAAAATATCTGTATAAACGCGCAGAGTGTATAAACCACCACTACCACAAGCTGAGAATGCACTTCGTTCTTGGCCAATCTGTAAAGGTCGAAGCAAAGCATAGACATGCTCGCCAGGAACTGGACGAATACTACTAATTTAAATTCTTCGTTCACTGTTGTGGCAAATCTGCAATTATATAAGAATTGATTATTTTATTTTATTTTATTTTATTGAAAATAGTAGACCCACTTGTATATATGATTATGAAGACGAGCGCACTGCTTCGCCGAATCGCTTCCATATTTTATGATATTTTTTAGACGGTATCCCAGTATCTCGAATATGCAATACGTGTGTATTAACAGACCACTGAACAGACTGTCGCAGGCAACGTTTAAAACCGAACACGTCGCTATACCTACGACCTGATGAGTGTAAGCAATCGTGAACGTCACGAAAGAAGAATAGTTGTAAGGTATCCAGGCTCGGTACGTTAATTTTCGATTTCTAAAATCCGTGGTAATCGAAGATGCAATTGTGCATACTAGACAGATTTCCATTAATATCGTATAGACGATTGCGTTCCATCTGTAAAAACGTTAGTTTGCAATAGAAAACTATTTTAATCGAAGCGAAATAAGTTAAATGTGCCAATTCAACTTCCAAACATATATCCTAATTATTCCAAATAAAAATGTTAAAAACCGGCAATATAAAAATACACTCACTGCGCCCATTTGTCGAATCTCGTTTGAATTTCAATTTCATCCTCGTTCGCTGGCACAAAAGGTTCTTCTTGCAGAGATTCGATCAAAAACGCATAATTCTCGCGACTCGTCAATAAATTACACATCTTGCAACAGGAAATAAAGACTCCCAGAGTCATGTAAAAATTGTCGCTGAAGTCGTCCTGACTGTCGACGTTGAACACTATGTCCAAAATTTGTGTTACCACGAGACTATGCACTACGAGTAACAGAAGAAACGTGTAAACGGTGTACAAGAGCTTCTTGGTCGGAGTGGTCCAAGAAGATGGCCGCGAACAACCGCACACAGCGAGAAGCGTGAATATCGATCTCATCAAGTGCATCGTCGACTAGACGAATACACCTTCTTTTATTTAGACTTATTCTATGATCAAACGTTGCACAGATAGTGCAATCTAAATCTCAAATGTTGCGGAATATTGCATTCTAAGTCTGTGTTTTCATATTTTTTTAGGGAAAGACGACACAAGGCTCGATTACACAGATATCGATGAAGAGAATAGACAGACGGTCACTGTAGACGGAAGAAGTTATGTGGCGTTAGCCACTTCGTTGCTACAATGACTAACAAAGTTGCGAACAGAAGTGACCCCCTCTATTCGATATCCTGATTGTTTCATGAACCGAGGCTAAGGTATGACTGAACATTGAGGAATATCGGTATTTTTTGTTTACACCATGAAAAGAGAACTTCCTCGATTTGCTTCCCCCTCAAGTTCACGGGCTACGTTATTATCATAATATCGGGGAATGAGACGGCACGACTCGCTTATTTATATTTTATTGGAGTAAAGACGCGACCCTTTGTAATGCTATCTTGTCGTCTCAAAGTCAGGAATTGTGAATATTAAATGGATAATCAATTTTTAAAAGGTAATTTTTTATTGCGAAAGGGAAAGTAGTCATTGAGAGATGTTATAGAGGCAGGTTATTTTTCTTCAACGTCGAAGAGTTAACAACTGTTTATAAAATGTATTACCATTCGTACACATTTCTCGTATGTTTTGAATTGTTCAAAAGGTACATACACTCGGAGGGATAGATAAATGTTAAAAAAATACGACACGCGTCTTCTAGTCCACCTTACCGTTTCGCAACACGTTCAACGCAGAGTAAGAAGTTTTCACTATCTGGAACAAATGTGTAACAGGTGGGTTACATCGTTATTTGCCAATTAACTCTTATTAACTTCTTTAAAAGGTGTACAATTCTAATTTTCTTACGTTATAAAATATGTTGCAATTTTTTTTTTCAGGAAGGATCTAAATTTATGTTAAAAAAATTGAGTTTTATCCTAAAGTTATTATTCAGCATGGTCCGCCTAAAATATACTATACTTACGGTTTTAAAAGAATTTAGATCCATAGTGATGAGTTTTGCGCTGGAAACTTCGATAGGCACCCTCGCTCGTCTCATAATCATTAAGAGAATTTTCTTATCGTCGTTGTTCAAAGACGTCCAGTTGCTTTCGATTATCATCTCAGGAATTTCGAGACTCTATCATAGAAATCATTGTACAAAATTGCATTTTGATTGAATAGAAAATAGAATTTCATGTTACAGGAACGTACCTTTACTCTGACTTCGTTCCCATACCAACAGTAGTACAATATTTGCATAATCGTGCAGAACGTGTAGAACATCAGCGACGCAAATTCCGAATGGATCTGGCTTTGCGTTAACTGGTAAAGGTTGAAGCAAAGCAGAGATATGCTCGTCATAAACTGAACAAATACTACTGTTTTAAATTCCTCGTTGACCATCGTGGCAAATCTACAAAGTGCGTATCAAAATTTTGTTTTTTCTTTTCGAACACTATAAATTTATAGAAAACAATTACCTGACTCACTTGTATATATGATTATGAAGACGAGCGCACTGCTTCGCCGAATCGCTTCCATATTTTATGATATTTTTCAGACGGTATCCCAGTATCTCGAAGATGCAGTACGTGTGAATCAACAGGCCACTGAATAGACTGTCGCAGGCAGTGTTCACAAGCGCACACAGAGATATACCGAAGACTTGATGAGCGTAAGTGATAGTAAACGAAATGGAAGAGGAATAGTTGTAAGGTAGCCAGGCTCGGTACGTTAGTTTCCGATTTCTGTAATCCGTGAAGATCGACGCCGTGAGCATGCATACTAGAGACGTATCAATTATTGTCGTGTAAACAATAGCATTCCATCTGTTAAAAGGAATTAGGATTCAACAAACATCGGAGGATGTTTCTAAAGATTAGCACGGCAAAGTGAGTAGTGTTTCCAAGTTGTAGCAGTCGAATTATTTCAAACCAAATAAAAAAAAACAATAAAAGAAGAAACTCACTGTGCCCATTTATTGAATCTCGTGAGAATTTTAATTTCATCGTTGTTCCTCGGCGAGAATGGTTCGTCTTGCAGGGACTCGATCAAAATCACGTAATTCTCGCGACTCGTCAACAAACTACACATTTTGCAACAGGATATGAAGACCCCCAGCGTCATGTAGAAATTATCGGTGAATTCTTCCTGGGTGTTGACGTTGAACACTATGTCTAAAACTTGTGTTACCGCGAGACTATGCACTACGAGTAACAAAAGAAACGTGTAAACGGTGTACAAGAGCTTCTTGGTCGGAGTAGTCCAAGAAGATGGTCGCGAACAACCGCACACAGCGAGGAGCGTGAATATCGATCTCATCAAGTGCATCGTCGACTAGACGAATACACCTTCTTTTATTTAGACTTATTCTATGATCAAACGTTGCACAGATAGTGCAATCTAAATCTCAAATGTTGCGGAATATTGCATTCTAAGTCTGTGTTTTCATATTTTTTAAGGGTAAGACGACACAAGGCTCGATTACACAGATATCGATGAAGAAAATAGACAGACGGTCACAGAAAATAGATGGAAGAAGTTATGTGGCGTTAGCCACTTCGTTGCTACAATAACTAACAAAGTTGCAGACAGAAGTGATCCTCTCTATTCGATATCCTGATTGTTTCTTGAACCGAGGCTAAGGTATGACTGAACATTGAGGAATATCGGTATTTTTTGTTTACACCATGAAAAGAGAACTTCCTCGATTTGCTTCCCCCTCAAGTTCACGGGCTACGTTATTATCATAATATCGGGGAATGAGACGGCACGACTCGCTTATTTATATTTTATTGGAGTAAAGACGCGACCCTTCGTAATGCTATCTTGTCGTCTCAAAGTCAGGAATTGTGAATATTAAATGGATAATCAATTTTTAAAAGGTAATTTTTTATTGCGAAAGGGAAAGTAGTCACTGAGAGATGTTATAGAGGCAGGTTATTTTTCTTCAACATCGAAGATTTAACAACTGTTTATAAAATGTATTACCATTCGTACACATTTCTCGTATGTTTTGAATTGTTCAAAAGGTACGTACACTCGGAGGGATAGATAAATGTTAAAAAAAATACGACACGCGTCTTCTAGTCCGCTTTACCGTTTCGCAGCACATTCAACGCAGAGTAAGACGTTTTCACTATCTGGAACAAATGTGTAACTGGTGGATTTCATTGTTATTTGCCAATTAACTCTTATTAACTTCTTTAAAAGGTACACGGTTAATTTTTACTTAAATCTCTAAGCTATGCATTTCGTATCGTATCGTTGACACGTTTCTTTTTGAATGAAGAAAGTGCTCTGGTGTGAATCTTTGAAAAAATTGATTTTTTGTATGTTCTAAATTGTATTTTGTTTTTAATGAAGAATTTTCAAGTGATCTAATTTTCTTACGTTATAAAATATGTTGCAGTTTTGTTTCTGAAAGGATCTAAATTTAAGTTAAAAAAATTGAGTTTCATGCTAGAGTTAATTATTCAGGATGGTTCGGCCAAAATATTCTATACTTACGGCTTTAAAAGAATTTAGATCCACAGTGACGAGTTTTACGCTGGAAAATTGGATAGGCACCCTCGCTCGTCTCATAATCATTAAGAGAATCTTCTTATCATCGTTGCTCAAAGATGTCCAGTTGCTTTCGATTATCATATTGGGAATTTCGAGACTCTATCGTAGAAAAGGTTGTAACAAATTGCCTTGATTTAATAGAAGATATCATTCCTCGTTACAGGAACGTACCTTTACTTTGACTTCGTTCCCATACCAACAGTAGTACAATATTTGCATAATCGTGCAGAACGTGTAAAACACGAGCGACACAAAATCCGATTGCATCTCGTTTTGCGTTAACTGATAAAGGTCGAAGCAAAGCAAAAACATGCTCATCATAAACTGAGCAAGTACCACTGTTTTAAATTCCTTGTTCACCATCGTGGCAAATCTGCAAAGTGTGTGTCAAAATTTTCTTTTTTCTTTTCGCACATTCGAAATTTGTAGAAAAAAAAAGTACCAGACCCACTTGTATATATAATTGTGAAGACGAGCGCACTGCTTCGCCGAATTGTCTCCATATTTTATAATATTTTTCAGACGGTATCCAAGTATCTCGAAGATGCAGTACGTATGAATCAATAGGCCACTGAATAGAGTGTCGTAGGCAGAGTTGACAAGCGCGCATATGGACATACCAGCAGCTTGATGAGCGTAAGTAATAGTAAATAAAATGGAAGAGGAATAGTTGTAGGGCAGCCAGGCTCGGTACATTAGTTTCCGATTTCTGTAACCCGTGAAGATCGACCCCGTGAGCAGGCATACTAGACACGAATCAATCATTGTCGTGTAGACAATAGCATTCCATCTGTTAAAAGGAATTAGGGTTCAACAAACATCAGAGAACATTTCTAACAACATAAAAACAAACTTACTGTGCCCATTTGTCGAACCTCGTCTGAATTTCAATTTCATCGTCGTTCTTTGGCGTGAAAGGTTCCTTTTGCAGGGACCCGATCAAAATCGCATAATTCTCGCGACTCGTCAGCAAATTACACAATTTGAAACACGTTATGAAGACCCCCGCCGTCATATAGAAATTATCGCTGAAATCTTGCTGGCTGTTGACGTTAAACATTATGTCTAAAATTTGAGTTACCACGAGGCTATGCATCACGAATAACAAAAAGAACGTATAAACGGTGTACAGGAGCTTCTTGGTCGGAGTGGTCCAAGAAGATGGCCGTGAACAACCGCACATTGCAAGCAGCGTGAGTATGGTCCGCATTGAGTGCATCGTTGACTATACGATCAGTCTCCGTCTTATTTAGAAATATTCTATAACAAGTTATTGCAAGGTAATTTGCATTCGATCGTCACGTTTGTTTCATTCTAAGCTCCTGCACTGTTATTTTCTCGCTTACCACGACACAAGCTTTGCTTATTCAAACGTTAAGGAAGAAAACATAAAACTGGACGATCAGGTCCAATAATCGATGTTAGACAGATGACAGATTAAGCACTCAAATAAAATATAAAATAAAAGGAAGATTGACGAAGGGAACACTGTAGGTAGACCTATACGACTTCGTTGCTAAGATGGTTTACAAAATTTTGAATATTCTGACCAGAAGTTACGATATAGAACAGGATGGCTTTACCTTCGAAGGTTAAGGTAGCACTAGCGACCGTGGAATATCGGAATTTCTTATTTACCACCCAAAGAGTGAACCTTCATAAGTTGGTTCCCCCTCAAGTTCAGGGGCTACGCTATTATTATAAAGATGGAGATTGCGACACGCTCATTTATATTTTACAAGAAGAAAGACGCTGCCCTTCCTATTCGTAATGCTACCTTGCATTCCGTATGTTGTTTTCCATCACTTAGGGAATAAGTAAGAAAAGTCGACGACAAATCCCGTAGAAGATACTGACAAAAAATTCTCCGGAGCAGAAAACTCGAGAGAGAAATTTTTAATGGAAAGCGGAGGATGAATGTTTGAAAGACATAGGCTGATATTTATTCTTGCATTCTCCAGCCTGTTTCAGGTACATGCATGATTAACGATTGTCGTGGGGATATCTAGTTCTCCCAACAGATGGGAGGGTGAAGCGTTAGGGTAAAGGCAAAATATTCTTCAGCGCAACAGATTTTAGTAGAATTTATAGACGTTCATACTTAACATTTTGTTGTACATACTTCAACAAGGATTTCGTGAGCATTTAATCAAATAGTCTTCTACTTTCTTCTTATTTCGAACGATTGAACGCAGAGCGTTTTCTAGCTGTAATGATGCTATTCTTTGTCCTGTTTTAGCAAATTAAACGCCGAGTAAGATAACTTGAGCAACTGGAATAAAGGATTACGTGAGAATTGTGGACACTAGCAAGAAAATTAATTTTTAACGTAAGTACAGCATTTCTAGTTTCTCTATGTCTAAATTATCACTTCCAAACATTTTGTAAAAATATAGATGAGATCTTCAGCTTGGTTCATAAAATGAAATGCATAGCAAACGAGTTTGTTCTAATTTTAATAAGATATAATAAAATACAAGTGTTCTTCTGGTATTATACAAATTTCTCACCACGGGCAATTCTCACAATTACGTATTATTAACAATAAAACATTAGGTTTTCTTATTCAACATTTAACTTGAACTATAGGAGTAGCCTAGAAGTATATCAATGGTATAATTTTGTACTTACAGCCATAAAGGACGCGAGATTCACATCCACAATATAAAGGCTCGTGAATTCGACAGGGTACACGGCACGCTTCATAATCATTAGAAGAATCTTCTTAGAGTTGTTGTCCAAAGACTCCAAGTTGCATTCCATTACCATATCAGAAACTTCGAGACTCTACGAGAGGAAATTCCATATAACATCACGACGTTTCTATTGAATTCTTTATCTCAACACGGAACCTTCAGTTGGACTTCGTTCCCATACCAACAGTAGTACAATATCTGCATAAGCGCGCAGCTCGTGTAGATTACCGACACTATATACTTCGAATCCACTTCTCTTTGGGTCAGTTGATAAAGTTCGATGCACATCATCGACGTGCTCGTCAGGAATTGAATTAATATTATCATTTTGTACTCCTCGTTCACCTTCGTGGCGAGTCTACGAGATTGGAGAAATTCGGAAGTACTAGTTTAAAATTCCTTTTGTTGCTCAAAATTTGAAGAGGATCGATTGTGAAAACGTTATTTTTTAACGAGTCTCAGCTTAAGTTCGTCAGGCCAGAATTGATCTTTGTATTCTTTAGACAAAAGTTTACATGACAGAGAGTTTTTCATAAAAAAAAAAAAGAATTCAGGACTGAAAAGGCTAAGAATACAAGTTAGCAGGTAATTTTTAATATAATGAAATTTTTTGTTTAATTACACGACTGAATCTATAGCTACGACTCGTCAAAAAGGTGCGATTCAATTTTCGATCCTCCTCTTATAAACTTCCTACTTGCTGAGCAAAATAAAAACCTACTGGTATATCTGATTATGATGATTAGCACAGAGCTTCGCCGAAACTTTCCCCTCTTTTGTGATGGATTTCAGACGATGTCCAAGAATCTCGAATTGACAGTATATGTGAATCAAGAGACTGCTGAACAGAGAATCAGCGCCAATGTTATAAAACGTGCAGACGCTTAAACTTGTAGCTTGATAAATGTACGTGACAGTGAACAAAAGTAATGAAGAGTAATCGTAGGGTATCCACGAACGGTACGTTAGCTGTCTCGTTTTGAAGTCGGAACCGATCGAGGTCGCAACCATGCACGTTGCACAGAACGTTAGTGAAAGTATGTAGGCTATCAGGTTCTTTCTGAAAATACACTTTGTAGAGTATTCTTCTTGTGTACAGGGTAATTATAATTACTAGACTACGGATCTTTATGCATTTATAGAAAATTCGAATGTGCAAGAAACTACAAAATGCACACAGTATGCAAGAATATAAAAAATATTGAGAGTAAAGTTCATATTATAATATTTGCAGAGTAAACAAAATTCCTATTTGGGTTCAATTTTTGTAGGCACATTCGCGAAGACTTTATTTTGCATAAAGATCCGCAGTCTAATAATTACATAATCGTCGGAAACTGAAGTAACCTCCACTAATGCTGTTACAATTAATTATGATTGAAGCACATACTCACTGCGCGACGTTGTCGAATTTCTTCCTAATCTCGGCCTCGTCCGCGTTCCTCGGCAACATGGATTCCTCCTCGAGGCTGTTCATTATAATCGCAAATTTCCCACGGTACCTTATCAAGCTGCGCATTTTCCAGCTTGAGACAAATACCTCCGCTGTCAGATAGAAATTATCGCTGAAATCTTCTGGATTGTCAACGGTTAAAACTAAATCCAAGATTAGAGATAACAAGAAGCTGTGTACCACCAGGAACAAAAAGACCATGTACGCGGTGTAGAGAAACTTTTTGGGTCCGGACGTCCAGGAATGCGGTCGCCAACAACCGCACACGTTCAAATACGTTAACATATACCGTAATATATGCATTGCCGAATCGACAGAAATTCTTATCTCCGGGTAATCATTAGGAACAGTCGCGGAGCCCCCGCGACGCGTTTTATGGCAAGCTCAAATACTCTTACCTTGTTAACAACTTTGATATGTGGATGTCGAATAATTTATTTTTCCAGGAAGATCATGTGATAAGAGAACAGGGATGATTATATTGTACAAAGAGAACACTATGTCGTCGTTTTTGCGTATAATAAGTGTGAAACTGTAAGAGCATTGGGTACGAAACTACAAAAAGAGACTATCATCATTGCGACTTAGGTACTTCTCAATCTGTGGTTTGGTTATCACTGAAGACTCGAGAATATCGATATTTTTACTCCACATGCAAAGGAGTAACTCATCTCCCAATACTTTCCCTTCAAGTTCGCGAACTATATGATTAGCGGATTAATGGAGAGTACGAACGCGCGGCCGATTAATAATTTATTCCAGTAATGACATCCCTCGGTTATTCGTAAACGCTACTTTCGCGTTGTTACCGTTAGCTCGCGTGTTCTGTTCCCTATGCGTAAAAAAATGATAGAAAATATCAGGAGACATTGAACGGTTTCAACGGAAAGAGGAAAGTAAAAGTCAGTCGTCGAATATTACATAATCAGACGACAGTGGAAAAAAGTGTAACGAAAAGAAATGTATCACCAGCATTACGACATCGATAGTTTCCAGTAGAATTTATTAATATTCATACCTAGCAGCGAACTCTACATTCACTAATACAGGTTTCAATTGTCTATATTGCTTCTCCTATCATTTCATCCACGACTTCTTCGTTTTTAAGGATAGAAAATGTCTCGTCTATTCTTCGCTTCGTTGTAGCACGTTGTAAACAGAGTAGGAAGTCTTGAACAACTATAAAAAAAAAAAGAATCAAAGATGTGAATATATGATATTATTGCTTACTGTATGCATTTTGTAGTTTCTTGCACACTCAAATTTTCTATAAATGGGTAAGAATCCACAGTATATTAATGAAGAATGAATTTTATATAAGAGCGCCAAAATAAATTTTCGAATCAAAAATGTGTGTCTATTTAATTGACAAATATATTTATTTCATATTCACAGCCATGAAGGACGCAAGGTTCATCGATGCAATGTGAAAGCTACTAAATTCGATGGGCATCGTTGCACGTTTCATGATCATTAGAAGAGTTTTTTTCGAGTCGGTGTCCAACGACTCCCAGTTACTGTCGATAATCATGTCAGGAATGCTGAGGCTCTACGAATCAAAATGTTGCGTAAAATTATGATGCTCGAATCGAAGATTAAATTCTATAACTTGTGAAGGAACCTTCTCTTGGACTTCGTTGCCATACCAACAGTAGTACAGTATCTGCATGAGCGAACAGGTACCATAGACCACCATTTCGATATATTTCGAGTCGAAATTTCTTTGCGTCATACGATAAAGTTCGATGCAAAATATCAACGTGCTCACCAGAAACTGAATCAAGATGATTGTTTTGAATTGTTCGTTCACCATCATCGCGAATCTGGAATAGCAAAGTAATTTTTTTTTAAGGGATTGTAACTTGGATCATATCGATCGAAAGTATAAAGATAAACGCACTTAAAGTTTCGGTAAACCTTCACTGTTTCACGCTTGAAATTGCATATCTTTTAAAAACTACAACAAAAAGAAAAAGTTGATTTCTAAACAAATTTGACAAAGTTTAGTCCTCTCACTGTAAAGAATCGAATTGCTGAAGAAGTCAGTGACCAACCTGTATATGTGGATGTGAAGGCGAACACACTGCTTTACCGAATCATTTCTATAATTTATGATGGTTTTCAGACGGTGTCCAAGTATCTCGAAAAGGCTGTACGTGTGGAGCAATAGGCCGCTGAATAGACTATCGCTGGATACGTTCATCACCGCGACGGTCACCATACATATCACTAAATAAACGTAAGTAATAGTAAACCAAAAAGACGAAGAGTAATCGTAGGGTATCCATGCTCGATACGACAATTTTCTTGTTTTGACGTCCGTGAAGATCGACGTTGCAAGCATACTCCCAAGACATGCTACTAAAGAAAGCATGTAGGTTTTCGTGTTTCTTCTGCAAAAATACTACTGACAAACTGTAAAGCATTCCCACGATTAACCTGTTAGCTGGGCAATCAGAGCTAATATATACGTGTCAATCGTCATTACGAAGACACGATGCGTTTAAAAGTTTTTCACGTACTCTTCATTTATCTTTTATTTTCTATATCTTTTTAGTGTTGGGTAAATTTTATTCGGAACGAATGATATAACAAATAACATACCATCTCATTTTTGATTTGTTCCTACTATTTTTATGATGAGAATGAAATCAAAATCATTTTTTAAATAAGAACCTTTATGATTATGATTTCTAATGAAAATAAATTATCACTAACACTCGCTGTGGGTATATGTATCCGCTTGTACAGTGCAATTATGTACAAGAAATTCCCCAGTTAACAGGTTAACATTTATTTCTCCCTCGTAACATCTAAGGGCGAGATCCGATGAGTCATACAGTTCGAAAGAATTGTTTGTTAACGACACAGATATTTTTAAAAATTCAAGCACATACTCACTGCGCGATCTTGTCGAATCTCGTTCGAATCTCGATTTCGTCAGCGTTCGCTGGCGCCAAGGGTTCCCGTTCAAGAGTGTCCATCAGGAATGCGAAATTTTCGTGGTACATTTTCAAGCTGCTCATTTTCCAACAGGCAGCGAAAACCTCCAGTGTTAAGTAGAAGTTGTCGCTGAAGTCGTTCTGGTTATCAACAATGAAAACCAAGTCCAAAATGGTAGATAACAGGAAACTATGTAGCATGAGCGTCACGACGACCGAGTATACAGTGTAGAAGATCGTTTTTGACCGAGACGTACAAAATGAGGGTTGCCAACAACCGCACAAACTAAGAAGTATGAACACCCATCGTAATATGTGCATTATCCATTCTACAGAAAATCCAAAAGTCTTAGAAATTTCACAGTGATCGCGACGACTTGTAAATTTCACGGTCGTCTTCTTCTCAGAAGAGTAGAGGTAACATTTTGTTGCACGAGACACGATTACGCGATAACACTGACGAAGGCTCTACGTCCTCAATGCTTCATCTAATTATAATTTTTTGGAGATATACGAATTGAAAGAACACATAATCACGTCGACTATGACTTAACTGTTCAAAGGTTGGGTACTACTGATGTCTATAGAATATCGACATTTCTTCTCCACCCGTGGAAATGTTAATCCCGTCTCATCAACCTCCCTTCGATTTTACTGACTTTGTGATTATCGTAATGATAGAGGACGCGTTGACGTTATTTACTTATTTATATTTCGCGAAAGAAAATGTGAAAAAACATGATGACGATACCTTGAAGCATAAAATACTAACGAGGTAATCGAACGTTACGAACGTTTTACGTGGAAAATGGAAGATGAATGTTTCAATGCCACGATATGTTATTTTTATTGTCAGAGAGCGAGCATGGTAGGGGTGAATTGAGAAAGATACAGGCAAATTTCAATCGACTATTGTTTGCGCAACAATGACGAGTTCGTTAAGTCTACGATTACTCTTGCGGGATATGCGTGCTACACTGTGAATAACTATTAGGGTGAACTACAATTTTTTCCAATTCTTCTTTCTTCCATAAATGTTGTTTTTGAACGTCAATATTACATTGGTAAATTTATGTATTAATATTTTTACGTAGATGTCCGAAAAACAGGAACCATTATATTGTGTTAGCGAATACTTTGAATGGTACATTTCTTAATTCTACAAATAATACGATTAAAATGAATAAATACATGAATATATATAAATAATCATGTATGGTATGCAAATACATGTCTGTGCGTGTATGTATGCATATAAGCTCGTTACTAATTATAGTAATAATTATATCAATTACTTATAGGGAAGGCAAGTTATTCTTCAGCATTACTATTAACAGTGTCGAATAGAATTTACTAGAATTCATACTTAATATTATCCTCTACATATTTCTTCCCATTCTCGGTTAATTATTTTATACAGCAGCACTGAGAGACCGTTCGATAATGACGACGATGTTATCCGATACTTTGTTGAAGCAAATTGTACGCCGAGTAAGACGTCTTGAGCAGCTGTAATAAACAGATATGTTTAACTTAAGAACTCTAAGACTACTTTCACGACCAAATAACCGTTATATGTGAGATAGACGAGTTATGATTTTCAGAAACATTCCGGAGTTTCAACAGTTGATTCTAACGAGAGTTATAAAAATTGAAAGACATGTAAAATTGTCAAAATCTCAATAGACATCTAAAAGCGCCAAGTGGTTATATTATAATTAGTAGTGTAAAATTTACTTAATTTCACATGTTTCAATGGAATTGTTGCAATAACTTCAGATTGATAATTGGATCTTCTAATTTAATGTAAAGATAATTTTGTTTCATACTAACGGCCGTAAAAGACTCGAGGTTCATCGACACAACGTGAATGCTAGTGAATTCGATGGGCACCGTCGCGCGTTTCATGATCATCAGGAGAGTCATTTTAGCGTTGTTATCCAAAGACGTCCAGTTACTTTCGATTATCATGTTAGGAATCTCGAGGCTCTATAGTGAAAATATATTGCATGAGATCGTCGCGATTTAATCGAATATTTAAATATTAGAATTAAAATCGCATCCCAAGGACGAACCTTCTCTTTGACTTCGTTCCCGTACCAACAATAGTGCAGTATTTGCATAAGCATACAGAACGCGTAGAACATCGTTTCGATCAGTCTCGCGCCTACTAATTGTCTTTGCGTTAATTGGTAGAGGTTGAAGCACATGACCGAGGTGCTTGCCAGAAACTGAGTACACATAATTATCCTGAATGCTTTATTAACCATTTTGGCGAAACTGCAAACATTTTAGAAACAGAAATCGATCGATAATTTTTTCCTTGGTATTCTTCATTTTCACTTTTCTTATAATAATCTATGCATGATGTTTATCCAATTGGAGAGTGAATTCTCTACTTGTTGATCATGAAATATTTCTTTCTATAGTTCAGGATGCAATTTTTATTTAATCAAACGAATAGTGAACGAATGCTCATCTCTAAATCGATATTCGACACACCAACCTGTATATGTGATTAAGAAGTCGAGCACACTGCTTAGCCCTGTAGTTTTCATCTTTAATGATATTTTTCAGACGATGTCCAAATATATCTAACTGGCAGTAAGTGTGGATCAACAGACCGCTGATCAGAGTGTCGTAGGCAACGTTCAGAAGCGAGCAGATAATCATACCTACACACTGATGCATGTAAGTAACAGTAAACGAGGGAAACGATGAAGCATAATCGTAAGGTATCCACGCCCTGTATGCCAATTTTCTCCGTTTCAGATCTCTGAAGAGCGACGTTGTCCACCCGAACAACACACAGGATTCGACCATAATCGTGTAAGCAATTGCATTCCACCTGGGAACACACCATCGTTAATCAGTATGATAGGAATTGTTGCAATTCAAATTAAGTATACTCCGCATTCAAAAGAATTAAGCTGATTTTTGCATACGCAGTAAAAATCGAAGAAATAATTTCAATTCCCGAGTCTTTTAGTGCCCCAGAAAATTCCTTTTCCATAGTTACTAATCATTATCGAGAATCAAGTAGAACCAACTTACTCGTTCAGTTTTTCAAATCTTGCGCGAACATCGAATTCCTCGTCGTTCTGTGGCATTAAAGGCTCCTTTTGGAGGGTGTCGATCAAAATCGCGACGTTCCTTCGAATCAGCAAAAAGCTGGACATCTTGCAGCAGCCGATAAGTACCGCCAGGGTCGTGTAGAAATTCTCACTGAACTCATCCTGATTCTCAACGTTGAAGAATATGTCCAGAACTTGAGAACCCAGGACGGTGTATATCAGAAGGATTACCATAGCCGTGTAAACATTGTACAAGAACTTTTTCAGCGACGATGTCCAAGATCGCGGTCGCAAACAACCACACGCTGTTAGAATAGTGAGCGTCCATCGCAGTATACGCATCGTCAATTCAAAAATAATTCTTCTAATTTTTAAGCATTCAACACCAAAGACTCAGACGATAACGACCATAATTTTACAGCAGTATAGTTTCTTCGAATCAAATTGAAACTGTACTAACTCGTCGCATAGTTTGATATATACCGTATTGTAGTTTACTGTTTGGACATTCGAAAAGAATGCTATCGAAAACGAGAGTACGAGAAGCACTGTGCTCGACAAAAGTCTAGGTATCACTGATGCTTATAGAATATCGACATTCGTTGTTTACCGTCTGGAGAGGAAATTTTTTTCAACTGTTCTCCCTTTGAATGCACAGATCATATAATTATAGTAACGACGACGAATGCTGCTTCGCGAATTACTTATTCATGTCACCGCGGCCTATCCAATGGTATTCGCAATTCACAATTTCTACCTCGCTTGCTGTTTACTGATTTTCTCATTTCAGTATTATTCAGGATTGCATTTTGCGTGAGAAATAAATATAGACGGCAGATGTCGCATTACTTATAATATAAAATACGAAAGTGTAATTGTGTATAAGAAGCATTTTTAATGCACGGAGGAAGATAAATAATTGAAAGACCATGAGACACTGCCGTCAGTTTCCTCTTGAGCTATTCCATAGTGCGTTTCGCTAATTTCTGACTCTCGAGGTTCGCAAACCATCTTTTTAAGTAAGATACTTGAGACGAATGAAAGTTAATGAAATTTATTAATGCGCTCTACATTGTCTAACATAATTTTTAATCGTTTCTACTAACTCACTTGTTTCTTTCCATTGTTTTGAATTGTTTTACTTGGAAGGAATGTTGACTCCCATCATATAAAAAGAAAATTTGTATACTCGTGGTACTATCCATGAGTTTGTTGAAGCACGTTGCACGCCGTGAACGAAGCCTTGAGTAACTGTAACAAATAAATATCTCAGATTTAAGAATTTCAATGTTACTGCTAGATATTAAAGAAAAATTGGTACACTAACGGCCATGAAAGACTCGAGGTTCATCGACACAACGTGCAGGCTCGTGAACTCGATGGGCACCGTTGCACGTCGCATAATCATCACGAGGATTTTCCGAGAGCCAACATCCAAATTTATCCAGTCACTTCTGATTATCATGTCAGGAATTTCGAGACTCTAACAATTTGAACGCATTTTATCACAGTGCGACGATTAAATTGGTAATTGAAAGATGTTATAGTAAAAATGAACCTTCAGTCTGACTTCGTTCCCATACCAGCAGTAGTAAAATATCTCCATGATCATACAAAATGCATAAAACACAGTTTCCGCTAATCTTGCCCCCAAATCTTTTTGTGTGATTCGATAAAGGTTGAAGCACACAATCGATGCGCTCATCAGAAATTGAATGCAGGCTGTCGTTTTAAACGTTTTGTTCAACATCGCGGCGAATCTGCAACGGTTTCATAAATTATTATAACATTAATATCATGTACTTACACGTTTCGTACCTATCTTTGTGTACTAATACGAAGAATGCTTAACTGTGACTCAAATTTATTGATAATTCAAGGTAAGAGATTAAGGTTTTTAATAAGTGTACGAATATCAAAGCTTTTAGATTCTTTTGTTTTTTTTTAAGGAAAATTGGAGAACCAACTGGAATATGCGATGATGGTAATGAGCGCATTGCTCGACCGAGTAGTTGTCATCCTTCGTAACATTTTTCAGACGATGTTCGAGGATTTCCAACTGGCAGTATGTGTGCATCAACATTCCACTATGCAGAGTATCGTAAGCGATGTTCATAATCGAGCCGATCATCACGGTTGAAGTTTGATAAGTGTAGGTAACAGTAAACGTAAGCAAAGAAGATGAATAGTCGTAAGGTATCCACGCGCGATACGTTAATTGTCTGCGTCCGAAATCTCTGAAAACCGAAGTTGTCCACATGAAGACTACGCAGCACTCGATCATAATTGTGTAACCAATCGTATTCCGCCTGCAAAGGTAATGCTATTAATTTAGAAATAGTTGATGGTACTCCCGGGCATTGATAGCGACGAAAATAAAAAATATTGCACTTTTAGATCTCTCGTAAAAATTAATTTTATAGTTGTTTTATCATCTAAAATTTTACGCCAAACAGCAAGTGAATCTTAGGTTATTAAAATTAACTTAACTTACAATTAGCTAAGTAACAAGTAATTATCAGCGAAATACTGGAACTCACGTAGCGGTCTGTTCGCATCTCCTTCGAATTTCGTATTCCTCGGCATTCATTGGCAAAAATGGTTTCTTCTGAAGAGTGTCGATCAATAGTTTCACCTTCTTTCGATTCAACAGGAAGCTGCACATCTTGCAGCAGCTCATGAATACCGCGAGTGACTCATAGATATTGTCACTGAACTCGTTTTGATTTCTTACGTTAAAAACCACGTCCAATATTTGAGTAAACAGGAGAGAGTGTATCGTGAGGAATAAGAAAACCGTGTAGAAATTATACAGAATTTTCTGATATGGGGATATCCAAAAAGAAGGGCGTAGCCAACCGCACAAGTTCAGAATTGTGAATGTCGCACGCAATATACGCATCGTCGAATTTGCGAGTATTCAAAACAGCATCTGATTCTTTACAAAAGCAGACACTAACGAGAGTAAAAGGAAATAAAACCCACTATTTATAGCCCAAACTATTCCCTATCTTCTTATATTATAATTTGAGGAAAGATAAAATCTACAATTGTCTATTATTGTTCAAAGATCTCGAAGACAGTGTCACCTGCATATTAAAATAAGTATAAAAGACGAACTAAGTTGTTCTTTCGGAGTACAATTAAAATAGTTTTAACACTGTACGTTTTCGTTGTTGTTTTGACTTTCAAATTAATTGAGTTTCAAAACACGAGTGGATAGAACACTTTAACTTTGCGCTCCTTGCTCATTCTCAAACGAAAGTCTATACATCACTGAAGACTATAGAAGGTCGAAATTCCTCGATAACCCTCGGAAGAGTACAGTTCCTACTTCGCTGTTTTTCTTCGGATAATTACGCATATTATGTAAGCTCGATCAACTTATTCATGTTTTCTCAGTGGAACGGAACAACCCTTGCTATTCGTTATTAATGATCAGTAATCATATTAGTTCAGAAATACATTTCAAAGGAGAAATAGATAAGAAATTCTTTAGAACGCGATACTCAAAGGGATGCGATAGTTATCATTTACTGCAAAGTCATGTAATACTGTCGCTGTTCTTCCATCGTTCATTTGAAGTATATATTTCTCGTCTAGCGTCGAATTTTACATACACTATAGAGGTAAGCAAGGTAAACTACAAAGGATTTATTGCAAATCAAGAATTTCTTCAAAGTTATATCATTAACTATATTCAGTAGAGTGTATTGGTGTCGATAGCAAAATAGCGTGCTATACATACTCGAGTATGATCTTCGAACGGTTTTCTTAACGTTCCTTTTTTTCGTTCACTTTGCAATAGGGGAAAGTTGGTTTTCCTTCAAATAAATCTCCACGTTCGTGTTACTTCGTTTGACCCTGTTGTAGTACGTTGTAAGCAGTGTAAGAAGTCTTGAGCAACTGTGATAGATAAATACCTCAGATTTAAGAATTTTAATGTCTCCACTAGGTAGTAGAATATTTGTGATTTTGTTAATATGGCCAGAAAATTTTATGTGAAGACGAACTATCAAATGAATCGCGATGTATTTATAATTACATGGAGTAAAAATATATTTATTGTATACTGACGGTCATGAAAGACTCGAGATTCATCGACACAACGTGAATGCTAGTGAACTCGATGGACACCGTCGCGCGTTTCATGATCATCAGGAGGATTTTCCGAGAGCCAACATCCAAACTTATCCAGTCACTTTTGATTATCATGTCAGGAATTTCGAGACTCTAACAAGATGAACAAATTTTATCAAATTACGACGATTAAATTGGTTATTGAAAGGCGTTGTAGTAAGAATGAACCTTCAGTCTAACTTCGTTCCCATACCAGCAGTAATAGAATATCTCCGTGAGCATACAAAATGCATAAAGCACAGTTTCCGCTAATCTTGCCCCCAAATCTGTTTGTGTGAGTCGATAAAGGTTGAAGCACACGATCGATGTGCTGACCAGAAACTGAGCGCAAGCTATCGTTTTAAATGTTTCGTGCACTATCGTGGCGAATCTGCAATAATTTCAAAAATTAACATCGTTATGCTTTCGTTGACTAGACGTTTTACTTTCAATTTACAGAAAGGGTACCACAAAATTGTTGTTTAGTCTCGCGAATCAAGCACTAAGCATATGAAATAAATTAATAAACATAATTCAAAGGAAACCAGAAGTGAAATATATTTCTTCGTCGAATTGCTCACTTTATAGTTCGATTTATGACTAAGACGATCGATTTTACTCCTGGTGCTCCTTTGGATTTAATTTTCGAAGAGAAACTTGAAAACCAACTGTAATATGCGATGATGGTGATGGGCGCATTGCTTGACCGAGTATTTTTCATCTTCCATAACATTTTTCAGACGATGTTCGAGAACCTCTAGTTGGTAGTACGTGTGAAGCAACATTCCACTGTATAGAGTATCGTAAGCAACGTTCAAAAACGAGCCGATCGTTAAACCTGCGATTTGATGGGCGAATGTAACAGTGAACGCAAGCGAAGAAGAAGTATAGTCGTAAGGTAACCATGCGCGATACGTCAATTGTTTGAGTCCAAAATCTCTGATAAACGAAGTTATCCACATACACAATACGCAGCATTCGACTAAAGTCGTGTAAGCAATCGTGTTTCGCCTATAAAGATACCATTATTTATTTAGAACTAATTAATGGTCTTTTTTGGTATTGATAGTGAACAGAAATAAAATAATTTCAATTTTGTTTCTCCAGCAAAAATAAAATTTGCATAGATGCAGTTGTTTTCACAAAGACAGCAAGTGTCATTGTTCTTTAAAAAGAACTACGTAAAAACTTACGTAGCGATCCGTTCGCATCTCCTTCGAATTACGACTTCTTGAGCATTCATTGGCACAAACGGTTCCTTCTGGAGGGTGTCGATCAAAAAAGCAACCTTTTTTCTATTGTACAAGAAGTTGCACATCTTGTAGCAGCTGATGAATATCGCCAGTGTCATGTAGATATTGTCACTGAACTCGTCTTGATTCTTGACGTTCAGAACCACGTCCAGTATTTGAGAAAACAGGAGGGCGTGTGTCGTGAGAAATAAGAAACTGGAGTAAACATTGTATAGAATTCTCTTATACGGGGATGTCCAAGAAGAGGGGCGCAAACACCCGCACAAAGTCAAAATAGTGAACGTCGCTCGCAGTATACGCATTATCGATTTTGCAAAGTTCAAGACAGCATAAGTTTCTTTTTATTTAACAAAGCAGACACTAGCAACAGTAAAAGAAAGTTCAAAGTTCTATTTATGAAGCCATACTATTACTTTCTATTATCATTCAAAATTATGTCATAAAACACCTTCACAAGTAACGTCAACGTTTTGTCAGCACATATCAAAATGAACCGAATTTTTTTTCTGTATAAAATATAATTAAACTTATAGTTTCTGATGCAAAGTTAAAGTATATTTTGACTATCAAAGCATCCCTTTAATTAATCCCTCGAATCAAAGTTTTACTGTACTTTGACGTACTCCTTCATCAACATGCTACTTGAACATTGTCAAAATTATACAATACGTATGCATTACTAAATCTACTCTTTCATGCACAACTAGCCTTTGTCCACATCGCTTTTTAAACAAGCTTAAAATAGCCACGAAGCAGGTGGTTCCTCGCGCTAGGCATTGCGGAGTGCTCAAAAGTGCGTAAACAGGGTTGAAGAATGATCAACTCTTTCGTTGCGCTGTTTACTCGACGGAGTTTCTCAAAACTCTGAAGACCATATAGAATATCGGCATTTCTTGTTCAACCTCCTGTAAAGCAGTCTGTCGTCCACATAATTATCACAATTGTCGACGGTGCGTCCACCCGACTCGCGTAATTGGTTCTTCAATAATAGACTCGTTCCCCTCCGTATACATCGACAATCTTCCCTCTTTTTCCTCTGTATTGCTTTCCACTCGTAATATCAATAAGAGACATTTTAATGATAGAAACGAGTAGCGGAAGGTTAAGGGTATATTTTGTTTAATTTAGGGGTTGAACAGGAAATATTTTAAAGTTGCGTATAGTAATCACGACGGAAGGTATTGTGCGAGAGGCGTGTTGGTCGACAGGAAAACCATTACTGTATTTGACTATGTATTATTGACTATGTATTTATTGCTACCTGTACCACTCGTATTGAAGTCTACATACTTCAATAAATTTTTTCTAGTGTTTTCGATTATTTCGTTATTCCTCCCTCGCGTGTTTTCTTCTGTGAACGCAGTGGAAATCGGACAAAGTTCCTAATCCTTCAGCAAGTTTGGTTCTGCTTCGACTGATTTTCGGTATTCCTCATTGGAACAGATTATACGCTGAGTAAGAAGATTTGATCAGCTGTTACAAATAGTACGTTCGATCATTAATTGTTAACTGACCACTTTCGTTGCAAAGAACTGTTATTATCTTTTCAATTATTAATGTTATTCAACGAAATTTTTAGGGGAAAAGGGTGAATTTCCTAAGTGTGAATTATCTCATCTATTTTATTAGAAAATAAAATGTTGATATTCTTTTCGCAGTAACACGATATAAATTTAGTATTTTTCATTTTTGTAGGACGCATAGGATGAGACGCAATTGTCGAGAACTACCACAATATTGTTCAATTACTGACCGTCATGAAAGTGTTGATATTCATGGTCACGATGTGAAAGCTAGAGAACTCGATGGGCACCGTAGCACGCATCATTATCACCAAGAGAATCTTCCTAGTCTTGATATCCAAAGAATTCCAGTTACTTTCGAATACCATGTCAGGAACTTGGAGACTCTACGAAGAAGAATGGGTCAAATCTGAGCTGTTCGATCGAGAAAGAAATTTCTTTTTGATTATGCGAATGAACCTTCAGTTTGACTTCGTTTCCGTACCAGCAGTAGTAAAGTATTTGGACGAGCGTGTTGAACGTGTAGAATAGCAATTCGATCATCTTCGAGTCCATGTCGTTTTGCGTTATTTCATAAAGACTAAGACACAACGTACACATACATACCACCGACTGACTGAACGTGATTACCTTGAACTGGTTGTTTACCATACTAGCGAATCTGCAATGGTTTCAGGAAGATATTGGTCCCTTCGATCGGTCTCTTTGAGTTTTATTGATATTTATTATGGTAACATAATATTTGTAAAAACTTTTTCAACTTTTCTTCGCTTTTTTCTCGTGTTCGACAAAAAAAGAGTACTTCGTCGAAGAATATAACGGGCCCAGAGTTAATGGCAATGAATTTTTTACACTAAAACTACCAAACCAATCTTTTAATAAATTACTCAGTTGTGGATAGACCTTACGATAAATATTGAAAAATACTGAAATACTTTGGCTCAACCTCTTTCAAGCTCTCATGTATATATTCTAATATTTTGAATAGGAACGCAATGAATTGGTCATTCATAGTTTTACCGTTGAGTTATTGGCTCGTGGAATTACACATTACTCTTACTAATTCATGCAATTCTACTAATTATTCCCAAATAATAATTGTAGGGACGAAGACAAGAGACGAACTTGTATATTTGGTCATGAACATAAGCACATCGGTTTGCCGAGTCGATCTCATCCCTCTCGATTGATTTCAGACGATGGCCGAGTATCTCGAACAGGCAGTTAATGTGAATTAGGAGACCACTGAACAGACTGTCGCAAGAAATGGTGACGAACGAGATGTACGTCAATCCCACCACTTGATGAAGGTACGTAAATGTAAACGATAACCAAGTGGTGTAGTCGTACGGTAGCCAGGCACGATACAATAAACGTTTGTATTTGAAGTCTAAGGAAAATGACGAGACGAGCACCGACAAAAAGTAACCAACAATTACGGTCGTGTAGGTAATCGCGTTCCGTCTGTAAACATATTGTTGTTAATTTTTTGTATAAAGTTGTTTATTTTCGTTTACGCCGTCGAACGTTTCCGTTTACATACTCATAGTTGAAGGAAACTATATTTACGAAACGCATTGTATCGATTGTAATGACTAGATCACCTCGGATCATTTTTGTTGCTATCATTCTTACGGTCGAACAAGGGAGGCCATAACTCCCATCGTCGGGGGATTACGAGGCCCCGTAGAAGCAGACTTACTCGGTCACTTTGTCGAATCTCGTTCGAATTTCCATTTCCTCGGCGTTCGTCGGAGCGAAGGGCTTCTTCTGCAGTGTGCTAATCAAAAAATTCAGATTCCTCTGAGTGAACGAGAGGTGGCACATTTTCAAGCATATATTGCACGCGGCCAGCGTCACGTAGAAATTGTCGGTGAAATCGTCCTGATTGTCGACGTTAATAATCAAATCTAACACCTGAACGAGCGTAAAGGTGTACACGATCAGCCACACGACGATTGCGTAAACGTCGTAAACTATCCTCTTCGAAGAGGACGTCGATGAAGCTGGCCTCATACAACCGCAGACAGCGAGACATATACGTATATATTGCAATACATGCTTCGTCACTTCTTGTGATTTCTCCATTTTTCACCGGACAACATAAATTACTAATTCAATCAGTCCCGAAAAATGTGTTTATACGTTACAACTTCGCGAAGGTGCTCCACGCCGCGCTGAAGGTGTATTATTTACGTTTAAGATTATAAAAAGAATCCTTCAGCTCGGTCTTCGGATACTGACGAGATCAAGCGATGACGCATCGCTGACAGACGTATTTGCAATACCAGTTTTCGTAAACACGAGTTTCGTAAATACAAAGCTTCGTTCACTCGTCGCGTGACAGAGTTTCAGGTATCATCGTCGACTGTAGGATACCAATATTCTTTCTGCACCCTCGCCCCCGAGTCTTCTTCCAGGGACGAACCCTTCTGATTACCTCTTATGCACGAGCTATGTTATTACGGAAAACGACAACCACTTATCGAATAATGTTTTCAGTAATAACGTGTCTCTTTATTACAGTTTCTAAACGTTATTCTACATTGCAACCACACGTGACATCGGACTTCGCGAATAGACGAAGTAGCGATAGAGTCCATGAAATATAAATCGTCAGCGGAGAATAAGACGATGTGGACATCAGTGAAGCGGAAATGAAGTTAATAATTGAAGGACGTCGAACATTGTGGTTCTTCGAAAACCTTCGTGACTTTCAAGAAGGGTACAATTATTCGTTGGTAGCACGCGGCTGACAGTTTCTCATAGTATTCATTTGTTAAATAAGGAAAACTCCATACCATGAAAGCACGTTGCACGACGGTTAAAAACCTTTAAGTATCTGTAGTAAATACTAATTTGGCAGGTAGAGTAAAGGCAGACTTACTTTATTGTTCTCACTTACTTTATTGCCATGGAATACGAACCTTTAATGGTGTAGAGGAAACAATCTGATTTTAGGTAATAGAATCTCTGTTATGTGAAGTAATTGAAGTACAAAAGTGTTTTGACAAGAGAATTTTCTTTTGGTTTTGTAGTAAAATTCCTTTTATTGTGAACGATTCACAAAATTTTGCACATCGAGGTTGCGCATCATCGAGGTCGTTGGAAATTAAATGAGGAAGGATGAAATCGCAGAACGGACGAATTATTCTTCAGTGCCAAGGGGTTTGACAGTTTTCAATAATATTTATTCGTACGTACCATACCTATACTTCAATTATGTTAGCGTATCTTCGACACATTTTCATCTTGTCTTCCTCTTCTCGATTTTCTAACGGTTGAAAACTGTCATGGTTCGTTCAGCTACCCCTGACCTCGTTGGAGAACGTTGTACGCTGAGTAAGAAGTTTTAAGTACCTGAAATAAACATATCTTACAGGTGTACTCTGTTGACTAATTTTTTGACCATTTTTTTTAGAAGAGGAATAGATCTTTCATTAGAAAAGTTTCCAGTGAATTGCAGCGTTCAGTCGCACATAGTCCCTTCCCTTTTCAATTAAAGTACTGTATATATCAAGTAAATTTATATTTATCCTTTTCTTGATGAAAAATTATGTATACTAACGCTCACGAAAGTTTCAAGATTCATAGGCACGATGTGCATACTGGTAAATTCTATGGGCACTGACGCGCGTCTCATGATCATCAAGAGAACTCTTTTGGCGTTCTTGTCGAGGAACGTCCAGTCAGTTCGAAAAATCATGTTAGAAATGTCGAGGCTCTGAGGAGAGAAAGAGTATGTTACAAAATGTGTCTAACCGGAATCTTTTCATACTCGGAACGCACCTTCGACTTAACTTCGTCCCCGTGCCAACAATAAACGAAAATCTGCGTCAGCATGCAAGAAGTATACAGTATTATTTTCACATACTGAGCGTTGGCGCTTTTCGTAGTCGTTAATAGGTACAGGTTGAAGCACACCTCTAAGGTACTCACCGCGAATTGAACGAAAATTACCATTCGAAACTCTGTGTTTATCATACTAGCGAATCTAGAATTTGTTAAGGGGATCTTATGTATCCATCATTCGAATTCAAAATTGATAAAGATGTATTAAACGTGATTTTTTTTCGAATAAATCAAACGAAATCAAAGTGGTTCCAAGCGATGAAGCGATCTTCATTCACTGTAGACCCGATTTGATTGGTTTATCAAAAAAAAATATCGTAGATTAATTAACTAGCAATGAATCATCTTGATTTAACTAGCAAACAGAAATGTGGCCTCCACCAGTGAATTAAATTTGCATCCACCAATTCAAACATGCCATTATTGTGAACCAACCGGTATACATGGTCGTGATAACGTACGCACGAATTCACAGACTCATTCTCGCCTCTTTTAATCGTTTTCAGACGACATCCGAGTATCTCCATCTGGCTGTACGTGTGGGTCAACAGACCGCAGATCAAACCGTCGCAGGCAACGTGCAACAACGATGCAGCTATCAATGCTAGAACTTGTTGAGTATAAGTGAGGCTCATCGAGTACGTTGATGAACAGTTGCAAGGTAGCCACATTCGATAGGGTAGCTCTATGTTATCGGATGTCAGCAGCGCAGCGCACGAGACAGAGAGCACTGTTACCTCGACCAGACCCGCGTACAGAAGGGTAATCGATCTGCAATGATTAAATTTTAATATTCAAGGTACTATTTTTAAGTCTAGTATTGCTCATTTACACTATTACATGATTTTTTTATTTAACATTTAGTGTAAGTTGATAGCATGAACAAGGGAATGAAAATTTGTTAATAAAATGTCGAAGCTAAGCAGAAAGTAGAAAGATTTTAACGAATGGAAAGGTCTAAAAGTTACAGATATCGGTATGATTAATTATAAATGGAGAACATCACCATCAGTGATGAGTAGACTGCGGATCTTCATGCAAAAAATAAAATATTTGTTGTAAAATAGTTATTGGTAAGAAAAGAGAGTAATCCTTAAATATACTGACTCGGCTCTTTTGTCGAATCTCGTCCGAATCCCAATTTCCTCGGCGTTCCCCGGTAGAAAAGGCTCCTTTTCGAGGATGCTGGTCAAAGCACGGATGCTGTCGCGACTCTTCAGCAAGCTGTAGAGTTTGTGACAAGAAACAATCATCGCCAGCAACATATAGAAATTATCGCTGAACTCGTCCTGATTTTGAACGTTCAGCACTATGTCCATGAATTGAAGAAACGTCACGGTGTAAACCAGTAGCAAGATGACGGTTCTGTACACGGTGTACAGGAACATTTTTAACGGCGTCGTCCAAGACGACGGCCGCCAGCAGCCACACACCACTAGGATTCGAAATATCCATCGCATGAGACGCATCTTTCCTAAACTTTTCACTTTCAAATCTCAGTTTTTATTTATTTTTTGTTTATTCAATCTTTCAGTCTTGAAAAGATTCGATTGTCGAAACGTTCTTGTAGTGCTTTAAAAAACTCGATAGTCTGCGCGACAAAGCATTTGTAGAAAATGTATTGTGCTTCTTTTGTGGAGACCAGACACCCTTCTCGATTTCGTTGCGAATTGCAAATGCCAAAAGTCGATCGACAGTGATCACGGAAGTGAATAGGTTTCCTATACCTTGGGAGAAAGGGAATATCCGTCCCCAAGGGGTACATCTCCTCCGGTGCGCGTACCGTATAGTTATCGCGACTATAGGATTATGAATACAAATCATAGAATTACACTTTTATGAGTACGTCGGACCTTTTGACATTTTATTATCATTTTTGCAGTATTATCTCCTGTACATGGTGAAACTTCGAAATGAACCTACCAATCATATATTCTATGAAATTTAAATGAACGGAAGATTGGAACGTTTAAGAGTTTCTTTCCGCAAAGAAAGGAAAAATGTTCATTTAAAAATGATCTCTCTTTAGTTTGAATAAACTGTTTGCCTAAAGAACTGAGTGTAACAGTGAACAGTGATATATCCGGCCTCCGTCAAATAACATTATATGTGTTACTTATATAATTACATGCACATTTTGCGTGCACATTTGGAAAAGGTTAATAAGTCAATTTTTTTGTTTGCTATTCTTGGTTAAAATAATAAGGTACATATTTTAAAAATGATGTCAAAAGATATAATTCATCACATAACAAATTTATTTAATCGCATACTATATCTAAGTTGAAAGACTCGAATTGTCTACGCTGTTTATCGTCTTTTACAACTGATTCTATAGTCATTGTTTGCGCTGGAATTATCTGCTTCTCTGAAGCAAGTTGTACGTCGAATAAGACATTTTTAGGATCTGGAAAGAATGTGAGGTACATGTTACAAGGGGCGTATAGCTTTCGATTAAAATTCTGTGTACTGTTTACCAACCCCCACGAAGGTATCCACGTTCATCGTGATTACATAAGAGCAAGTTAATTCGATTGGATTCATCGCTCTGAACATGATGATTATTAAACTATTCTTGGCGTTCTTGTCGAGATGCATCCAATCTAGATGGAAAATCGTGTCTGCGAGTTCGACGCTCTGCTTTTACGAACGTAAAATGGAGAAAGAATATTAGCATCGATGTAGAAAGATAGAAAAAATCAGGAGGTAGAAGTCATCAGTTTTGTGATTAAAAAATGAAGACTGTTATGATGGAAAGATTTAAAGGAAAAAGAAGAGGAGTACGGGAACTGAATGTTGCAAAGAAATGGATTTCTTTTTCACGCGAATACCTTCAATTTCAATTCATTTCCGAACCAGCAGTACATAAAAATCTGTGTCATCATGCAGGCCATGTATATGACAAATCCCACAAATTTCGGGTTGGATGGGGACGTGACCGACATTTGGTACATAATAAAACACACCACCAGGGTGCTCGTTACAAGCTGAGTAGTGAGGATCACTTTAAACTCTTCTTGTATCATGAATGCATATCTGTGTATGAAAACAGAAAAGGAGTTACTATTACAACGACTATATACGAACGAATGAATGATTTCAGAGTCTTGGATACGGGGATTATTTACTATATATAAATATAAAAATTTTTCTTTTCCAATTCGTTTTACGTTAGTGGTAGTACAGTGTGTGTTCACAGGTTTGATTTAATTGAAAAGTGTCTAAAATTTGTCAAACGAACCGAACCTATATAGATAGTTATGGAAACGCACTATCGTTCCAAATTCAGGTCTCGTTTCTCGCGTGGCTTCCTCCAACCTATGTTTCAGGATCTCCTGCTGGCTGCAAGCGTGGGCGCACAGACCAATAACAAACGAATCGCAAGACACGTTCGTGAATGCCAACCCAACTATTGCTATCATCTGATGAGCGTGTGCGATAAAAAAAATATTGCAGTTAGTGTGGTTAAACGGCAACCAAGCTTTGTACACCAGCTGTCTCTTCGGTATGTTGAGAAAGAACGATGAAACAATTATGAAGAGAACCGAGCATTTCACCAAAATGGCGTAACCAATTGTGACGGACCTGTAAAGTATCTATGAAGATGCATTAGTCAATTAATTCGCTATTTATTTAACAAAAGACCAGTATCGATAAGGAAAGTTTTCTTCACCCGTAATTCTTTTTGATATATATTTTTATTTTTTCATTGATAATAATACATTTCATCTACGTATAATAGAGGCTGCGTTTAGCCTCTGTTTTTGAAAAAGAAGAATAGAGCTTAATGTTTTCCATAATGTTTTTTTTATAACATATTTTGGCATTATCCAAATTTGGCTCCACCAGAAACTTTCTTATCGATACTTGTACTTTGTATGAATTGGATTTGTCTCGTGTTTTGGGACATTGTATTACTTCTACGCCCACAAAACAAACTTTAGATTATTTACCGAAATTATCACAATCATGCCATACGTATATTGGCACACAAGATAATAGAAATTAGGTTGACAACCGAGATTACTATAGGCATAGTGCAATATAGTCACCGAATAGACATATTACAAAGCGTTTACCCAATTTTTGTATCGTATTCCCGTCGAATAGTTGCCTCAGCCTTATTCATTGGCTTGCAGGGCTCCTCTTCAAGCTTATTTATCATCATTTTGATGTTTTCGTGATACGTAAGAAACATGGCGATTTTGCAACAAGCTATAAAAGTCGCGAAGAACATGTAGGTGGCTTCGCTAAACTCGTCCGCGCTTTCCACGTTTAGTACCAAATACAGAAATTGAGAAGCACAAAAACTGTAAATCAGAAGAAACACGAAGATAGTATACAAAGTGTACAGCACTTTTTTTACTGTCGTCGACCAACTGGTCGGTCTCCAATATCCGCAAGCACTCAGTATATAGAACGTTGGTCGCAGAATATTCATCTCGCAACTGAAACAATTATCACCGCTTATTACCACATGTAAATAAAGACAATTTACGGACTCTACACTAAAAATAACAATTATGAATGCGATTTTAGTAAGTCACTGCCACTCGGGCAACTTCTTTTCTTCGTTTTAATTCTAAAAGAATTTAGATTAATTCTTCTTTATGGTCGTCGTTGCATCCACTATTTTATATTTAAATGGAGTAGTTCAGAGCTATAATAACTTGCGGACAAACCTTTGCGACATCATAACTCGACAACATTTTTTTAAACACTGACAACTTGCAGTAGTCTATATCTACGGAAGGGATTACTGCAAGGGGATTACGGCCCCTCTTTTACGGATACCATAGGATCGCATTTGCATTGGTATGCACACAACGTATCATTATTAAAATTGCTGCTATACAGTATAACGACTTCAAAATTTACTTTCTTTAAGTAAGATGTACATCCGTATTAATATTGTAACGAGAGACCTTTTTTCGATATACAAGCATGTATTATTTGATTGTGTTACCAGTACAATGTTATACGAAACCGATACGCTTAATTGCAGGAATACGTATCGATAGCGTGGAGACCAGAAGGTGAAGAAGAAAGACGATACAAGGGTAGCTGTTGCGAGCAGAGTCACTTCGAACGGGTACAGGTACAAGTAAGTCTTTCGTTCAGTTATCGTTGGTGTGTGTTAAATTAAGCGAAGGTAATTCATTGTAAAAATTGTAGTCAAATGTTATATGGTGAACGCGAGTTGGGAGCAGCTAAGGCAAGAGTTCACATTCGATAAAGTATTTTGATAAATAGGCCTCAGTAACTCTACGTCAAATTGCTGTTTGATGTGCGTAGGAAAGGTGTATGATAGAACTACAACCTTGAGGCCATGGTTTTATATCGAAAGGAGGCATTACTCAAGGGACGGGTTTGCATGACTTTTTCTACTTAAAACGTCTGACCAGGGATGGTTTATTTGAGAGGGAACAGGATTGCCTGGCCAACTTTATCTAAAACGATCCTCCTGTTTAAATTCTTTGAACTATCACAGTTTCTCTTGTGGGTTTCCAGTATTTTCGCTCAAATGAATAGATCGCTAGTGAAAAATAAATTGATTAATGTATTAATTTATACGAAAATTGTTTAAATTACTCAATAGTATCTACAAATACTTCTAATGAATTTTAATTTAATTAAATAAAAAGAAATTCAAATTTCCCGCGTGAATGTAGTGTCGCCGTCTAGCGGTCAACAACTGAACTATTTTCGGAGTATGATCAGGGCCTCTATCGGGAAAACGCTCAAGTTTGTCCTCGAATAGTTCCCCTGTCAGTGGTAAAAGGAGCCATTTGTTTATTTCAATTAAAAAATTAAGAGTACTGGGCTAAAAAATTATTCTCATTCATATTTTAATATTGCATTGATTGTCCATATATTTGTTTTTGGAAATATCAACAAAAACTTAGGAATACCTGTATCGCCATTTACCAGTGAACAATCAAAACTAATCGGTGACAAACTTGGGCGTTTTTCCGATAGAGGGCGACAGAGATATTTGTACATTTTTTTTATATATATATCCAAAAACAAATAGATGAACAATCATTGCAATATTAAAATATGAATGAGAATCATTTTTTAACAGGGGAACTATTGACAGGGGAACTATTCGAGGACAAACTTGAGCGTTTTCCCGATAGAGGCCCTGATCATACTCCGAAAATAGTTCAGTTGTTGACCGCTAGGCGGCGACACTAATTTCACGCGGGAAATTTGAATTTCTTTTTATTTAAATTAAAATTCATTAGAAGCATTTGTAGATACTATTGAGTAATTTAAAAATTTTTCGTATAAATTAATACATTAATCAATTTATTTTTCACTAGTAACCTGTTCCGACTTCGACTGGGAGCATTTTTTAATTTTCTCCCAATAGTTTTTTTTTACAGAGTTCATGTAACATCTCGTTATAAACGACATTAGCCGTTTTTTCTCTTGACGTCACCACGAAAAAATGTTGATTCCCTTACTCACCTGTTGGTAATATAATTTAAAAGATTTTTGCGTCTGCAAGTTGTAACTTACATCTACTTATGGCTGAAAAAACGGCAAGAGATCTTCCTAGATATACAGTAAGTTCTTACCGCGTTACAAGAAACTCAAAATTAATGTAAATCAGCTTAATTTAAACCGCGTTATAAAAAACAATAGGAAAAAATAGAACAAAAAATAGAACAATTCGTATCGCATAATACGGTAACCGTGTTCTGAGGGTTTCGCATTATAGCAGGGTTTACTACAAATCTAACAGTTGTAATACGATTCAGGAATAAGGATCAGGAGAGAAATAATAGAAATGACAAACATACTGTAAATAGTTTATTAAGAAATCAAAGAAGAAAGTGATCTTATTCGTTTTCTTGAGAACGTAATCTAGCACTAGCATTTGTCACGCGTATGGAAAGTTGTTGTGCTCGTTCAACGATCGATTTACGTTTTTTACTGCTTACACCATGAGCAATTTCGGCACAGAATTTTCGGTTTTGCATCATTAGAACTTCTAATTCCTGCAAACATACACAAAAACACAAATCTCATTGTAATTGAATAGATAAATAAAATATTGCTTTTACTTTTATTTCATTTCAAAATATTTTCGTAAAATTAAAAAGGTTCTTTTATCTGAAATATCTTGTAAATAATAGTATGCGTTTTCATACATATTAAAGGTACAAGAAATGTTTATTTTTTAATAGTTTTTTAAAATGTGGATATAAAGATAATTGCTGAAAATGTTAAGAAACAGAGTAAGAGTTTAACAACTAATTGTTCTTACCTTAACATTGTGTACCAAGACTTTCCTGAAACCAGTAGGTAGCATGTGGCGTGTTTTTTTGTTGCTTCCATAACCAATATTGGGCATCAAATATTGACCCTTGAAGCGCCTACGAACTCTGTTGTCGATACCTTTTGGTTTACGCCAGTTTCTCTGAAATATTGTTTCATTTACAACATATTATTATTCAATAAATACTGAGGATAGCTTTAATAAAGAAGGTTTAAAATACGACTGATAAATAACTGTAAACATTATAGTAAATATCATACCTTTAGTTTACTGTATCGATCACTCTGATGACGAATGAACTTCTTAGTTCTTTTCTTGACAATTGTTGGCCTGTACACGGGTCGAATAGCCATTGTGATTTTTGTTAGGTGCTAGAAAACTGGAACTGAAATCATCAAAATAAAGTAAATTAGTTCATTCACAATGACACCACTACACATTTTCATCACATATTGTTTTATTTGTTTCACTGAGATGTAACACAATTTTCGAAAAATATAATTAATTTCATCTTTCTTTATTTCTTTAAATTTATCTGTTACGTATATATTCTACTTTGTTCAAACGATTTTTATTAATATTATAGATTTCTCACAACATCACATACCGTCCCTCACTATGCACCAGACAGAAGAGGTTATGTTGAACCAGGAGTAATAACACCACAGATTATTCTTATAGAGGCGAAACTCTCGCGCCTTTTTTAGATCTCAATTCTCAGTGCGCATGCGTCTTAAGGAATATAACCACGGAATAGTTTTATAGAGATAAATCTCTTGTCGAAGTTCTATATTTTCAGATTAGGATGGATTAGGGTTTGTCTAAGCAAATTTAAAAGTACATACTCAGCACAAATGAGTCATCCAAGAATGTAAAAAAAATTGTCAATTCCTCCTGACGATTCAAATTGTTTCCAATGAAATGAATAGCCACTTAGCGATGAGTAAATATATGCTGCAATGCAAATCAAAGGTAAACATGATAATAAAAGAAAAGAACAGAATTTCTAACTATCTATATCTAGGATAGAAGGAGTGTATATTAATAGATTTGTTTATATTTGGTGTAACGAGTGAGAATGAAATTAACATCAGCGCCACAAGTGACGCGACTCCCGAAACAAGGAGTGATCCCACTTTTCTGTCGGAGTGTCCAGTCCCTGGTTGAAATCAGCAGCGGCGCAGTGTTGAATCAACACTGTTGATCTGACATCAAACGAAATTGTTCTTTCGTAGTAAGAGAGATACCGTTATCGGCTCAAATTTCCGTAGAATATTATTTAGGCTGCTGCAAGTCTTCGCTTCGAAAAAATGCCGCGCGGTAAGCGCATAAATTATTATTGTTTTCCTTTGAAAAATTTTTTCTTTCTCGTCCCCACCACATTTTTCTCGGATGAAACATGCACTTTCGTACTTTTTGACCTCGAACAACGGAATTAGATCAAATGTGATTTTTTTCAGGTAAATTTGTCGGTCACAAAGGCCGAAGTCGTCACTTTACTAACCCCGAGGAGTTGGAGGAGCAGCGACGTCAGGACGAAATAAAATTCCATATGAGAGTCAGTATTTTTAGGTTAACCAACAGCACGACAGCTTAGATATTATTGTTAAGTACGTCAGGTCGAACTGTCACTTGATGGAGCACGATACTCTATGCTGGTGCAAATTTCATTTACGCGACCGAACAGGACTTTAAAAAAATTCTTAAAAATCCAAAGCACTCGGTAGAGGCCTAAAATGACCCATTTTGTCGCTTTCCTCTCGCGTTTGCCCCTTTGAAAATATTGCATACATGTTATATTACTTAAGGAACTGGTAAATGAAGATTCATTAATACGGATTGAATGCTTTGTGCTTAAAGGTTACAATGAAATTGTTCCTTTTAGAAATGTAAAGGGGATGATGCGAGTTCCAGCGACGAAGGAGGCGAAGAAACCAAAAGTCCTCTGCATAGTGGTTCGGAAACAGATAGTGAAAGTGACTCAGAATCGGAATCTAAAGCGGAGGTAACTTAATGCATAAGATTTTTTAATAATCTAGAAACTTTGGGTTTTATCCTTGAATATTTATAGGGAAAGGCGAAAGGGGTAGAAAACTTAATCCAAGTTGAAAATCCAAATAGGGTACAAAAAAAAACAAAAAAATTATCAGAATTAAATAAGTCTGTAGACTTTGGAAAACCAGAATTATCTCGAAGGGAACGGTAAGATTGATAGATATAATAGAACACTTGAGCTAATCAATACATTTTACAAACAAATAAATTTATCTTTTTCAGAGAGCAACTAGAAAGACAGAGAGCACAAGCTAACTATCAAAAACTGCACGCGGCAGGTAAGACCGATGAAGCTCGCGCAGATCTAGCACGATTAGCTATAATTAAACAACAACGAGAGGAGGCAGCGAAAAAACGCGAAGTGGAAAAGAAGCAGAAGGAACTCGCTCAGCAGAAGAAAACGGAACTTACGCAAAAAGCACTCGGCAAAAAATCCTAGGACGATCAAATTTGAATCAATTACAAATACTTTACATCGCTGCTACTATTACATTAACACTACAAGCAGTTCGAACTCTACTTTCATATTGATACTATTTGATTAAATCAATTTACGCATTTGTAATATGCGTTTGATGAAGATGTCCTTGTTTGTATAAATACAATTATTATAGTAATTGAATTAAAACTGTAATTATGTCTCCTTACTTATCCTATACTCCACTATCGTCTTCGCATCGACGAAGAAAAATAGAAACTAACAGTATATTTAATTTTATGTGCGATTTAAAACAAACATAAGAGTGCATGAAAAACGTTTCTATAAAGTAAATTTGAATAAACTCTCGCAAATTGGTTTCAATTGATTTAAATTAATGCGACGAAATTGAATGAATAAATTTACACGAGGTAATAGTCAGTAATGCATTAGTATAAAGTACAAAGGTCCTTCAGACTACCTATAGCGTTTACTATGGAGTGAAATACAATGCGGTGCAACACAGTTACGAGAGATAGTCGACTCGAGGCAGTCAAGCCGACACGATGTTCTGGGCAGATGCAATTTACGTTGCAATACTTGTATCTTGTGTATTTGCTGGTTCTTTGTATAAAAAAGTCGAGGATGTATACGTGAAGCAATGGATCTCTACAATTCTGGGTTTCATTTTGGCTACAATAGTTTCTGGAAGTCATGTAATTCATCCTATAATCAGTACTGTGATTAACGCGATTATTATAACCAAGATCTCGCCAAAGTACGATATAACGATAACTTAACTATTTCATAAATTTAACGTACGATTATTTCCAATATCTTCATTAACATATTTTATATTTTATCAGTGAAGTGTTGAAATATATAAAAATTGTGTTCCGCTTGTGCCGAACAATTTTGCATGACTTGTCATTTTAACAATCGCTATTTATTCGATACATATTTTTATATTTGATGCTGAATTTGTCTATAATATTATAATAAACGCGTCACTCGTTACCAATTTGACGAAAATTTGACGAACATGTTTCAAAGGTTTTTTAACTGAAATTTGTCTGTAGACTGAAAATTAAAGATAAGATGAATGTCAACATCAAATGATAATATCAATGCTAATGTGTGCTAATGTCAAAGTTGAAGATATTTCTCAATATAGACATTGATTACTATTGTAGCCCACTTGTCATTTCTGTCATCACCAATGGCATCAATAACATGCAATGCAGATATTTGGATCACTGTTTCAAGATTTTAAGATTATCCACTAATTGCTACCACGAAAATTTATAAAAATATCTTTCGTTAAGTGTTATTATTTTAGCATCTTCTAAAAAAAATTAAAAATTTTTTAAATACTATCTTTTGCATTTTTGCTTTCTAAGTATTTCATTAATTCTCATTTTAAATAATCTTTTATTTACAGGAAATGTCATCTGGCTAGCATTTTCTTTTCATTCTTCTATCTACTTATTATATTTCGATTAGGAGATTGCGTTGGTTTACCAACATCACCATCTCATACAAACCTGGTGCTCATGATATTAACATTAAAATTATCTGGACTGGCTTTTGAAATAAATGTAGCTAGTAGTACACCACCCAATGATGCAGAAGGAGCAAATTCTGAAGCTATACAAAATGTTGGATTTGTGGATGTATTTCACTATGGTTTTAGCTACATGGGAATCTTGACTGGTAATTTGATATTGAAATCAATTATAATCAAGCTTATTCTTATATTATGTACATTAAATATAATATTTCTTTTTGTAGGCCCGTATTATCGATACAGAACATATTGGGATCATCTGCACAGACCATTTTCCAAATATGCGGATCCATGGCCCCTTACATTATACAAACTTAAGCAAACTGCATGTTTTGTTGTATTATATCTCGTGATAAATGAATTATACCCCACCAGAGTAATATCAATATTCTTTAATACTACAAACAGATATGATAAGTCATTTTGAAGTTTCCTTTCTAAATTTCAGTACGTTTTAACAGATGAATTTGCCGAGCGGGCATTTCTGTACAGATACCTTTATATGTATCCTGCCTTCCTTACTTTTAAACTAAGAATGTACATTGGTATGGCCCTTGCCGAATGTGCTTGCCAGATGGCTGGACTTGGAGTGTATCCTGTGGAATCCAAACCTATAATAGGATTAGGACCACGAGATTACAAAATCATTGAAACTTTGTAAGTACATATTTTCTGATTTATTTGAAACAAATATTAATCAATAAAATTTTATAGATCTACTACACCCGAAAAATTGAAAGATGCAGAGTTTAACTTTGATACCATATATAATATGAACGTTTGGAAGCTAGAAAAGTGCCATTCAACAAGAATAGCTATGAAATCTTGGAATGCTTGCATTCAATATTGGATGGGCGTTTACGTGTATAAAAGGTTTCCATATAAAAGTTTACGAACTCTTGCCACTTTTACACTTTCTGCAGCCTGGCATGGTTGGTCAGCTGGTTACTATATTTGTATTTGTCAAATTCCTATGTTTTTAATGAGCGAAGATATAGGCATTAAATTTTATCAGCAGAGTGAAGAAAATAGTTTGGTATGTACTATGATTATTTAAAATTTTTAGTTACAATTTCGATTCATTTAATATCTATTTTCAGGCCAAGAAAGGATGGCAGTTACTTTTATGGTATGAGAAAACAACCTGCATGGCATATTTAGGAATACCATTCCTATTGCTAGATTTTGGAGAGTCACTACATTATTATAAAAGCGTATATTTTTCTGGACATATCCTAGCAATCGCACTATACGTAATTTTTCGCTTTTTGAAACCCCGTATTATAAAAACCCATAGAGAATAAGGATGAAGATAATAGTCTGCTACGCTAGTATTTAATGCTGCATGCACATATTTTCGAGTAAATGAATCACTTTGTCTCTCAAAATAGTTTAGGTATTTTTTTTAAGTACTGAATTTTTACAAATTATAGTTATATTTACCAACATTATGTCAGCAATACCGTTAAGCTGTTACGAAATGTATGTATACTTACATACATACTTTACACCATGATTGAGCTAGTCAGTTAGTGTAATAATGAAAATATTCTTCTGACGTGTTACTTCCATAGATTCTACTTAAAGAATGAAAATAAAATGCTCTCTGATGTTAAGAGGGTTTTTATTCTTCCATTTGTAATAACGAGTAAGTCAGAAATAATAAAAATTCCATTTGTTTAGTACGGTAATCTTTATTGATCGTATCCTCCACCTGTCTACAATCATTTATTCCTTTTGTATAAAAAAAGAAATTAATCGTCTGTATATTCCAACACCACCTTACCTCTAATATACTTACTCCACCGACGTTTGGTGATACCTGAAAAAAGAAACACAGGAAAAGCGAAAGGATCCCCCAACCCCTCAATTTTCCCAATTATTTATAATGTGGCGGCAAGTGTTCCAAGCGATGATCATAGAATTTAGATCTTTATAGACGCGAACGGAACAATATGCGTTAGGAAACTATTGATCACTATTTAAAAAGTATTCGTCCTGAAGTTATTAAAATTGAAATAAAAGGTAAGTAACTGAGGATTCTGGGTATAAGTTGTGTCCTTTGAACAAAATCCATCGATGTTTCGTCAGCGTAGGAGTTAACTTCTCCAGGGGTCAAATGACACCGATATTGTGTCGTTATTGAATTACAGTGTGTTACTTGACCCATGAGAAAGCTAGCTGCAATACTGACGAAATGTCGGAGTATCTTATCGAAAGGATACGAGTTACATCAGAAAGTCTCAGTATCAACCATAAAGAACAGGGCCGTTAAAGTCTCGAATATCTTGAAAGTTAAGTAAAATCTCATAGATAGAATTGATTTTATCTGTAGTCACGTCAACAAATTAATATATCTCCGAATGATTAAATTTAAGCACTTGAAATGAAAACAAAAATTAAATTATATCACGAGACGGTAATCTTAAGTAATTACCAAGACTAGATAGTTAGTAATTAAGTAATTAAAAGAGTCGACTTTAAACTCGTACAACTTACGAATGACCTACACAGATGGGAGCAAAGTATGTGCTCGTCTTTAATGATCACCATTGCTGGGAAGTGATCGTCAAGAAACACGCGAAGTAACTGGTAGACGTAACAGTTGAAATGTGAGTCGTTGCTCGCGAGGTCTGGTGATGCTCACGTGCTACCTGCAAACCGGACGGTAGCTGAGACCAGCAACCGCGTGGCTTTGTTTGTGTTCTCTGCTTATTTCTCAGCGTTCGACCGTACCCTCTGCGATTTTCTGCACGCCGACCCCCCAGAGTGACAGCTTTCGCTCACACTTTCTCTCTTTTTCTCGCCCTGATCGACTCGCGAACCTGCTTTCACCAGACCACCAACCGCTCGCTACTGCAAACTGCTTACAGCCCTGCTACTCGGCTTACTGCTTACTCTCAGCTACCCCATCATCGGCTACACTCGCCACGCCACTCCTTTCCACCGCCTGTGGCACCATAAAATCACAACTTAGTTATAACGAATAAGCGTGTCATATCCGTGTGTGAGGATTTGATATCTTTTTTTTTTGTTGGAAGATATTGACGATCGACCGATTGTACGTAAATGAAAATAGGTCAACATTAACTTCTTTTGATTAAAATGTAATACTTGAACGCACTGGTATAATGATCTTTTAAAACGTTGTTTTTTTCTTAACATAATAGACATTTATAAAATTGTAATAAAGTTACTGATATTCAATTTAGCGACACACGGTGGAAGTCCCAAGCAGTGTTATTCCGATAACTAAGGTGTTGAATATTCTTTGAAACAAATTTAACTGTAACCAGGTCTTGATTAAAATTTTTTGAACAGAATTACAAGTTACCGTTATTATTATTTCGTTCACAATGTTTTTTGCAAACATTACAATTTTTTTTTTATTCTCGATACTTTGAAATTTGTAAGTACACTACATGAATGTTGAAAAATTTGAAAAGATTATAAATATTAAACACTTGAATATTCAGACACAATACGTATTATAAGTCTCTGGAAAGACAGATAATTTATATTTACACATTTTACATTATATCGAATTATTATTTGAAGATTAATGAAATTTCACTTAAAACTCAAATAATCGACTATCATGCAAAACGAGTTTTAACTGATAAATTTAGAGGTAACACGACTGGCTAGATTGCCTACAGTTACATACTTAGCATTTAATCACTGTCTAAGACTACGCGAATAGTTCCGTCTTCTGTATTTTATTACACTTTATTATAAAGGGCAAACTTACATAAATAAACCTGTATACCATTACAGAAACGCAGAACTTATTTCTACAATTCGTACGTGTCACGATTTTTAATTTCTCTTTTTGGTTAATTAAGGTCGGACGAGTTTCGATTGGAAATAATAGAAAAACTAGAAAAATCTCAACGATTTAAAAAGTGAATTTGGAAATTTGTACAGAAGTCGGACTCAGTCGACCGCACACGCTTTACATTACCTGCTAATTATACCATTACACATCAACACCCTGATGTATTCCCAGGAATATCTAATCCACCTTGCTCGGTTCGAACAATTTCATAATGGGCATTTTATCGAAATAGGTGCTTTCCTGCTGTTACTTATACATGCCGTTTGGCGTAGAATAGTTATAATACGATTGAAGAAATGGAAGAAAGGAACGAACTTCTGTCATTTGTAACTCACTTAAATTGACAAGTACTAGAAGCTGTGCACGCTATACTTCAACGTAAGAAGGCGTTGTACGATCGAACTAATAACAATTTTTAATTATTCATAGAGTGCAAATTCAAGTGATCTCTGCTCTATTTTCGAAATCTGAAATTCTAATTGTTCTTTCAGAGCAGAAATAAACATCAAATATATAGTGCTAGTGTACATCCTAAAACTCTTATCAAGGATATAACTAACTTCAGTTCAATGATCAGAGCATGCTGTTTCAGTTGTCACAACAGCTGCGTTATTTATGAAAAACAGAATATATTCGGTTTCCCTCTGATCAAAGTAAGCATTGCTCGTGACAATGTCACTTAACGAAGTAAGAATAATTACGAAAACTTGCAAACGTGAATCATCATGAGTCTCTTACGCTCACTGTCTAGATACATTACATTAAAATTAGTTTGGGTTTTTTTTTTTCAACCCAAAGAAGTGCGTCGTCATAATTAATATGTAAGTGATAGAAGAAATGTGAACGTGCGACAGTGTTGCTCTAGGTATAGAGGGTAATGGAATACCTTTTCGTTCTCAAGAAACGATTATTCTGCACTCGCGGCACGTGCATCTGTTCACAGTCGTACTTGCGCATGGTTCGATTACTTCAGTCCCTATATACAAAAAAAAATTTTGTACAATGAATATTTATTTAATATTGCAATGAAAGTATAATATTCTCTAATTATACTAATAAGACTTACCTTGATTTGGAACGACTGTCTTTCTGCCTGTCTGGAGACTTGCTACGAGAGCGAGACTTTCCACGAGAGCTCTTACTGTCGGAACGTGAGCGGCTGCGACTACGGCTGTAAGATCGCCTACGATCTCTATCGCGGCTTCTGGATCTGCTGCGTGACCTGGAACGCGAGCGTCTGCGATCTCTGCTTCTGCTGCGTGATCTATAAACAAAACGAAACAAATTAATGTGTTATATTCGAAGATTTGTATAAAATACTTGTGCGATAAATACCTTCCACGACGACGGCTGCTACGGTTACGATGTGGAGAAGTTGGTCGTCCGTATCGTGCCATTTGAACTCTAAGTTCCCTACCATCTAACAATCTTCCATCCATCGCGTCTAACGCATCTTCTGCATCTCGTTTGTCGTAAAATCTAGAGATTGAAAAACGATGAAATTACGTTCAATTATCTAAGTCGACGTATGAATTAATAATAGAGACGACGTTATCAGATACAACATTTGTTAGTATCTGGAAACCGAAGTACAGCTATTCAAACAGCGTGATGACGTCACGCTTACATATAATGCTTCGCAAGATTGGAGTGGAAATTAATAAATGCAAAGGAAAATTAGATTATTTTCTTACCTGACAAATGCAAATCCGCGACTTTCTCGAGTGAAACGATCTCTGGGTATGTAAATGTCGCCGACTTCGCCACATCTCTCGAACACGCGTCTCAAGTCTTCGGGCGTCGTTCTGTAGGTCAGATTGTCCACCTTCAGGGACACCATCCCGTCGATTCGAGGCGGTGGCCTACCGTAACTCATTTTTTTCTAATCGTCGAGCACTTTCGAAATGATGAAATTAACACTCGAAACGGAAAAATCACTTTCAGATTAATGGCACGCGTCCACGCACGTCAAAGACAAGATGGCGAGTGACGGAAGACCGAAGTATACGCGCAGTACAGTGGGAAATGACGTAAACACAATTTCCTACTATGTGACTCAAATTTCGTACGAAATGTAACTTATCTGTAGAATATATCTTTCTCCTGATTTTATTTGAAAAATAGCGTTTATTTAAATGAAAAACTATTGGCCAACTTTGTATATGGCTTGCAATAAAACACATACGAAACATTAAACATTCATTTTTCCTACAGAGATATAACGTAACCAATGTTACTTTCGCTAATAATATATTTGCTATAATTTCATCAGTTTCATTTGAAATTTAAACTCAAATTTACAGAAAAATCGATATTTCATGAAAGGAAATACTGTTCAGATACTTATCTCCGTTTTATGTTAGACATGAAATGACTTATTTTGTTTACTTCCGGTCGACTTGAAATTTGAATTCACGAAAACTATGCTATATTTGTTTCATCTGCCAAACAAGGAAAACAGGAATATCTTCCTTTGTAGCTTGATAAAGCGATAATTTCAGTTGAATTGCTTCATACAACAAATAATGTACGATGGTACATAAATTTGACAACCAGAGACTTTTACTTTTCGTTTCCGAGAGTAAGTTTTATATAAAAAAAATTAAATTTATACAATATTCGCTGTTAATGGTAATAAACATTGATCGCAACGAATCGTTAACGCATTATTTTTTATTTAAGTTTCAATGAAGCTGCATCTGTGGTATCACAACAATGCCCTTGCAATTAGATGCTCCCCAAAAAATAATCTGTCAACATCGCTTAAAAATCCTCGGACATCCGATACATACTACAGTTCGCGATCGTTTCATTACACGTTATAAAAACGAATCGATACCAACCGTAAAAAAGGGCAAACGCAATTGTTGTACATTTTGGTCCTTTGCCCGCCGATCGCCTGTGTCTGTTGCGTCGAATCGTTTGCACAAAAAAAAAAAAAAAAAAAAAAAAAAAAAAAATGATCGAAACAACATCCAGCGATTTTTGTCCCGCATATTGAAAAATCGAGGGCAATCGCGCCAACAAACACAGTTCGCGCAATACTCTCTTGACTTAGCCGGCCGGTAGGCGCAAAATAAGAGACGTGGAGTGATCACAATTCTCTCTCTCTTTTTGTTCTTCATTTTTTACAATTCTTTTACTTCTCATCCGAAAGATTCGTCGATGAATCACCCGCAGCTGGCGTCTACGCGTCAGCGACGTCGTCGAGATTGTAGAGAAAAATTCATCTCAAAATAATTTCCAACAAATCACATAGCAGCCCAATAAATAGCTTAAAATGTCTAACAGGGTTTTCGCTTATCGTTACAATATAAAAAGAGAGTCGCAGATAGTCCGAAGTAAGAAAACACAGAGATTGGAAAGATATAGACTCAACGGGGTGACAGAGACAAGGCGAATAGGACAGAACGAGAGTTTCCAGAGTTTCGAGTTAGACCCGTAAGATAATCGAAATTAGGTGCACCTGTCATGGGAAAATCCGCGTAATGTGTTTTGTTATCTATAAATTAGAACGTCCCAACAATTTCGCGTGTGGGATCTACGACCGTTACGTTACAATATTAAAAAATATATGTATGTGTATGTGTGTACAGATTGTCCAGTAATTTGGAATGGAATCAAAAAAGGGGTGATCCCTCGTTCAAAGATGAGTCGAAAATCTAGAGTAAAATGTGTCCATACCAGGTTCAGTTTCAAATATGACCTGTCGTGTCTTTAGAGAATGGTGATTTGTACTGAAACGAGAGAATCTTCGAAGCCGATTTATTTGAAAATGGAACCTCGTATGGAAAGATTCAATTCCACATTGGTGGCCTACTTTGCACGAGGAATCGCTTCCCGTTCGATTATATCACAAATTACGGAACCGGGTGTACAAAACACACAGGCGAAGTGAATTCGGCAGGTCGATCGTACGGGACAAAACATTATCATCGTTCGTGACAGAGAAAGGAGTCTGACATTTGAATACTTGAGACCGAACTTGGACGACGCGACGTCTCTTGGTTTATCCGTGGGCGCGGGACGTCGCCCCGTTCAAGCCACCGCTTACACTATTTACTATTCAACAATTCAAAATACTTATAATGATACACACAACCTTGAATAATCTCAACAGCTGCTGGCCTTAGCTTGAACTAACTTATGTCGTAGATCGTGAATACAAAAGTAATTTTCTTCCCCCGCTATTGCTAACGACGCGTTATTCCGTGCCATCGATATTAAGTTAGCTTCTGACCTGACCAAAGCTTCGCAACGCTCTACAAACTTTCGCGTTATTACAATCTTTTGCATTTTTATACTTTTTGTTTGTCGCTTCGTTTCATTTGTTTGTTTTTTTTTTTTACATTTTTCATTTTTCGTTTGCTTGCTTGGTTTTCACGGTTGTATACAAAATATGTAATCAGGGCACTCACATTCATCGGTCACATGCGTTCTTTCTTCTTTTCTTTTTTGTTTGCTCGGAACGGAATGGTTCACTGTTACGTTTTTATATCTCATTCCGGTATTATTCTTTAAAAACAAAAAAAAAAAAAAAAAGGACGAGAAAAATGAAGAAAACAAGAGAAAAAAACGCATTGTCACCGCTGCATTACTTAATTCTCTGGTTTAACGTACGGTATAACCATTCCGTCTCGCATTTAATTTTCCATTATTAATATTACGCTCGATATAAAAATAATACTCAGTCGATTAGTACAAATTTAATACTCAGTGTAGAACCGGGGAAGGGGTCTTGGCGTTTCCGGTTGCGTGTCATACATAATGCGCGACACGCCTGTACCTTCATTTTCTGTGTTATTGTTTCATTTTCTTTTACTTATTCGTTAAGTTACATATACTGTGACTTAGGAGTCCCATCGGCGGAACCCGATGTAAAATCAGAACGCCCAATGGTCAAGCTGATGGACGGAACAGTGCTGCGAGTGTGGATCGCAATAAAATCGCCGATGAACGTTTCAACGCGTATCAATTTCAACGACGTCGACTTTCACGAACATATGTAATAAAGAGGTACGGTAGAACCTCATTGTTCGTTGCACCGTCCTGACATTACACGAAACAATATTCCCTGCCAAATTGTCACAAAGTTATCTCTACCATCTTTCCCTACATCAACAGTGATTAAATTTCACGCACTTCCCTCTTAGTTTGACTCTATTCGGTCCTAGGCTTGTGACAATTTAAAAGAGAATACTGTCTCCTTCTTCCTACAACTACAAAGATTCTACTACAGTAATTTCAACATACAGATTCGAACTTTAGCTCGCAATCGCTCGATTTCCGCTATCGCAAATAGTAACAATTTTCTCAATCGGTAGAACAGGTTTACTGGAGAAAGGAATGCGTGACAAACATTATGTCGATGAATATGCAAGTAAACGCGTGATATCGAAGACAATGTCAACGAAAGCGACGACGGCGATTTCATAGCGATACCGCGAGTTATTCTCTCAACGAGCAGGACGTCGACGAATGACCCTTCTTTATCGTTTCGCAAAAACCCCTTCTCTCTGTCGTGTACAATTATGCGTCGTTTTCATTTTGTTTGCTTTCATCTTCTCATTCTCGAAGCTTTCGTATACATTTCGTATTCATTACGGACACGGTTTAAAGTTGCGTACGAGATGCTTCGCAGGAACGGCCACTTTACAAAAAGACAAGCTCTCGTCAAACATTATTACCGCGTGGCGATGAAGCATGTCGAGCCGATTCGATCTGCTTCCATCACCGTCGCCTCCACGTCGCTATAATGTGGAATTTCTGGCAATTATGTTTGCACCTGGGACTCAGTTATTCGAGTCGCAACAGCGATTACACTCGTGATCGTACACGCGTTGTACACACTATACATATAATAATAGTTTATTATCGTTATTATTAATATTATTATTACTTGAACATTTGTATTCAATGAAATCTCCAGGTGAAGGCACCTAAAGCGTCGACCGTCCGCATCTCGCACATGTTAACGAGTGTCTTTCAGAAAAAAAAAGGAGGGAATGACCATATGCGCGCAGTGCCTGATCATACAAACTAATTACTCGTTTACAAAAAAAAAAAAAAAAAAAAAAAAAGGAGAAAGAGAAAAAAAAGAGTGAAACTTGTATATAAAGTACAATGTAAATAGAAACAATAAATTAAGCCAGTCGTTGCCAAATGTCTTACGCAAACGTCGGTGCAAAAAACAGTGAATACAATAAATTATAGTTTAAATAATATCCGGGGAGGGTCACTTATGTAAAAATAGACGTACAAAAACAAGGAGAGGACGGGTAAGGGGAGGCGGGAGATGGGGTACTAGGGTAAAGGGACATGGGAGATAACTAAATAATTTAATAATTAAGTAAGACAAATCTCGCCGTCGGGGATCATTTTAAGTAGTGTTGGTTAAAACTTCTTAACAACTAAAGTCAAACGCGTAGAATACTGATACATAAAAAAAATCTATAAGAAGCCTCAGCTTTTTCTTTTTTACCATTGTTAAAAACGAACCGTTCGAGTGGCGGTCTTGCAACTAAACCTTACTTTAAAAAAAAAAAAAAATAGTATTATATCGTTACAGTTTAATCAATCGATACTCAATAACGTGATAGAAATACTCGACTCCTCGTTTCTAATAATTATAAAAAATATCGTCTAGTTTTTTTTCAGAATTAGTAGAGAGCTCAAACCTATATTCTACTTACGCGTCTACGTTGGTAATAATAATAAAAAAAAATATATATATAAGAATAATAATAATTATGTTTCTGTGTTGTTTAACAAGCTACTGCGAGCCAATGTATAATTGAAAGAAAAAAAAATGCCTAGCGAATAACTGCCCATTTCTTTTCCTTCTCCTATCAGTGTTATTTATAAATTAATTCATTCTCTTCGCGTATGGTACACTTAAAATGGTATGCTACACAATGTTCTGTCAACATAATTTAAAACTGGCGGTCCAGGACTGACAAAGTATCAGGCCTTATGTACTTTAATAACTGTTTACTTTCAGTTTCATTCTCTAATAAGGAGATGTCAAACCTAAAACCGGTACGTATCTTTTAAACAAGTGTCACTTTCGACACAAAAGAAGATTCAAGGAAAATTGAAATCTCGTTTCTAAAAAATAATTTTAGATTCGAAGGCTTTACAAATTATTAATTTTAAACGAAATGCAGAATGAAAACCAAGTAACGGAATTAAATAACCTTTTTTGTTGGATTCTTTCTGTAGCGAAAAAAAATAAAATACAATATTTGTACTTTTCGATACTTATTTAAAAAATACGACACTCCTCGATCTACTTGTGAAACAAGTAATATATTGAAAACGTACTAAATGGAAGGATCATTTCGACGTATGAGAGAAAAGCTTAGCAATCTGTCATTCGGATTACACTAGTAAGAAACCTCATCATCGCTTATGTCTCTTCCTCCAATACTCGTGTTATCAATATTAAGATACCACAGTTCGCAGTGCGTTTCCCGTTCAAAAATCAAATTTCGTCATACTCGAAATACATTGCGTATATTATTATTCATTAAATACATTATATACATACTATTCCTCATTAATTCATACTAGAACATTACACAATGTAAATCATATAAACCAATCGTTAACTTTCATATATACAATATAAAGAATAACCTGCCCGCTAGAGTTCAGAAAAAATATGAAAAAACAAATAGAGAAACAGCACTGATTTGTGGTATCATTTCGTACTCGTACGATAATATAGAATAGTATATCGGTATATGTATATATACATATATAATATATGTCATGTATACATATATATACTTATACGAGTGTGTTTATAAGGCTCCTTTGATAACGACTAAGACTAAGTTGCTCCACGAATTACTGTAAGCAAATTTAAAAGCTCTACGAAGCGGCTGGCCAAGAGGTATCACTGATAAGAAGACACATAAGAAGGGAAAAAATGAAGGAGACATGTGTAAATGTTGTGCATGACGTTGTGAAAGAGAAAGATAAAACATTAATTTTTATCGTATGCCCTTAACTATACTCTATGTTACATAGACTAAATCTATTTTTGGCAAAGTTGTTTAGGTATACAATGTTAGATATAACGATACATGAGTAGATGCACTGGCCATCGTATTATGTGCTATTTAGGTTTGCTTAATACCTGTTTATTAACACAAGATCTGTACATTCTGGAAAAAATAGATCAGTGATAGCCCTTAGGGACATAATGGGATGACATGTTAGTCGATGACGGAAATGACAGATTCGATAATAAGCAGTTTTGTTAATCGATATCGATAGTATCGTTTCTTGTTTTATAATACGAATAATATAAGACAAAACAAAGTTAAGGAAGAAATATTGAAAAAGATTGTGAGGTTCGTGGATGCCTACAGCAACTGTGGAGCAATAAAATTTGTTACTTTTAACGTCTGGCATACAAGTGAGTGTTATCTAAGTATTACTTCCTGAAATTCTTGTATGTTTGTTAATTGTCGTCGAGAGAGCATGTCAACGAGTATTGTATGACGACAATCTATCCTACGTACCATCGCGTTTCTTATTGCTTTCGGAGTCTTAGCTTACATGGTGGTGCGTTGCTTTGCCTATTAAGTACAAATTATCGATTACTGCGTCAGCAGTCGAGAAGCCTTCCGAGACATAGTGGATAAAGGGGAGATAATACGTAAAAGGTAGAAACAGTATTAAATGTGTTTACATCGGCAGTCTCGTGCTCATGTAAAAAAAGTACCTACGTCATCTAAATTAAGATTTTATCTGTAAGTAACTTATCTGCACTTACTGCGCAAGATAAAAGCTAACAGGGAAGAGGAAAATGATTAACCGCTGAAAGGCCACTAGAATACGATGATACTGGCATAAACGTAATTTGGCAAAGCTCAAATTACCGAGTACGTATCGGATATTTTTTTTAGTAAACATTTGTCACGTCGTACAACCGTTTTCTGTTCTATTAGTTATCTTTCGATTACTTTTAACCTTCTTAATCGCGAAACATTTTCGTCCCTTATTAAAGCCGATTAAAAAATAAATTTTTTTTTGTTCACTAGTTAAGTTCAGCTGAGTCATTTTTAGCTTAATATTACGCAAGATAACGAGAGTATTATGATTGTTACGTCACTGACAGCTAAAAGCCCGTGGAACAAAACGGTGAAATTTTGTTCACTAAATTTTTAGTGACAAATCTTTTTTTTTATTCTTCATTTACTTCTAAGCCTTTCCGAACAGTAAATCCAGCACCGTTCTAGATCTTTCACTGGTGACTGATTTTCTTACACCACTAAGAAAACAGACAACGACCACCATATCTTTGACGCGAAAATACATGCGACACCGAAAGAACAATTTGCGCGTGTATGTACAACGATCGCCCGTCGCTCTCTAGCTGCAAGCGTAGAAAATTTTGTATAAAAATATTCTTCGTATTCATGTATATATATGTACATAATTTGAATAACCACGTAATTAATACTGCGTATTTAATATCATCGTTCCTTCGTGCGCTCTGCACCACGGGCTTGGTAGCTCGCGGGAAATAAATCCCAATATTCTACCACCTCTAATTTCTCAAGATCGTGAAAAAGAGAAAGGAGAGAAACCGAGAGCAGATAAGGGAGGTTTATGGACGAGAAGTGGCGGTAGAATGGAGAAGGAGAACAATCTCATCTCTTCTACGCCCTATATATCGTTGGACAGTCTATTCTGTCTAGAGATTCTTTGTTATATATACCTAGCGAAGTCGTTCTGAAGTTGGCCAAAATGTTTCAGTGTGTCTCTTCGGATAACGAGGTCGCAACTAGATTCAATGGTACGTCCGAAACATTTTCTTCGTCTCCTTCCTCTGTTTCCTCTGCATCCGCAGATAAATGACACTGTTCTCGTCCTTCCGATTTTACATGCTGTCATAACAATCACGTTAAACTGACAAATCCACGAATCATAAATCACAGATCGTAAAATCGTTTCGTACTTACGTGCATCATATAACTAGGTAAGGGGAGGGAGTAATTAAGTTGAGCGGCAGAGGGTGGCGGATGGGCACCAGGTAAATGTGGTGGCGTTAACGCGGCCATCATTAAGTGGGGTTGGATTTGTCGTCGTAGAGCAGCTAACATGTCTGCACTCTCGGCATCCATTTGTTCAGATTGTGGTGCCAAAATTGTGTCTCCTTTTTCTGAAAAATATGGTAAAAACGAGTAACAAATATTATTAACAGATATATACGTAAAGAGTAAATAATAATTATACATTATATAAAATAATTCTTACTTCTATGCCTTGTTGGTTTTTCGCCCTTGGGTCTGCGTCTACGCGTGTGTATTGTATCCCTCCGCATGGTCACCGGACGATTTACTCCATGTAGTTTGTAATAGAGCCCACACGCGTTACAGACCATTTCTCCTTTCATATTTCTTCTCCAAATTGTTGTAGTCATAGTACCGCAGTTTGTGCAGGACATGTCAACCTTTTTTGTCATGTTACCACTGTGTTGATCAAATTGTTGTTTCTGATCCTCTACCTGCGATGACAGATATACATAAAATATACATAAATAAAACACGGTGTTTAGCTATCGCGATCTTCATGCTAACGCAAAGCATACCTTTCCCTTCATTTTGTTTGACCACGCTGTAAAATCTTGTGCTTGTTCTTCGTTAGATTCGTGTTGATAATTAACAATATCTGGACTCATCGGTGCTTTACTGGGATAACTTTGTTTTCTGCGGCCCTTAGTTTCCTTTCGACCGATACTAGCGGGGCTAGATGGATTGCTATCCATGGAAGTACCCTAAGCACAATAAATAAAAAATTACGAATTTATTTACAGAAGTTTACAAATATTACAGCTTATTTATGCTAAGCGTTAAAAAAAAAAGACTTATATCAAAGTATCGATCACCGACGATCGACTGGGCACTTCACATGTTAAACCTAAATTTCTAATCGAATAAAATCTTGTAGTTCGAAATTTAGTTGATACAGGTATTTTGTCGAAAGCTTGTAAAAGTTGCAGTAATTCCCTGTAGGTACCTGTTATCAGGATAAAATCCCAATAGAATAGAAAGCGGCACAAAGGATACTGCAGTCCTGTTTCTTATTATAGACGAAATTGAAGAATTCCACGCGCGGAACAAAGCACGTTTTAAAATCTATAGAAACCCAACTTATCTGAACATCTGTTAACAGCGGGTCGACATGGTGGGCTTAGCGCTTATGGCCTATCACAAAGAGCTTCTCAGTTATCTATTATCTACAAGGCCTACCACGTTTCTTACCTGCAGGCAGATGGGACCTGAATAGTCCCAAAGGGATCCCTTGACACCCAAGGGTCACCTGACCTGTCTTCTTTTCTATACCTGCAGATCTCTTCTGGTATTTGCATTGAACAAACTGCAAGGACTTCCCATGGAAAAACTTTTATTTGCACGGAGTCCAGGATCAAAAGAGTACGAACATAAAGGAAAGCAACGATTTCCCGTTTTCCTTAAATCTCGAAATTTTACCTGAACTTATAACTTCGAGAAAAAGTCAGATTTTACTTTTATTTACATACGTTACGATTAAAAATTCTATTAATATCCAATTATTCCATTTGTATAGAATTCTTGCAATTTTTTAAACGCCCGCAACGACAAATATTAACATAGCGTTGAAATTTAATTCTATATAATATCTCTACTTATACAAACCTTATTTTCTATACACGAGACGTTAGTACGATTGCCGAGAACAGAACAGTCTGGTATAGAGCGTTCAATTGTTGTCCCTTGGGTGTCTCTGTAAAACCTAATTTGTGGTGATACTCTGTCAGAATCGACAGCAGTAATACCAATTTGTCTATTGTTGATTAAAGAACGAAGAAGATTAGTTGCCTCGCCAGTAAATCCATTATTAAGTTTGTCGCCGTTTGTCCTTGTAATCTCTAAACTCCTGTTGCTACATAGAAAGTAAAACAAAAGATATGTTTTTCCAATTCTCCATGTATATAGTAATATAATCAAAAAGTATACAGGGTGTCTTCGGGGGTAAGCCCTGATAAAATGATAATGAGTTATATAATTAATTAATTAGTTTTCAGTAATTAATAACTTCAACATGAAGCTTCAAACATACTATCATCATATTTAATAATGGCTTTCTTTTAATCTGTATAATTATCTCCTTAAAGGGTGCCCACCTGTAGACAAACACCCTGCATAAGCTATAGTAAACAGCTACTTCTGTAGCTAGTCAAGTATTTACTCTAATACCTGATAATGACAAAGTTATCTTATCTTTAAGGAAATCGTATTATAGGTCACAGTTAGTAGGATAAAGAAATAGTGGAAATTCACTTTAAACTGTATAGTTACTCAAACATGTGTTTACTAAACAAAGAAAAACACTCAACAAATATGTCCTCTACACTCTTATTAACATTATACAGAATAAAGAACTTTTGTTACTACACGTGACAAAAAGAAATTAAGAATTAATTACTCACTTTGCTAATGCTTGCCACAGTTTTGTTGTTTCTTGATCGATATTTGTGTCCGAGCAATTACTTTCTGGTGTGTCCATTCTATTCACTGGACTGTGATTAGGGGTATTCGGTTTCGATCCCTCGTAATTTGTTTCCACTTTCATTCTCTTGTTAATGGTCATATCATAACCATTTTCTTCCCCCTCTGTATCCTGTTCATCCCGATCTTCTATTTCTAATCTGTCTGGATCGGAACTGTTCGAATACGTATCATCCTCTGGTTCACACTTAACGTTGTCCTGCTCGGGCATGTCGTTGCTGCGCAACTCCAAATGATGCGTTTGCGTCTGAGGTATAATATTTTGATTAATGCTGGCCGGAGAGTTAGGCTCCTCGTTGAACAATGTTTTGTTCAATTGGAGAAATGACTGTAGTGGGCTTAAGCCTGCTACTTTGGCAGTGGAGAAAGACTTCTGAAACAAAACAAATCAGTATTGTTTCTCTAATACTTGCTAATTTTTTACATATTTAATTTTATTAATTTAAAACTATTTAAATCGATGTGGATGAGAACAATAAAGCATTACGAAGTGGGAACAACAAAACAAAACAAAAATGTAACATAAAATTAAATGCTATAACACAAATAAGTAAATTCCGAGAAATACATTTGCAATTCATTTTTAATAGAATACACATACACACATGGTTATCGGTTTCACGCAAGGTTTCATTTAACGCAAACTAGTAGAAATAACATCGTGACATTTGTACCTTGCACCTGTTCACAACTTGCAAGAAAATAATTAGCTATGCATAACTTTTTTTATAAGACAATTGCTATCAAACTGATAATGTTAAAGTTGACAACATCAAAGGAAACCTTGAAATGTCTTATATAATTACTGATATATCAGGGCACAGAAGCAAATAAATCATGCATGTATTACAGATGTATTCAAAATACATGGTATACACATGTGCTGAAGCATTCTTATCTCCAATCATACATTGCACATTCACAGTTGCATCATTACTTGGAATCAAATGACTACTACCACTGTTGGCATATTAAAGTAATTTTTATCTTTTAGTTGATGAATAATACATCTAGATCATCTAATAACTCCTGTCAACAAACACTGCCATACACTTTCATTACTTGCATGCAAAAACTATTTCACAAATACCTGATCATCGTGTGATGATAACTGCTTGGCATAATCCAGGTACTGTTTAAGTATGACATCAGATTTGTGTGACACTTCACGGAAGTTGTACAGTACATCCAACTTATACACGCATCGGTGACAAATGATTGGTGGCAAAGAATCCCCATCTTTCACCTAAATAAAATGCAATAGCTACATTGATTTTACAATCAACCTAGAGAGTCTTTTATCTTTGTTTCAAAGGACTAGTGTTGCTACAAGTAATTCTGTTACTTATAATGTTACACTAATAATATAAAGTTTCTTTTATGAGAAAATTCAGTTTATCTTTTCGTTTACCTAGCTTATTTTCAGTAGAACGTGTAAAAATACTAACACTATATTGTTTATATGACAAACAATTGCATTTTCTTACGAATCATTTAAATGCAACTTGTAATAGTTTATTATCGAGATTCATTAGAAACGATGAAAACGAATGTTTCGCCTTTAAGGCGACGAATTCGAAATTCGATAAAATTTCTGCGTTACATGGAATCACGGTAGAGACAAGAGTGAGGAATATAGAAGTATTTTTATTTAAAGTAGGTTGAACGGAAGCTTTCTTCCAGAAGATTAGGGCGAACCGTGTACGAGAGGAGATCAGGAAACACGGAGAGAGAAGAGTAACACGCAGAGAGCAGAGTGAAATGTGACAGCGACTCGTGGAATCCGCGTGTGAAACCTGATAACAGGCCGACTAAATAAGGAGTTGCTCCCCTCTCCGTGAGAGCTGCACAAGCGAGGAGCAGAGCTTATCACTGCCATTTTAAATGCCCCCGTGAGTAGTCGGCTTATCTCGTGGACACATCTCTTGCCAAACTTTCTCCCGTGGCACGCGCACACACACACGCGCGTACACAGACACACACGCACCCTTGAGAGACAGCAAGAGTAACAGAGACGGTGAACGACGTGGACGAAGACGGACCAAGTAAGACGAAGCGAAAGACATACGAGTACGCGCGAGAGAGAGGGAGACACATTGATAGTACGAGAACCACAGATGGTCGCGTCTGATTTATCATCGTTACAACACGAGGACCCGGTGAAAACTCTTAACGAGACTCACCGTAATCGAGAGGCACGTCAGTATCTTGTCGGCGAAGTTCCGCTGGGCGCCCTCCTCCTTGAATATGGACAATTTGACACCGTCCGACGATAAACAAAGGCGACACAGCTCGTAGAACTTGGGCGGTACATCGAACATAATTGTGAGCTCCGGCTACGTTGCGCCCTACGTAAAGCGCGAGTCATCAAGAGGTAGACTCTTTCCTTGGCCGACGTACTATCTTTCTCCACTGCCACTACGCGTTTAGCGACGAGGAAGGGTACGCGATCACTTATCACAGTCACCGCCGCGGCTCATTGTCAGCGGCACAGTACACACAGTCATACAGTTACGATTCTACACAGAGGGGGAGACTACCAACTCACCAAGGTTCCTCGGATTGATTCGCGATCCCCACCGCCAGCTGCCGCTGCTGCTCGAACTGGGACACATTTTATTTGAAATTGAAGAAATAATAAACAATTTTAATATCAAACAATATTTCAGTTCTTCATTTGCATTAATGGCATTCGATGTTGATCGAAATATTGATTTATTTGAAAGAAACATTTCCGAATAATGGAATTGTTTTACTTTATCCTTTCAAATACCGATGCAAGAATGTTTATTAATAATAAAACAATTTCGTTTAATATACGCAATTCAATTCAACTTGACCTGGTTGAGTAAAAGTCTAATATAATCTATAGGTTGATTTACAATCTGGAAACAGTAGTAATACCAAGTAATACTAAATAGGTTATTTTGTTATTTTGTGTGTAAAGTACTACAAAATATGTAGTACTTTAAAAGTTTTATTAAGAATACAAAAATGTAAGCTTGAATATTGTTTAAATAGAAAAGTACGTGTTTGGAATACTATTTCACTGGAATGCTCATATTCTCAATCAAACGCCGCGCCATTTTAATTCTGCCATTTTTCTGGACCGTCTAATTTTCCTGTTATGTAATTAAACTTGCGAAAGGTGTGAAATATTATCGGTACCTGCAAATGCACAATTGCAATAAAGAAGTTTCTCAGTCGCATGACCAGGCTCGTCATGATTTTTAACAATGGTTCAGATCTATTTCGATCTTGGAGACCGATATGCGTTCCATTTTCCGAATTACATCGCTTAATTTATTTACATTCGCGTAACAGATACTTTTCTACTCATTTATATTCACCTTATAAAACGTAACTGTACTTTACCATTAAGGCGCCAAAATGCAGTTTCTAAAATGCATTTATCAAGTATCGATCATCTTATCGCTTGCAAGATTTCGAAAAATATTGCAATTCGTCACACTATGATATAACATGATATACATATATTATTAGTAAAGAATTTTACAGCTAAATTAAAATAAGATTCTAATGCGGTTGTGAGGATTATTAAGAATTTAGTTAACGATACTTTGGTCCAATATCGCGCATTGATCAAAGATCAGCGAGCAAATCGATAAAAGAAACAGGTTTCTTATCACGCGTCATTTTACTAGGAATTTCATTACATCGAATAAGTAGCCCAACCCATAAATAAATCAGGCAAATGGGGGGAATGACTAACGCAAGATTACGCGACCCATCGGCCACTTTCGGCCCACGCTATTTTATCACGCGTTTAATCCGATCTTCGTACGTATAAGGTTATGATACGGCGATCTATGGATTTTGACAAAGACCATTATCCAAACATCTAACTTTCTTTTCACGATACGCTGTTAGACATTGAACTCTAAGACATACGCATCTTTTTTATTCGTATTCAATCTCAAATTTAAGGGATGAAACAACCCCTCAAAAAATGTTATTCCACGGGCGTTTATTTTTATCTACGTTAACTTCAAATATCCCGCAGATAAAATACATTGTAAAAGAAATATATATTATAAAACTATCGAGTATTGAGATTACTTATTTTAAGATAACGTATCTTATCGCAATTTATAGTTATATAAAACCTTATATAATCATTATGTAATAGCACTATATATGAAGAATTGAAGATAACGTATCTTATCACAAGTTGTAATTATATAATACGCTTTATAGCATTTACCATTCACGTATCTATCTATATGTTATTTACCTATTTTATATGATATACTGGTAATGGAAAACGGTATCTTAACAAAACGACGAATTTCATCCCTTCTACCATTTACTCGAGAGATTATTTCATCGTTTAAATTATTGATTTGACACAAATAAATACGTAAATAAATCTCTGATTTCTCAGAAAAAATCAATGCTGCATGTATCCTCTTATGGGCAAATTATGATTCACTAATTTGACGCTACGCTGTTTGGACTATTTTTATATATCAACATATAGCTTTTATTATTACAGTGAATAACAATATTTACACAAATGTACAAGTAACACATATTTTAGTAAATGTATGCTCGAATCACATAGCACATCAGGCAAAGGTAGAGCACAAAAGAATTTAATAATTATCTTATGTTAGAGAGCTATAGTTTACAAGATTTTCATCGAATTTTACTCTTTAAAAAACAAGTTGTAACAATTAAGGCTTATTGCATATGCCATTTCTTGTTACCGTAAGTCTGTGACAGTACGAGTTTCATTTCTTTATTCTAGCATTAAACATCATGAATATTAATCAGTGATGAGTAATTCTATCGCATGTACACTCCCTGTACATAACTATGATGCACTGAAAAAAATAGTATTATCAACGAATTACTATCTCTGTGAGAATAGTAGCTATAAATATCTATCTTTCGCGAAAAATTTTGCAAAATTTGTTCAAACGAAACAAGACTTAAAACCTTGTTTGTTATCATGTGTATTTTACAAGTATATAGTAAAAATTGCATACACCATATGCAATTTAATCCATACAAATTTTTGCATTGTTCTATAATTGAGATTCATCTTTTTTTCACTTACAGTCATTCAGATGTTACAAATTTATTAATAATTAATATTCACTTTAATTATTTAAATTTAGTACTCTAAAATAATTTATTTTATACAAAATTGAAACTCTTCCCTGACGTAGATGTACTTAAATATTCAATTTCAGTATTAGGAGGGAATGTTTTGTTCTGAAATTGTAAAAAAAATGAATATCTTCTTCCCATATATACCCACAAAAGCAACATAAAATCATCTAAATATACTGTCGTATTCATTTGCACGAGATGTACAGAGTTCAAGTAGACACATTTTGCTTTTGTAGAATAAACAGTTTCGTGAGGTATATGTACACTTATTATCAGGTCGTAAAAGAACTTAGATAAAATAATATTTATCAGAAAATATATATTATTAAATTGATATCACAATTCGCTTTTAATTGATTTTCTTTCAAAAGCATTGTTTTGTTGAATAGCATTTTCTGGTTGAGTGCTATTCATTTTACTATCTAATTCTATTAATCTAATACTTTTATAATATTTCCTATATTTTTTTCTGATCAGTTTTACTTTGTGTTTATCTTTTCTGAGATCAGTAGTGGAACTTAATATTAAGTGGATGTCTTTAATATGTGCCAGCTTCAGTAAAATGATATTTCTTTTGTACCTAGCATTTTGTTTTCCTAACATGTTTGTATGTCTTATTAACTTTCGATAATCTCTAAGTAGTTGTTGAATGATATCTAAACACAGCCAACGTGTTCGAACAATACATGTATCCGGTTGTTCACCGGCTTCAGATTGACAAATATTTATAAGTGCTTCGACATGCGAATCTCCGTCTAAATTCGCTAAAACGAAGTTAATGAGGTTGGGAATGGTAATTGGTAGAGGAAACGGATACACCGTGCTATCTTCTTTTCTGAAATGAAGGTAATAAAATTATTGTAAAAGAACGATTGCAATCGACTTAATTTTAATTACCTTTTAGCAGGAAAAAAGAGAATGGATGGGAATCGATTCATGTTATATTCCCACGGCAAATCATTGTTATCACCGTCGACTCTTACAAATAAGAGATGATCCATTTCGCGCAAGTAATGAGCTACTGTTAAGTATACATAAGAAATCGCACTACAAAATGCACAAAAAGGAGAGTAGTACATTACAACCACATCCTGCGAATAAAATCGTTAATTTTAATATATTCCTTAATTATGATTTTATTGTATACCACCTTCCAATTTACCTTTGTCGGATCTAAAACAGTATCTAAAAAAGTCTCAGTTATTAATTCCGGTATACATATACACTGTAAATTCTTCGTTTCGCAATTAGTTTTGCTCTTAAACTTTTGTCCAAAACGCTTAGAGTTATTGGAACGTAGCGTACGTTGTAAGAAACCTTCGGTATAATTATTTATAAATTGTATAAGTGCATATCGATTAAAATCTTCTTGCATAACATATTGACTCTCGCGCTACAAGTAATAATTTTACATTAATGTACTAACATATTAATATAGATTAAAAAAGAAAACTATACACTTACAGCAGCATCTAGTATAACAACAGCAGTTTTATCTTTCTTTTTCAGAATATCTATTCCAAGACTCTCTGCGAAATGAAAAAAATGTAAACTATCGATTGCTATCAGTGCCAATGTTTTATTCATTTTGCATAGTGACTCCGTTAGGGTTATGTTCGGATGTTCAGGGGAGTCGCGTGGAAATATAGGTTGATGATACTTGTTTCCAGTTATCCATCTTCTACAATCTTGTTTTAAATATGCTTGCTTTATTGCGTTTGCAGAACGCGCATCGTCTTTGTTCGCTGTAAATAACGATGTCTTGTATCTCTGGCTAAAAATAAAAGGAAAAGTGTTAACTAAAGAATGATATTTAAGCCTAAAAAGTTTGTACCTTTTAGATTTGAATCCTTGTTGTAATTTTATTGTTACACGATCCTTGTTACAACAGACATCATATTTCTCTTGCAAATCTTCCATGGTGGAAATTTTAAAAATATCTACACCTCTGCATACAGGGTTGAGATTATCAGAGTCAAGTTTACAAACAGACGCTTCTCTTTCTACATTGCTTAATCCAAATTTTTTACATAGAGAACATTTATTCATGACAATATTAGCACAGCAACTATCGTTAATCCACTGTTGAATGAACACATTGACGGTCGATTCGTTTAACTGATTTTTGTTTTCCTTCAAGAGTTTAATACATTGTCTATTTTTTTCGAAATGCCTAGCAATAGCTGTGCGACGATTAAGACTGAGATGTTGAATTATATTTTTAGTCATGAGATTATCTACACAGATATAATCTTGTAGTCCAATTTCTCTAATCTAAAGGATCAATGTAATTCTTATTACATATCCTTAGAATATTGCATTTGTGCTTACTTTACTACGCACCAGATTGTAATTGTAATTTTCAAGGTGTAAAGGATTACGAGGTGTGAAGAGGAAAAGTACAGGTCCTTCCTTCAAATATGGTGCTAATGTTAGCGCTTTTACTCCAGGAGGCTGCAGCCATAGTGCTGGTAGGTGAATGGAGCTGCTAATCCAATTTAATATGTTTTCGGAAGTCCATTCAGTGTCTTCTGGATACCTCTACACATTTCAATTCTCAAACTCATTTAATTGTGCTATATATGCAAATGTTTCTGCTTTATGTATCCCATGTATTTATATCATCGCATAAACGTAAATATAAAATGTTTTTATATACTTACTAGAGATTCATTCCACATGAGTAAATTTGCAGATGGAAATTTATAAATATTATGGTCTCTTTCGCTCGATAATGCACTCGTGACAATAGCAAACACCAGTTCTCTATTAGGATCTTTTTCTAGTGCACGTATAGCAGCCTTATAAAATTCTCTATAACCAGGAGTTCTATCCAATCGTGTGAAATTAAAATAACCTACCACTACAGCCTGTAATGATAATAAATTATTCATTCGTTCTTTAAAGAATGATATAAAATGATAAATTATTTATTCATACTTACATCATAATTCACAAATAAATCTATCAATTGTTCTGTATGAGTTATTCTAACAATTGGATTCATGACTGCATTAAGGAAACGAATCATATATGGCAGGGTATGAATACCCCTGTATTGTATGCCAGAGTCTCTCGATGGATATAGCATTAATACTGGATAACTTTGAATTTTGTTATAATGAGCCCTACACTCTGAGTTTGGATGCCAACAATTAATAGCAGCAAAAAATATCTAAAATCCAAACATATTTTAGTTTTGCTATTCAACATGAAAATATACTTTTAATTCTATCTATTTTGATAATATAAATGAATTTTATGAATATGTTTGTTACCTGTGTACGGTAGTATTGAGCAACATTTTCAAATTCGGGACGCACTGCCTGACTCTCTGCATCCCAGGGTGCATAGTACATAACAAAGCTAAAATCTGCTTCAGAGACTCTTTCTATCATAGCCCCTAGATGACCTTTATAAAAATCCAAGACTATTGAACTTTGATTAAAAAATGGCTTAGCTGATGGAGGCTTTGATATCTTGGGAGGTCTACAATAAAAACAGTAAATCTATATAACATTTAAAAGAAACATATATAAAGTATAATTTACCAAATACAAACACATTTCACTTTCACTGTATTTACACTTGTATTTTACGATACTTTCGAGACACATCTGTTCCATAATATCAAAATCGTGAATGTTACGTTACTTTCAATGCGAAACCACGTTGAATTATCATGAATTTTTAACCATAGACATAACCTAAAACTCACGAACTATGAAGTGCAGTCAGGGCGGTAAAAGTGACCGCAAGGAAAAAGCAGATCTCTCTGGCATACGAAAACATCTTGCTGGTCAAACGGTCTTCCACTGCGAGCCTCTGATTCGACTCCTTGGCCACGTCGTTACTTCCTGAGTCCGATGTACTCATGTGCGAGTGATCAGCATTTCTCGGCGTATCTGTTTCAAACTCTTCCTTCAACATTATCCGTGACAACCGAAACAAAATTAACGGAGGAAAATTGCTGTGTGTTAAAACCTCATCACACACTCCTTATTTGCCCTGGCACATCAGTCGAACTATCTTTTATTTAATTAAATGTAATTAACCGGGTTTTTCGTGGGTCTCTACACCTGTATTTTCATAGACCGGAAACAGCTGACCGCTTGTCAACATATCGTCGATGCACGATATAAGAGAATAACATTTGACTGAACTTTGCATAAATTTACGAAAACAGTGTCCACAGAGCTCCATTAATTCGTTCCCTTTGAGGGGAATACAGAACACCACGGCACACCAAAAGTACTCCCTTCCACTCCCTTCTGCTCCCTTCTTCCTCACGACAAGGTATATACATATGTAAATACCTGTCGCTTGGTGAAATGTTAGGGCAGGATTTTAGTTTGAATGAAAGATCGAGTTTCATATGAACTGCATCTTCTAAAACGTCGAGATCTTAAAATTACTTAAAATTACATTCTTCAAATATCATGATGAAGATTATGATATTGAAGATTAAAAACGTTTAAACCTTTTGGAGAAAACATTATACAAATATTCATAAGGGGCAACCAGAAAGACCGCCGCTTTCTAAGCTATTCTATGAGCAGGTCTTAATACCATTGGCGGCATCGGTGGTAAAACACCCAAGTTTTTAGTGATAACAATTCGGTGGTGCCACCTTACAGAAGCAGGTTTATTTATTCATATAAATAATTACAAATAAGTATTGTGCACAACTGTGCACAACTAGAAATCTATATTATATAATAAAAATATGTGAAGTTATTGTATTTTGGAAGTATAGAAAGTAGTAATTAAAGTAAATTAAAGTAGCAATTCGTTTTCAGAAATTTATCATGAAAAGCCTGTTGATTTTTGTTCCTGACAAACTTTATAAAGAAAAGCCTGGGTACATGTTTGGCAAAGTGGTATACGACGACAGCACAGGAGTTAAAAAATTTTATGTCATTGGAATATGTAGAACAGATAATTTTGAGACAATAAAACATGGCACTAGTATAATTGGATATTATTCGGCAGCAGAACATAAACGTGGATATGTAGATAAAAAATATGTAGACTGGATTAATATATATTCCCATCCTAACTTTTCTCTTCATGAAAATAATTATGATTATAGTATAAAGAGCATAATTGTAAATAATAAAAAAATGTCAACATTACATTGCCATACAGTTATTACAGTATATGATCAAGTAGCCCTCAGAGAGACAGAATTATTTGGTCAAAGAGCAACGTCAGGAAATCATTTTTATGAATTAATGAAAATTCTGCAGAGCAAACAGGTTGAAGGAGAACTACAAAAGAAGGGAAAAGTTACTTATATAAAGGAAACTCTCTTAGTCTATCATATGTTTTTGTATTTTTATCCAGTTCTCCTCCTTAGTAAAGTAACAAGCAAATTATTACCAATTCTAAGATATTCTTTCCTTGGTTTACACGTTCATGGATGGTTGGAAAATGTTAAATGGATGTTAATTGCTATAATAAAGAACAAGAGATTCACATTAAAAACTGGCAATTATGTTTTTGCACTGATAATAGATATGTTATTAGGAATATTTATATTGCAATTACTGTTGCATTACTTCGAATATACATCTCCATCTCAAATACTTTTGAGCAATGCAGAGGCAAGTTCATGATGTAATAATATTAAACCAATAGTATTATTTGATATTGATTTTAATATATACTTTGCAGAAAGTTGTGACATTTTTGAAAGATTTAATAAACTGGCTAATGGGTGTACCAGCTGGCTTAAAATTAAATCATGCCTTGAACAATATGCTTGGAAAATTTTTTCTGTACCACATACATTTATGGTGGATATTCTTGTTAACTATAAAACCTGTAATGGATTTTGCTTTTGAAGTATTAGTATTATTTGGAAGACTCGGTATCACTTTTCAAATAGCAATAGCAGCTGATCTTCTAGGTCTTGTCAGTTTTCATGCATACTGTATTTACGTATATGCGGCAAGGTATTGAAATATCAAACATAAGAAATACTCAAATATTAATTCAGTTTCTTGTTAGGCTCTTCAATATTCAATTAAAGGGTATCACTGCTTTATTTCGACTGTTCTTGGGTAAGAAAATGAATCCACTTAGAGAGAGAGTTGATTCTTGTCAATATCAACCAGATCAATTGTTTGTGGGGACCTTATTATTCACAATTTTGTTATTTCTTATGCCAACAACATGGGTGTACTATGCTGTTTTTACAATGGTACATTAAAAATAATGTATTTTGATTTTTTTAATTATTCAGAATGTAACAATCATTTATTGCAGCTTAGATTAGCATTGATCGGGTTTGGAGGTTTCTTGAGTAGAATGAAATTTTATCTTCAAGTTATGCCAGTCTATACACTGTTTAAGTGGTTGTTTCAATCTCATAACACACGCAGTAAGTAAAATATCTAACATTTAACTTATTACATTATTGAATTTGCAATTATTGCAATACATGTTTTAGGCATTGTTAATATTAAAGTACATTCACATCGTGCAGAGGCACCAATAGTATTAATAATGACATTGGTCGGAGCATCATGGTGTCACACATGGGACAGGTGTATACCAGACACAATTGGTCGACATCCGCCAATCGAATGGAAGAAGATAATAAGTAATATAATATGGGGTGAATTGCTATATCCTCTATAAATATTTATTTATCTTTTTGTAACAACGAAAAAATACATTTCTACAATACATTGCTATAATATTAAAACTGTACTGGTGATTTATGTGTTTGTTTATGCCTTTGTTCAGCAATTTTAAGATCATGTAAGTATTTTTTCATCTCTGGAGACATTTCGGCATTCATCTTCTGATCAATATCATTTTCTTCCCTGAGTATACCAAAGTAAATACAAAAAACGGCTAAGCTACCTAATACAATGAAGCCTTGATACGGTGATGTATCTTGATTTGTATGTGAGTTTCCAGCTTTCATAGATGAAGCTGGTGAAGTTGAATATTTTATAGGCTCATCAAACTCGTCCACTTCCGTATTTTTATTAGCTTTTCCTGAACTCGTATCATGTTTTGAAGCACAACAAATATGAGGAACAGCAAATCTACAATATATTCATTTATCGATAGTGTTTGAAAGTATTAACCTTCTATTAATCGCGTCAATGAGAGTTCTATAAGAAAAACATAAGGCTGCAGGACACATGTCACTGACGCGATTAACGAAAGATTAAGATAATTAAGTTTTTATAATACTTTTGATTACACACGTAAGCTTATTGACAGCAGGTAAAAATATTCTTTACGATACTTAACCTCAATAGTACAAATATTTTAAGAATTCAATAAAAGAAAAAAACAAACATGTCAACTACCATATATTTCAATATGTAATACCTTTTTAACAGCATATCTCTACTTTTAATTTGTTCTACCATTCCAATCAATTTTGAACGCAACATTTCGAAAAAATCTTGCAAGAACACTATTCAACCCAAACTTTCCTGGAAAATTTTAAACCCATATATACATACTGTTTGCGAAGTCGCTCGATAAAAATATACGTACAATTTAATAATAATTGTATTCTTCCGTATTAAACTCGTCTTACAATTGAATAAAAGTCAATAATTGCAAGTCAAATGATTTTATTCTTGATTTTCTGATGGTCTTATTCTTGTTCCAAACATCTCACAGAAGTATCCACATGTATGTGCGGCAGCAATCAATTTTGAAAGTGTATGATATTTTCCTATATTTTCTCCCACTTATTACTTAATTTTCATACAATTAGAGCCCCAAAAGCATTATTATAAATTTGGAAACTTTGTATCACGTTTACATATACGATAATTAACTGATTTTGTATTACGATGGGGTCTGATAGCACGTCAAAGGTTGAGGTTAAGAGCCCGAAATCACGAAAAAGAACGAAAAAAAAAAATAAATCGGAAGGTGAATATTCAGTAATGCTAGTTTATTCTTAGTAATGTTGTTTTTTTAAATATTACACGAGTGACATTAGTGCTACGTTAGATTTTTTGCAAAATAAATTTCATTGAGGTTAAATCTCTAGTCAACTTTTAATATTTATTTTTTCACAGACTTGAATAATAAAAGGAATTGCAATACAGATGCATCACAAGAGAGTGTTGATCAAATGAAGGAAATCAATGAACAAAATATGATATGCAAAAAAAGGAAGCAAAGAAAACAAAAATCAAGTAACAGCAATTTAAATGGTACGCATAAAGAAACAATGAAGGATGATGAACAAGAAAACAATTTTGATGATATACAAAAAGATCAAGATGAAATTGAATCAAGGGATGAATTAGTTTCTTCTAAAAAATTCAGAAGAACAGAGTGAGTTAAATGTTTCATTCTTATAAATGTACAGTGACTTTCTTAAAATAATTTTCTATTTTTTTTAGTGCTACTAACGCGGATAATAATGTAGAAGATACAGAAGAAGCTAGCAAAAGCGAGGCAAAGAAATCAAAACAGCCATCTAAGCGCCAATTGAAGAGGGAAAAGGCTGAGAAAAAAGAGACTGAAAAGCGGGAGGCTAGCAGACTGGAAGCAATGAAAAAGGGTTTGAGCTATGTTTCACAGGTATTTTAAGTACTTTGTTGTACAATTAGCCTTGAATAAGTATGCACATCAAATAAATATTAATTTTTTTACTTGTTTATGCAATTTATCTACAGTGGAAATATGCGCAAAGCGAATGGAAATTCGAGAAACTGAGACAAATTTGGTTAATAGATAACTTACTAGACGAGACTTCCATTCCAGATGACATTTTCCCTACTGTTTTGGAATATTTTGAAGGATGTAAAGGAATGGCAAGAGAACAACTTTTAAAAAAAGGTTTAGATGTTATAAAGAAGGTAGAAGAAAATGAAGAAATGAAAGACGAAATAGAATCTGTCGCTTATCAAAGGGCAAGGAAACTTTTGCAAGCTTTACCTACCGAAACTTAATTAGTTCAAAATATATTGAAAAAGTGACATCATTTTGTTTCAGTACTGAAACTATAATGATCATTAGATGTATTAGCATGTTAAACATTAAATATTGAACTAAATTTGAAAATTTGATACTTCATTTGTAAATTTCTAATTCTAATTTTATTTTAGCATCATGTTTAACTGTTAGGAGTTTAATTGTGAAAATATAACCTAAATAATGGCATATAATTATGTGTTGTATCATTTGCAAAGCATACATCAATAAATATATATGTATGTATCTGTATTAAATATTTGTAAATAATTAAACAATAAAATTTATCTGTTTATTACACGAAAAAAATTTATTTAACAATTTAACAATTCTCTATAAGTTAATACTTTACAAAGTTGCAACTATACATTATTAAAAAATTGTACTTTATACTTATTACTCGAGGTAGCATCCTTGTAGAGAATATTATACAAAGTACCCCGATAACTACAGGGTTGTTCGATGGCAAATCGTATTCGAAATAAGTTACATTACTCTGTATACTTATCTACAAATTGTTTAAGTTCGTCTATATCGTGGAGACCAACGATTCTGTCTAAAACTTTTCCATCTTTCATTGCGATTAGTACTGGAATAGATCCAACCTATGTTCAAAGATAACTGTTATTATTTCAGTACGAAAGAACTGATAGTAAACAAATAAGTAATACAAAATTAACCTCATAATCCAATGCAAGATCGCTATTTTCATCTATATCAACCTTTGCCAATAAAATCTTCCCCTGCTTCTCTGCAATTATTGATTCTATACGAGGAGTGAGCATACGGCAAGGGTTGCACCATCTGCAACATGAATTACGCATAATATTATTTTTAATTTAACCATTCGTTAGTTTCAGCTAAACTACATGAAACTATTGAATATTTACGTACGTTGCAAAGAAGTCAACAATCACGGGCACCTTCGACTTTTTAACACGGTCATCGAAATCTTTTAAATCCTGAACCTTGAAGGCGACCGAAACTGCTTGCTCCTGGGCCGGTGCATTTGCAAAAGTCCTGCTTCCTAGAGCGCTACGAACGGATCTAATGCCGACTCGAAGCATAGTTGGTAATGTTTTGTGGATACACGATAAGCACAATAAATTATATTCGAAATAACAAGATATTAATACAAACAGATTCCAAAATGCAATACACAATTCATTTAATTCTAACCTATTCTTTCGTTTCAAGGATATGTATACGACGATACCGCAGAATAGAATAGCAGATTGCACCAATGGTTGCAAACACAGTGACCAACATTATAGACCGAGAATAAAATTCTCTGAATTCTTTCTTCTACATGTATCTACTCCATTCTCATATGATTAGCTATGTGGTTTTTCTAATGGCTGATTTCGTTGAAAATAAAAAAGCGATAACAAATTTGTTTTAGCAATTGTGCAAACTTTTATTTGAACTTAAAAAGCGGAAATCAGATTGATTATCGTTTGGGTAAATACTACAATTTAAAAGTAGATGGCCTTCTATTGAATGCAATTTTAGATAACTATCGTTTGCCAAAGTGGATATACATGTAGACGTTTATTTGTCGTTTTCGCTTATTATTTTACGTTTGTCATCATATATTATTTCATCGACTTAGTCATTGCAGGCAATTGTTGCGCATTTATGTAAGGTAGGAACAATATACGACTTTCATATAATCATACTTATCACGAAGTTTCACGAAGTATATTTCTTATTTTTTTTCCTGATAGATTTATTCAAAACTCTAAAGTATTACACCTAAGCGATGATTTCACTCGATGATCTTGAAGTCAAATGGACTCCTGCGAGTGACCTACTCTCAACCGCAAGGACTCGCGCGTTTGGACCTCGATCACAATTGATCACATCGCTCTAAATCCTTCGAGGATGCGTGACACATGGGGATATCTAAAAGTTACGTATTTGACGTATTGTTTATGCCGGGAAATGCAGGAGGCAATTTGCGACGCATTGAACGCATTATCAGCTTATCAGCCAAGCATTTATGGACACACTTCCGACGTCGAACTGCTGGATATCTTGCTGTACGTTTAATTATACCACAAAAGCGGCAATGAAATGATTATAAGCGTGAGAATCGTGACGCTCGCTTCTACGATTGCCACTTCACGAAGCATTACAATGCTTCGTGTGATGTTTCGAAAATCGAGGAGTTTTAGCAGAGCCACCTCGAGATAAATAAAATCAATTACTCGTGGATCTTGTGCTCCACGAGTACTATAGTATACCGACCTCGATAGTCCTCTACCAGGACTATGTGACTTTTAGGTATTTACTAGGTGATTATATTTATTTTACATATGACTAGCTCAAATTATTACAGTTTAAGTATAACCCACAATTATATGTGTGGAAAAATGAGGTTACATCTGACTTATTTTCTTATTTATCTAAAAAGCATATGGCGGCACCTATGATGCGGCGGTCGTCGAACAAATTAGTTTGCCGTACCGACTGTTGGTAGCCTATCGTGTCCAACAATACCAAACGAATCCTATTCATTATCGTCTATTATTGGATTTGCAACTAATTGCGTAACGCAATGGTGAGTGGATCAAAGAACACCGTGAATGTATTTTCGCATGACGAACTTCATAGCGGCTTAATTACTAAATTGAATCATTCGGATGCTACGATTTAAGCTTATGCAGTAGTAACGACGATTTCTGTGTAAAAATAAAAAAATAAAAAAATAATTGTAAAAGGGAATAATAGCTGCGAAGATGTATGAATAATTATATTAATTTAAGCGATTGGCGGATCGAATTGTTTTGAGCTTTTGAATAAATAATATATTAACTTTTACAAGACACAGTTATTAGCTACATAGCAACTCGTCATTAAATAAAGACTGCAAATATTTTATTGCACATCTAGTTTGTGGACTACACGGTATTTGTATCTAAGTTGGTGGCGCTGTTGTTCCCATGAAGCAAATGTGATACACGCACGGACGGGCACGCTAATTAGTGGTAAGAAATTCATTGCTCTAGTATATTCCGATTGTTATTCTTTCAGATATTTGTTATTCAATATTTATTTTTTATTTATACTTTGCAAATATACTTGAGATACGAACAAGTTCGTCTTTAGGAGCGATAAAAATACAGGACGAAACACTTAACTTCGAAAGTGGTATATACGCTCTTTTTTCTACCTTTTGGTTCGAGTTGATACAAGAGCTATTTAAAGTTAGATGATTCATCCTTTATGGGTACAGAGGTGAGAAACAGCTATACGTTGTCATTAAATTATCTTTAATATCATTCTGGGTCACTCGTTCGTTCCGCGCTCTCCTGCACTGCCTTTGGTCTTAGTTATTTAATAATTTCTTTTTAAATATCGCTATGAATCATTTTCGAATCTTCGATTTATATTTACATAATCTTTCATGAAAAAAGAAAAAATGCCATAAGCGGCTTTCGTTCCACGACGAGATACTTGGCAATCGCCGATTTAATTATGTGAAATTTTCGCATCGATGAAAATTATCCTTGAAGATTAGATCAGAGAGTAATTAGAATGTAGGTTGCGCGTGTAATCGTTCGCGTCTCTTGTTCGAAAGTAATAGACGAGTTTCACAGGCCGATCCTCCTATGACGTTCAAATTAAATCAAATCAGTCCTCGTCGTAACTTCGTTACATCGTTACGTTACGTGAAACGAAAATCCGTTATGTAAACCGTTTCCCTCGTTCTACGACAGGACGCACTTACGAAAATAATAGATTTTCTCCGTGGGAAAGCATCCACCTGAGAAGCCGGAACGCGTGACAACAACAATACAATCATCACCTTTTTCTACGTTAAAACAAAGTCACGACACACAATGAGCAACGAGAATATTTATCTACTATCGTGTGCTTGTATTTACTCTTACGGTTATTAATTTTAGGGTACCACAGTTCTTTTTCTCTTTTTAACTCTCTCACAGGCTGGTCTATATCTCCCTTGCTCTATCTATAATAATCTCTATGGTCTTAACACTTTAGAGTAGGCGTTAAATCGAAGCGATTAAAATGGATGAAATTACGCAACGAGTCGCAAAGTCGTCGTCGTATGACGCGAGCCATTAAGTCCGGATGGTTAACTTTTAAACAACCGACTTGCGTTTTGTCTTCAAGGTCTCGGCTACCTCGATCTTCGGACCTTTTCCTCGCGAGGCACGAACGACGCTCGTAATCCTAGAAATGTTTCTACAAACAATCGTGCACGTATTACGTTGCTAAGAGGCAGCACGCTCAAGACGGCTTAGGTGTGTTCGAGTATTGCGTAAAGCTCGATGGCGTTTCCTTATACGAGCAAAGGCTCGTTTGTTGCAAAAAAAGAACTGTGGCGGTAGAGCGATCTTTGTTGAGGCGGATTCACGTTCACCGAGACTATGAAACATTTTTCTTTTTCAGAAATCGGTGAGAAATCGAAGAACGAATGTTATCTGCCTTCGCTGGTCCCTGGTGTTGTTATGAAAAAATAAATTATACAAAGGTTCGGGTACAGATCGATCTCTATAGCATAGCGATGGATCTGCGCGAAGTAAGAGGAAGCTCAGTCGATAGGAAATTTTTGTCGTATAACGTGTCGGCGCCAACTTCTGACAAGCTAGCCAGCTATAACACACCAGACGAGGGGGTTCATATACGTGTTTAGCACGTTGACTGTCCGATTGAATCATTACCGCTTCGTAGCCCAAAGCGGCAGAGGATTCGACGCTTCCAGAGATTTTCACGCTTCGGCGGGAAACGCAGTCTGTCTAATCAAATTGAACGACGTTTCACGGAAGACCACATAGCTGGCGAAAAATATTCAGTGAGCCCCAATTCCAACCCTCATCTGACCCTCCTGTTATCGATAGCGAGATAAACGAATTAAGAATCGTCCCGATTTCGAATGGAACTTGTTGCAAATCGAATAAAGCTTTAATTTACGGCTCAACGCGTACCATCTGGCAAACTTCGTTTCGTGTCAATTCAGGGCAACGAAATTAACTTCCGACAAAATAAATGACATCAAGGTAGTTGTTTCGAGATAGTCACGTTCAAAAGTATCATTGAAAATTTTCGTAAATGTAGTCTTACACATATATTTTTATTGAAATACAATTGCTTACATACAACTTGTTCGCGTACATTTGGTTTTAAAATTATTTTACTATTTATTCTTGTAACTTCATCGAAATTCAGGTATTTCATTCATTTTCTTTGACACTTAACTTTCAGAATTAATTTTTTTAATTCTTTAGTGAAAAGCACCGTGACCCACATATGTCAAGTTGTTGTCGAAGAGTTTAGAAAGAGTGGATTAAAATTATTTTCGCGCGAGTTACTGGACTCTGCACAGAACCCAGAAACGCATTTTCTCGAGACCAGTGGGTCACCTATTCTAGTCAGCGTGATGTCGGCCAGATGAAATCCTAGATCGGTGGTTACCATAACGACCAACGGTTCTCCCTTTATTGTTTTCCATCCCCATGGCCTCGTGTACGCCATAGTAACCCTGCGAAACCCCGTGTCCCTTCTGTTCCGACCGATTACAGCCAGAGTTCCTCCATTCAGAACCCTCGGCGTTATATTTTTTTTCTGGGGGCTTTTCTATTCCAAACAGGGCGGCACGCTAGACAATTTGCGGGCAGATTTTACTCCAACGAGAACAAGGGAAAACCGTAACGTCGATCCGTTAAATAAATATTTCAATCTATATCCGCGTGTAATTCTATAACGAGTGATTCCTATTAAATGCTAGAGCGGGGCCCCAACGAGCTCCGATGTTCTTTGAAAACGGGTCCTATAGAAATGATCGACGCAGATTTCGCAGACTAGAATTTTACCATTTTTAAACGACACCAATATCGAGCGCGATATATATGGGTGACAGGGTTTTTTACTATGGAACTAAGTAACATTCATGAATTTCGATAACGTTATAAAAATAAATACTACGACGAACGTTAGATTATGTAGGTTTCGATAGTCTCAAAGCAAACTTTGATTCTCATAGAAATGTTCAGAAATATTCATATGGCGATCAACCTGTTAAACTTACATTTCGAAATAGAACTTTTTTAAAAATTCCGAAATAGATACAATTCAGATACAACTTTTATGATAAAGGGTGATCGTATTTTAAATCCCCGCAAGACAAAAGGGCCAGTTGCGGAATCGTGCGACTAATCGAGTGCGAAATAAGTTCGATTGTAGGCATAAACGGTTCTAGTTGGAAGCGTTCGTCCCAGTTTCATTCTTTTTTTCTCTCTAGGCTTCTCGTTTCGGTACGGTGCACCCTTTATGGTCCGTGGCACGAAAACGCCAATCGGCGATCGAGTGCCGCGAAAACTCCTTATCACGTGATGTCCCGTGTATCGGGGCCGTACAAACTCCCGAACAGTGCATCGCACTCGCGCCAACATTTTGCTAACACGACGTTACGAAGGTGCCGCCTCTTCGCTTTCCGTGATGCGTGACACGACGACCTAAATTAAGTTCCGCGGGACGCGCAAAACGTTCAACAAATATTCGGGATAAACACCTACCGACAATTCCCGCGCTGCGCACTTTAACTCCAATCAAGGCGATACTGTTTTGTTTTTTTTTTTCAGTTTCGGTAGCACGAATTCAAATAATATTCATTAGTACTAATTACGAATGCAACAAAAATACACACTTTTCCGATTTTAATACACCGTGAAAGATTTCAGAGGGAAAGTGAAGAGCAAACATACAGAAAAAATCCTCGAAAGCTCGGCAAATATTTAATGGCGCGTGGAAATTTTAATTCGCCGAGGTTCTCGCAAGTTTTAGCGGGTCGCGTGCTTCGCGTGAGTTGCGAGTCGCTCGATGTCGGCACACTTTCATTACTTCAAGTTCTGTAACGATAACGCAGTCCATCACCGATGAAAATCACCCCTCTGGCCGTTACCACCCTCGGTGGTTATGTAATTGTGCATCCCCGATAAAGAGTAAAGTTGACGCGGACTTGGAGCGCTCTCTCTCGCCTTGAGACGTTGGGGTTTGGTTCAACGGTTCGCTAAACCGGAAGTGCAAACCCTCGCGCGTTAGTCTCAGCCTGGTAAAAATCGTTGACGAAACTCACTGATCAATGATTTCACGGTCTTGGGGTGCTTAGAGTCAACGGTAATCTGGCGTATCTAAAAACCATAACTCGCATCCAAGTGTACGCCCCTTAATGCGTTCTATGTCGCGCCTAACCGATTTTTAACAAACAGATTTCAAATTCGAATCTCGAAAATTACGCACCATTTAATCTTGTTCAAGACCAACCTGTAAATCGAAGTCTTTTGTCCTTTGTTTAGAGTCCATAAACGAGGATCAATCGCGAGTTGAAGCGTCTCAGGAGGTTCTTTTCAAATGAAAGCACGCGATGGGTGGACTTTACAATATCCATTAGGGAGAGTTCGAAAACGATAAGGTAGGTCCACGTTCATCCAATTTCGACCGAGGTTAGCCCTGTGCTCGATTCATAAGATAGAAGTGCTTACCGTTCCCTTTGTTTCGTTTCCTTTTATCGTTTCTAATCCGCGAACCGCCTAGCCCTCTTTTCCTGTTTCGAAGCTTCTATTTTCATCCGCGTCGGGCGCCGTGGATTTTAGTAGGTCACTGGGGAACGGATACGCAGGACGCGGGTCTTTGTTTGTATGCTGGCCAACACAGTTATGCGCTGTTATGCTCGCTAAATCAGACTGACTTATTCATCGGGCCACATCCCATTTCTCCCGTGTATGGCTCGCACGCGAGGGCTGTCGGAATTAGATTCGAGGACTCGTGGAAAATTGTTCCGTCTTCCTTCGACCTTGAATACCACGCGTTCCTCGGGGAAATTCGAGACACACCTGTCGAGGCTAGCCCGACCTTGGAGCCTAGCCTTCGATTTTTTCATGCGTTGGTCAGAAATCATTCTCGAAAACGAACCTTACCCCATCCGCTTGAAGCTTCAAATATTTTCTTGGAAAAGCGCGCAACAATGAATCCTGCAACATCTCTTCGCCTCGTTTTAACCGGAAAACTTCGCTACGATTTACGAGCACGGTTTCGCGATACAGGTGATGGATCGACGTATTTCCAAAGCTTCGAACTTTTAGCTTAATGCGAGAGGTAAGTCAGAGGCGAGCCAGAGAGTGTAGATGAACTAGAATCGACCGAATGTATAACCCAGTGGTTCTTAACCGATCTGCTGCGAACGCAGCTACGCTATACTACGAAAGTTTTTTAGAGAACACAGATCGTGTACAATCAGTTTTTGTAACTCTTTTATTATAAATCAATTCTAGAAAGAATATAGATATACTATATACAGCATACTACTAAAAATGTAGGATATTTTTCGAGACTAATTCCTCCTAATAAATAGTTAAAGTTTGTATGCGTGCGATCAGGAGAGTAGGACCAAAATGGCGCGCATCGAATCACATCAATGAACCTGTATACAGGGTATCCCAAAAATGTTGTAACACATTGAAAGGGGTGGTTCGGGAGGTGATTTGAAACAACTTTTTCCTTAGCGAAAATGTTGTCCGCGACTTCGTTGAGGAGATATTCACGAAAAACATTGACCAATCAGAGCGCGCGTATACCGTTGGAGCGGCCGTGGTAGCGAAGGCTATGTGCTAAGCGGCCGCGCTTGTACGCGAACAAGCGACTCGACGTCCATCGAAGGACATTGGACGCGGCCGCTTAGCTCGTAGCCTTCGCTACCACGGCCTCTCCAACGGTATACGCGCGCTCTGATTGGTCAGTGTTTTCCTTTAATATCTCCTCAACAAAGCCTCGGACAACATTTTCGCTAAGGAAAAAGTTGTTTCAAATCACCCCCTGAACCACCTCTTTCAAGGTGTTACAACATTTTTTGGACACCCTGTATATGCATATCTATATGTAGGTAAAGAAGCCTCAGATTGGAAAGTAGACTTTTCAATGTCTTTCTATATGGAAAATAAATCTTAGAATTCTTGTTGTCGATCGTCTTTAAAACTAAATTTTTCTTCCAAGCTATGCTGTAACCGCGAAGATGTTAAGAACCACTGCCATAAACTGTCGGGCGCGGCAAGCGTCGAATGGACGACGGAAAAGAAATGTCCAAATAAATGATGCCGCTGTCAAGTTTAACAGCGTATTACCAGTGGACAGGTTCGAATAATTCCTTGTCGATGTGACGTTTGTTCACTATTCTTTTTTTTTGTATCATTGTTATTAAGGAAACGCTTCTTTAATACAGATATGAAAGATTACATAAAAGAGAAAACATCGTACCTCGCTTGCACACCTTGTCGTTTCCTTCTTTCGTTTGTTTCAGCATTTTCCTAGCTTGATTCCAGAGCTTCTTACCTTCCTCTTCATATTTTACTTTCATAAAAATTTCCTCATCGATAATTTTTTCATAAAATTCTAAACATTTTTCGTAATATCTTCGTTATATAAATCAAACATAAATATTTTTTCCCGTAGGAGCTGAGAAGCGAGCTAAAAATTTCGAAACGTGCACGAGTTCTATTTCGTTGTAACAACATTTACGCGTCTAATAAAAACATGTCCCGGTGTGTAGCTTGCAATTTCCTCTTGCTCGCCCGCAGCGCGGATTAGTCTGGCCATCTGTGCTTTTCACGAGTCACAGGGTCGAATTTCTCCAATAACTTTATTTCCAGCCTGTTTCAGATGACTTCTTGATCGAGCGTGCCGGAATGAAACGCTTTAAATTATTTCCCACACTCGCATTTTCGTTCTGTTAAACAAGAAAAACGAATTCTTTCGCGACGTGGACGTTTCGCAAAAAAGGTACGAAGTGAAAGTTTCGTTTGCCAAGGTTATCGCTTGGTCATTGTGGAAAGATAAGCAAAACGGAAGTGTGCGATGAGTAACAAGAATCATCGAATCGCGCATTGTTCGACGCGGTTCAATGGAAAAACAAACCGCTACACAAATTAATAACGACCGGAAGAAAAAAGTGTGTCGCGCGTGGAATTATCGATAGCGAGCGGAGTAACAACGTTTTTGCAGAGGATGCGAAGCTGCGTCGACGTGGAAACACGACAAGGCCGTCGATCATTTTCAATCCTACGCATACGCTCGCCGTGTATTTATTCATGACTCTGGATACGTGGTTAATTACTCGAGTCCATTGCCGATATTTTCGCAACGTTACGATTCCATTAAGCGTTGGTGATTTTCCAGGGAACGGATGTCATTCTATATGCTGCGAAAAACTGACGCTGTAACGCACAATTCGGAATTATTAATCTGGAATACTATAAATTACCATGTTCGTTTTCTCTAAGAAATTAACAAATTAATTCTGAAAATCAGGTGTTAAAAAGAAAAACAAGTCTGGATAGGATTCGTAAATTTCGATCGGGTTGCAAACCTAAATACTAACGCGAATGCTTGTTTATATGTACAGTGTCCAATTGTATAAAAACAAAATTTTAGCTTCATAAGTATATTCACGAATATGTCTAAAACTGAAAGTGTTAATCCAACAGACTATTACAGTGAAACGTAAAAGATGTCGTTTCGTCGCAATCGTGCGTAAAGCCTGTTACAGAGTCGGGTAACGTAAATTTTAAAAAGAATTTGTACAAAAAAGGCAAAGCGCGATTCGCAGTCGACGCACGTGCGAGCGAGAAAAGTCCGCTGATTCAGACTACGTGGCCACGAAAGAAACCGCGAGATCGTGACGATTCCCCGAAGGATCTGTGCGTTAAATTCATGGACGTATCCATTAAGACCTGGGTGCCATGGCGAACTCTCGAAAGGACAATTCGCGAGCGACTGTGGTTTGCATTTCTCGAAGGCTGCCGCGACGCAATGTTTACTCTAACAATAAGTCGGACATTGGGAAACACACGAATGGCGTTTGCTTCGTCCTCCCGATCTGTGAAGTCTTGGACGACTGCGTACAGTCGACACATTTTTGTTGCTCCGTGCAAATTTATCGATAATATAGGGCATAAAAATGTGAGCAAAGCAAGGTAAGAATGCCTTGACGGCATTCAAAGGAATTTTGAAGAAGTTTTGATGAAGTTACGAAAATAAATACCACGATAAATGTTTGATTATGTAGTCTCTGATAGTTTAACTAATATTTAATCCTAGCAGAAATTTTTGCCCGGCTACGCTGCAAGTGCTATTCCACGAAGCGACACTTGTCGATTCTATCGTAGGGAAATTTCGATACCTTTGGACGAATCTATAAATATAAATAAATGGTATTCTATGAATGGTGGTCTATTGACTTTGCAAACGTGTCGCGTACCTACGATATCGATATGACGATAATATCCCACTGTACGTGTTCAGGCGAACCCATTACATTGCTGGATAAAACACAATGTCCTTGCGCACTGCCTAATTAACAAATGAGAACTCGATTGCTGGGTACGGAGATGGAAGAGGGGAGGGTGTCAATTAGCCCGACATTCTTGCACGTCCGTCCAACGCTTCTAACCACTGAAAATGGCGCAGCATCTACGGGACAAATGCGACTAATTCGCACCGGCAATATTAATAAGCTTTCAATTAGCATAAATCTGTAATTCCGGTCATTCTGTTAGTCTAGTTCTCTACATGGCCGCGCAGCCAACCGACACCTCGTTAAGAGAACTTGGGTGTTCGAACGTTTTCGGAATCCGTTTTGTCCTTAATTGGTAATCCTCGTCATCTTTGGCAGATCTATCCAGAAACCCTCGTCGACCAATTAGCTGGCGCGATCTGTTAGGTTGTACCACGAGTTTCTTTCGTTCTATTAATAACTAGTACACAATATTTTATGTTTTACATTAACTATTTGTAAGAGATAAGGCTGTTCATTTAAATCGCAGAAAGTAAGCAATGACGAGTATATCGAAAAAAAGATTTGTTTAAAATAAAATAAAATTCAGCGAAATCAATTGAACTTTATTACTCTTCTCTTTTCTACCGATTCAACAATTAATCGGAGATGCGAAGTTCGAGGGGCATCTAACGACGACCTATGGTCAAAAAGTATCGCTGGCTGCCACGAACTGTGACCAGTACAGCGTAACTGTTGACTCACGGTCATGTGACCTGTACCATAATGTTATAACAGTAATAAAGTACGTGTATAGTGGCGGTGCCTGTAATAGGTGCCAGCCGTTTCGACATCACGGTTATCCAGTTGCTACTAGACGTCCATAGGATCATTTTTATTCATGGCTGTTTTCATCGTCGTCATCGTTGAAGTCATTCAGACGCGGTACCGGGTCTCGCTATGGTCTTCACGTTTCTGTAATTATATAATGCAGATATTTTACTGTAAGCGATCAATTAAAGCTGAATAATGCAATAATACTTTCTGGAATGGCTGTCAAGGTCGGATATATTACATATTTGAAATTGTACCAATTCCTTTCGCGATCGTAGGAAAAAATTCTATAATATTCCCGACATAAAATCAATTTTCAAAACTTATCGTTGGTACGTTTATTCGAGGATCGCCGTCGTGTTCAGTGATCGGCAGTTTCTACGGTTTATCGTTCACTGATCCCAGCATTGGGCGAAATTAATCGCGGCAGCTTCGACGAATATCGACGCGATTCGCCTCCACCTTCGCTCTCGAAAGTTCTTTGAAGTTTTATCGAACGTTCGAGCGAATCATCTGCGGTCTAGAATTAATTATAGACTCGTCCATTATAGACTCATACGTTTCACGAATCCTTCGTCACGATTGAGATATACATATATCTTTATAGATCTTTGAGTCACCCTGGAAGAACGCCGTTGATATCGATCCTCGTGCATTGCAATGATTTATACCGTGACTTATACACCTATTATTCTCAAAGAAACCTGTTCATTTCAGACTCCTATACTTCGATGCTTTTAGATCGAAGATAAAGTATACAAGGATTTTAAGAATTCGAGAAAGTCTGGACCTGACGGTATCGTAGACCGCACGATGGATATCGGTTTCAGCTGTCGCAAAGTGCATTTGTCTTTTTCACCCGGTCGGGATCAATGGGCCACGAAGCAAGGAAACTGATCGGCATGTGGTCGATTGGTATGACGGTATCGATCAAACATTCGAACCACCGACACCAGTGTCGATTTATAGTTCAAACATGTACGCTACACTTGCTCGTTTCTTGGTAATTTATTCAATTTTAATCACGAATACCCATGGGTTTCGCTGTTCAGACGATCTCTTATTTCAGATGTTGACGTGTCTCACGGTTAAAACCTTGTGAAATTTGCAACGAATCAAAATGACCCTGCTTCGTGGACCTAGCGTTAACGAAGTATATTATGTTTGAGAATCGATCGATATTTATGTTCGAATGGTTTAGTACGTAGAAGCAGAAAATACTGAAACGAGTTTCCAGCTGTGTTTTGTCCCGATTCACGCACGAACAATTCCAAGTGACATCAAGCGCGAACCTTGATAGTAGAAGCTCCGCGTGTTCTTTTCACGAAGGATGCGGGCACGTCCGAGGTTTTCGACAACGTAGTTGTGCAGAGCGTAGTACGAAGAAGCGTCCGTTGAATCGATTTTTCGGGATCATCTCTCCGAGGGGAAGATAAAGCAATTCGTAACTGCCTTTTCTAAGCCTGTAGCAACCTCACCCCTTTCAAAGTCCTCTTTTCATACGGACCCGGCCATACAACATCTTTTATCCCTTCTACGTTCCGATCCGCGAGCTATTTCAACCTCAACGTCTTTCGTTTAGCGTAACAATGAGCGTACCAGGAAGGAATCGTCGGATTCTCTGAAGAATATTAATCTAATCAGAGTATGAAAATTGTTCCAGAACCACGGGACAATTCTACGGCAATTTACCGGCTATTCTGTCGTTATAAATTCGTCGCGACGACCAATGGGACGGAGTAAAAAGATACGACGGTTGTAGAAGCGTGGATCGTCTTGGATCTATGGAAACATCAAACGTGACTTCTAACCAGAGGTAGATCGAGGTTGGAGCTAACCAAGGACGAAAGCGATAAAGTAAACGATTTTAAATTATTTACTGTAGCGAGAACTATTAATGAATTTACGACTTTTTCAAATTCACCGATTAGTCAATTGCGACTAGAGTCTATTATAGAAATACGTCGCGTATAAACAGGTGGGTTTTGAGTTAAAGAGTCAGTGAGTATTTGACTTCGGAGAGGAAAGAATACAACTTACGTTACTACTTACTATGCGCAAAAGAATGCTGCTTGGAGCACTTCTGGCATCCCTTACGTTCCGCTCAGAACGTCAGGTAATATTTTTTTATTAATCGCTAACATGCAATTAATCGCAAATATCAGCCATTTAAAAACGACGTAACTTTTCTTTTTTAAAACACGCTTAACACATTGATGACTGGCAATTTTACCGGCTATTATTTCGTAATTTTTGTACTACTGAACTACTGAGTGATATAAACCTAAATACTGTAAAAAGTATATTCTATAGTTAAGAAAGAATCAAAAACAGACAGGACCAAACACTCGTGACTGGTAAAAGAATATATTAATATTCTTCCATAAAAAAAGGTTATTTTCGTTTGAAACCGATGTATGTAAGTAAAATTTTCACTGGCTCCAAGACTATTTCTTTTTGAGGCAAGAGAACTACCTAAAAATACCGATATCTTACTGGTATATTCGATACTGTTTCGATCCCGTGTCTCAAACCCATCCGCCGACTATTTCGAGCAGTTAGCGGATAAATTGCGCGAACCATGCTCGGTTCGACGAACGAAGAAAAGAAAACTGGCGACGAGTATTCCCGGGTTAACAAAAGCCATCCTCACGTTTGTTGTCGCGATTCGCAGTGGCGAGCAATGATTCAAGCAAGAATGCCAATTTGCATTTTCACGATGCATCATCGGCTCGGCTAAGTAGCGAGTTACGTTACGCGCGTTTACAGGGTGGGGACCCTGGATGTTTCTGTTGCACGTATGTACCTCGTATGGCAGTCGTGTGGGTTTCGCGTACGTGTGGATCGTGCACGTGCACGCGATCGCGGTGTGTAAATACGTGGGGCCATTGGTGGGGGGACGACGCCTCTCTAAGCGACGCTCCGTATCTTCGTCAGTCATATCGCGATAGTCTCCGCGCGGCGGATCGTTATCGAAGTCGCGTAACGTTCGGCAACGATATAAGAGGCAGGCAGTAGTCGTTCGGTCGACGGTGTTGAACGACGACGAGAACCCCCGTTCGGTGGCCGAGCAACACACTTGGCACGCACGAATATTCCGTGGTGCACGTTACGCCGGTTCGTCGACGAGAATAGACGTTCTCCGCGAGGAGAGGCCGTCTTCCGGATCCCCGGTAACGTCGTCTGGGTTGCGGACGCTGTTCCGGATATCAGTTTCCAACTGGATCGAGTCGTTTGTTCCTGACCCGCGAGTTCGAGGTCCTGGCGGCTTGAAACGAAAGAGTGGCTCCAAAGAAGTGACAAGAATATACACGGTGAAGTGGCAAAAGTGGCCAAAGGGCTGTCTAAAGTGCGTCCAATTCGATCCTCGACGATGAAGAGTCTGACGCTCCTATTTCTTCTGGTGACCGTGGCGGTGTGTCACGAGCCGTTCCAAGTGAAGTTCGAATGGAAGACCATCAACTTCGACTGGCCGTCGGAGGAGATGCGGGTGTACGAGATTGACCACAACGGGTACATACCACAAAACAACTTCATCTCTGGGATCAAGTTCTGGAAGGGTAAGATGTATCTGTCGCTCCCGCGCTTTAAAGACGGAGTGCCCGTCACTCTCGGAGTGACGTCCGCGACCCCGGTGAACCATAACACTGCGCCCAGCCTGGAGGCGTACCCTAACTGGGATATGCAGAAGCTGGACGATTGCAGTGCCTTCCAGTTCGTCCAGAGCATGGAGATCGATCCTGCAGGACGCATGTGGGTCCTTGACTCGGGACGAATGACTCCTTTGTTGCCGGAGGTCAAGACCACCTGCCCGCCGCGGCTGGTGATCTTGGACATCGAGAACAACGGCGAGATTCTGCGTAACTACGAGTTCCCTCAGCACGTGGCTCGCCGTGGAACGGCTTATCTCAACGACATCGTCGTGGACCACGAGGACGGAGGCATGGCGTATATAACCGACACCGATCGCGAAGATCCTGGCTTGATCGTCTACTCCCTGCAGAACAACACCTCCTGGAAGGTCAGACACGACTCGATGAAGGCGAAGCCCGAGGCTGTCAGGTTTATGATCAACAAAACTCCCGTAAACATGCCGTTCGCGATCGATGGCATCGCCCTGTCGCCTGCCAGCAGCGAGGACAGGCTGGTGTACTACTCACCCCTGTCGTCTTTTCATCTGTATTCGGTGCCGACATCCGCGCTGAAGAACAACGCATCCATCGACGACGTGGTGAAGGAGGTGGGAAGAAAGAACTCTCAGTCGGATGGAATGGTAATGTCCGCCACGGGGGTGCTGTACTACGGCTTGTTGGCTGACGACGCCGTGGGCACGTGGGATACGGAGCAATCACAGTCGTTCAACACAGGAAAGAGGGTCATCTCCAGGGACCACGAGAGGATGCAGTGGCCGGACAGCTTCGCGATCGACGAGGACGGTAACGTCTATTGTGTCACCAACCAACTGCAAAACCTTCTGAACAATCGCGTGAACGTGAGCGTGCCGAACTATAGGGTCGTCAGGTCGAAAATTAACGTGAAGAATTATCAGTACTATAAGGACGGAACCGCACCGGAGCAGCCAGCGATATCCGCGTCCTCCGCTAGCAGGATTAACCTCGCCATAGTCTCAGGATTGTTCGTTCTGTTGGCCTTCGTTGCGAAGTAACGTCTCTTCTCCTCCCCTCGTTCTTCCGTACTTGTTTTCTTTGTTAGGGGTAAACAGTAATCGGACGAAGGTTGGGTATACCGAACGCGTATCCTCTCAGAGGATCCCCCCGAGTCGGATAACGCGCGGTTGTTCGATGTTTCCGGTGATCCTGAGCGGAGAGGATGTCACAGAACTATGCACTGCCGTGCAGGAATTCCGATTCACGGAAAAAGTTCTTCGCGATATACGCTTACGGACGAAATTTAAGGAACTACGTTTACGCAGGTGTATATTCTTAGTTGTCTCGTATTAATTCTAGCGTGATTGTTAAATATAGTGTACACATTTATTAGTTTTTAACGAATTGCTTGCATTATTGCACACGCACGCTTCCATGGCGAAAACTATCCAAAAATAGGTTACTTGAGACGATATTACAGGTAATAGCATTTCGAAAGAGTTCTGGTCTGATTGTAACGACGGGTCGAGTAAGTAAAGGTAGACTACGGTGTGTAAGATGAATATTTGCCGAAAAATTTACTGTATTACCAAATGTACGATACTTTTATTATTTTCTTTCGATTGCTCGTTCGTCGTGTTAGCGAGGTCGGCACTCGAGCTGGTTTTTAACCGGTCAGCGATGCGCTCGCGTGATCGATGATTAAGAAACGGTGTAAGACGTTTGTAACAAGTATAATGTAATATTTAAGTGTACAGAAGTCCTACGTTACTCGCATTACGTTGGTGTGGCGAGGAGAAGCCTTTTGTTTCGATAACAGCTTGGTATCTACGTGACATTCATCCGACTAACATCGCGCAATAGTCCATTGACGTTTGGGACCACAGCTTCGCGATTTGTCGAAGTAATCCATTTTTATTAGCCAACGACCTCGAACCGTTGTTTTATGTAATTCCATGCCCTACGACAGGGCTTCCCAACCTTCGATGCTTTGCATATCGATCGAATGTAGAAACTTCATAAGTTATCTAAAATTAAGCACTGGTGAAAACTTAATTTCGAAGGTGAGGCGTGAATTCGTGAATCGGTGAGCTTACAGAAATGAAATACTAGGACAAGTGTTAAATTGCCTAATTCTTCGACAGTCTCGAGACGAAATTTTAACTCCGTAGAAGTCTCCACGAGTTCTAGTCCAATGTTTTAACCGACCTATTAATCGAAGTGGGAAGCTCTGCTTTAGGAGATTCACATCAGGACCCTGGATTGATCGCTTCTCAGCGTTCATTTTTTATTTGCATACAAATTTCCGAATTGTTCACGAGGCATCATCGCGTTGGATGCAGCATTTAAAAACACGTCCACAAACCACGATGTTATCGTCGCTAGGGGTAGTTTAAGGGAACCCGCAACAAAAAATGTCGCAGAGATAGACTTTTCCATCCATGATTCCTCAGAATTCAAACAAGAAAATTCAACCAAGTTCAGGCATTTTACACGTGGATAGAGCACCGTTACGGGTTCCCTTAAGAAAATAGACGTTACGTGTACCAAAAAGGGGAATATTGTGTATTTATTGTGGTATCAAATAAAACAATGTTGGAATAGCCGACTTTTTCCCTTTCCTTGTTAATCGCGTGAATCATGCAAATGATTTCTATTTTTTCCACTGCGCGAAAAAGTAAATGTGTTTTTATTCGGATACGACTGCGTTTGATGACTCGCGTAACTCTGTCTTGACTTTTTGTCCCCTTAAGCGTATCATTGGCGCAGGCATATGTAAATCGGCGTTCGTGCCCGTTGTCACGCGAATCCTGCTAACTAAGTATAATTGGATCGAGGTATACGAGCGGTCAATCGCGAGATTGCATCGAATGCGACACGTCTCACCGATACGTTTATTTCCTCGATTCCAAGACTGCCAAGATCGCGCCTCTCCGCAGTCGATTTCATTTCTGTCGATGCAAGTGAAACTGATCCTTGACCAATTCGCTGACCAGCAAGCTGAACACGTTCAGCGCGATTAATTTTTCGTTTCGAACGACGTTTCGATATTCGAATTGCCTTGAAAAGAATCGCTCCCGAGTTTTTCACAGATCTGTTCGAATCGGGGAAACAAAGAGTCAACAAGATGTTCGAGAGAGGAACGCCACGCTTCACGGTGGCGGAGTTTCTCCCAGAGAAAGAAATTGTAATTAAGTCGAGAAGTTGCACTCCGAAACAAAACTTTCACCGTGTCCGTAATACATTAAT